CCTCTCGAATCAACATATGACGGATCTTTCAAAGTTCTTCAACGCGAATCTAAGTACTACATAATAGATAAGAACGGAACCAACGAAAGCATCAGCATCGATCGCCTCAAAGCAGCGTATTTAGAAGGAAATCCTATTCACGTCGATTTTCCTTCAATACAATCGCACGACACAACTCCTGCCCTTATAATACCTCAATCGAAAGCAGACACACACGTTCATACTTCGACAGTATCCGAAAATAACCTCAAAACAACGCGTTCTGGAAGAAGAGTAAGATTTCCAGAACATTTGAACGATTACTGCACGTAAGACACAAGTAAACATTTTATATCCTCTCGATTTTCCCTGGTACTATATATAATTTTTTTAAAAAAAAACCCCGAATTTTATATGCATATATATTTTTATTAATTTTTTTATTTCAAAAAAGAAAAAACAAAAAATAACGATATTATAAAAATCCTTTTTTACGCTATTACGTAAGATGAGTTCGTTTTCCTTTTTCTTCGCCCGTTTTGTGTTTTCACGCGCATACGAGTGTATTCCGACATGCACTTACATATTTTATTTTCTTTTCCAGGACGACTGGGAAAGACGATGAAAAGAACGATGAAGTTGCGAGAAACGAAAATCTGCATTGTACCTTTTTTTACTATATTGTACATCATGATCCATTATAATAAGGAAAGACGACCAGACGCTGGTAAACCTAGCAAGCTATCAGAAGAGTGTTTACCAACGAAAAACTCGTTGGGTTTAAACTTCTGGCTGGCCACGTCTTAGGGTCATCACTACCCCACTAGAGGGGGAGTGATCTGTAGCGGTAAATAATTCCCCAAAATCAAATAGCTCTGTAAGTTTTCGACATTCGATGCTGACCACAGTTTTAGTGGACTCATCTAGCTGAAAGCGCTCGGTCAAGCATTCGCACCAGAACACGTGTGAGAACGCCGTGCTCAACATCTGCCACAATCGCTAGCCAGATTAGTGCGAACGGTCCCCGATATATTGATAGCTTATCAAATATATCTTCGATCTCCTCACTTCTGTCTTTTGATTTTACTTGGTGGGTGCGCTTCGTATTAGAAGGTGTTACTAGTTAAAGCGTTGTCGAACTCCGAATACCTGTGGCATCTTCAATAAAAAGTGGTTTTCAGAGATTGTTGAACCTTATATTTTGGATCGTGGATGCTTACTGCTGAGAAGCTCCTTACTTGAACTAAACACTTGTCCAATGCTTCCTGGTCTGACTAAGTTCAGTCTGTGACGCAAACTATAAAACTCAAACATCTCTACAAACCCCTTAGATTAACAAATATATTCGAAAGCGATGAAAACATGAGACAGAATAAATTACCCTCCGATGCTATATACTATTCATAGTATAACATTTATTGACTCAAATGACTTGAAAGAAACTAGAAAAGGGGTCATTTGATATATCTTATTTGCAGTCATTTAACATTCACTAGTATGACGAAAAATCTCTTACATTGTGATTAGAGTGAGCAGTTTGGCTTTGTTAGATGTTCTGGCATTGGATAGGTCAAGTTATACTCACAATATAACCTTGTTTGAGGACCTAAATATTATTTATTATCAATTTGTCATCTGATCTGCGAACTCCAATACAACTCTCTTTTTGAATGAGATTTTTAATCTTATAGATATCCCTTGGCCGGTGCTTATGATTATTGTTAGATTCTGACACATTATTTACACGTATTCAATAAACATGTTTGTTTAACTGCGCGCAGTAATGGATGCCGTAGAGTTAGGTTTGAAAAAAAGCTAGTGTAACGGTATTAAAAATCATTATATGCGACTTTGCTAGTGCGAGTTTGTTTTTCTCATTGCAGAGCAACGGAAAGTGAACGTGCTAGGAGAAGAGAAACAAGCCTTTCGCAAGCTAAACCTGCAGGACAATGAGTAAACCCATTTTGTAATAAACTTCCCCTTTTTTAATCGAACCGCGTAATTCAATTTTTAAATATATCTCTGTTGTGCCAGTACGCCGTCTTCTTACGTCAGTGGCATTTATCGGTCCTGACTGTTGTGTTGCTCCTGCTTTCCAGTAAACGCTGATAGTACGTACTACACTAGGGGTAGTCAGACTGAAACGTAAAGCTGAGAGTCATGGGGTACAAACACACCTAAATGTTTTTCAACTTGGGACAACTCTATAGGGAAGTTATCTGTCATGTATTCATGGTCGCCACATGTTTCAGATGAGCTACTTGAAAGTGTTAAAGTTAAGTTCGTTCTCATCCTCTTAACTTTGAAGTTGAGTCAGTTCCTCCTGAAGTACCAGCTTTTTGTGTTGGTTGAAAACTTGTCTCCAGAGTTTCACATCATCAGTGAAAAGTGATGTCAGACGATGTTCGTTAAGGGTCATTTATAAAAATTACGAAAAGAAGAGGCATTAGTACTGAAACTTGAGGAAATTCACTAAGACACTCTGTAGCCTAGGAAAAAGTGAGGATTAAAGTGACATTAAAAAGTCCATTATTTAGATATAAAGTAGATCAGTCGATTACCGGTAAGTCAATGCCTAACATTTGGGGTTTATTCATGAGACGAATATGATAAGACTTATCGAAAAGTATCTAAGAAGTCAGGGTATATGACATCAATCTCCCACTTGTCTGTCTGTTTATTGCGGTCAGCAGGCTTATTATGAGAAAGTGACTCCCTGAAACCATTCTGTTGTGGTGAAACGAAGCTTACGGATAACAAATAGTCATATAGACCGTCTCATATCACGGACTCCAAAACTTTTCAGTGAATTGATAAAATGGCTACTCACCGGTAGCTTGAAAATTTGCTGCTTCGACCGTCCTTAAAAATGGATGTAATTAGAGCCAACTTACAGTTTTCTGGTACTGTTATTTGGCTTGACAAGTGTGAAGATACCACACTAAGTGATTTTGCTTGGATCGAGGCCGATTCTCTCAATATAGTTGGATAATTTACATACAGTCCTTTCTAGATGCTGTAGTTTCAGATATGCCACGTTAGCTCTCAGGTTCACATTTAAGGGTCCTGTTGAGTTGCAGGTGGAGATCTCGTCTATGAAGATTGTATGGAATGATTGAAATGTCCGAAAATGTGATTTCGCCAGAAGGTCTGCGACATCGGCGTAACTGTTGGTTGGGTCACGAAGACCTAACAACTGGAAAACTTCAGTTTTATCTTGTCAAAGAAGGGCTACATGATGACGTAAGCTTTCAGACTCAAGAAAAATTTATCGATTGGCTTTATCTTACACTGAGATCTTTGGCATTTAAAGTGTGAAATTCGTTATAACTGTACATTGCTTGTAATTATTGGGGATCGTTTGCGGGACAGATTGTTTTGTAGCTCGTAAGATCATGTGCTGTAGGAAATCTAAGCGAACATACACGTCAAATCGAGGTTGGATTTCTCAGTTCACCTGCTGTAGGTTGTCCTGTAAACCTGACTCGTGAAACTATTTAAGATTCCAACGCCCGTTGATAGTCGGATGTTCTAGCTCAGTTTCGCTGATAAAATTGAGGGCTATAATTGCATTATCACTTTTAACCAGAGGGCGAAGATTAAGAGGTTGTTGATTAAAAATTCCTTGTTGGTAAATATGTAGCCTAAGTGTGATGGCGTCCGGCTGTTTCTCGAACGAGTTGTTAACTTCCTACTTTCGAATGATATTAAATCTTTAGTGATGTTGAAGAGACGAGCTTCAGTAGAGTTGTTACCTCCAATGTACATGTGTTCAGGGGAGTTGACTATAGGAAGATGGAAGTCTCCTAGAATAAGAAAATGTGTGTATCCGAGTGGAATAGAGCTGGATAATCGCCCCAGCATACGATTGCTGTAGTCGGTATCTGCATTGGTCCTCTCAAGAATGAATTTAATTACACGTCCCGAGGTTTTAGATAATCCCGCTAAGCACAACACAGATTCAACAAGATCGATGCACTCTTAGGTGTATATTTGATGTGCTGTCAGTTAATATAGTAAGTATAATGCTGCGCCGCCACTCATTCAAATTCCTCTGTTGTTGCGTAAAAAAGACATATCGGGTATTGTCAGCTCCTGATCTGTAGTTTGTTACTCTCATGTTTCCAACATTCTCATCAGTGTTACTTAGTTCATGAAACTCATCTTTTCTGTTCGAAAAAACTCGGAGCGTTCGCATACAGGCAGTTGATTCTATTGCTTTCAAACGCATATGTTTCCTAATCATGTTTATCTGAATAAGCCTTATGTGATTGGACGGACATCTTACCTACTCAGAGTTTTTCGAGTTGATCGTCCTTTGCTTATCTACGTTTCTTCTTTGTCATTGATAGTCCATTCTATGCATGCTTTTTGAAATCAATCATCGTATTTTTCACATACACAGGTCGCTTGCTAAAGTTATTAATTACCATGGTGAAATATAGTTCGCTAATTAAATCCTAGCAAAAGTTGATGACTATAATAACTACCAATACACTCAAGACGGATAAAACGGGTGTTAAAAAAAGTTGGGATATAATAAAACTAGCGTTCACGTGAAAATTCTAAAAAATTCGGAATGGTAATCCGAGGCAAATCAACAGTTAACAATTAACTCAAAAAGAAAAGCAACCGGCCGAGATATAAGGTCAGGAAAGATCCTCGGATAATAGATTGCTTTTGTTGCTAAAGGACTCAGATCAATTTAGGAATAAAGTATCCTTTCGTAAAGCGCGCATTCTTTTTTTAATGTCATATTAGTCAACCATAAATTGATTTTAAAACGCACATCAGTTTCTGTTAAATGAATCAATACCATCATGTTTCTCCATTTCAGAAAATGATCATTCAGACTACTTTGTTTAAAATCACCATATACAATTATAGTATTATTGTTATTGGCTACGCTATTTCACTATTTTGAATTCTGCACATGTTTGATAAAGGAAACGATGGAGATTGTTGAAGTTCTCAATAAAATAAACGAAGACTACCTCAGATCAGATTTTGACAAAAAGTTTATGCTAAGATCACTATTTGTGCAAGTTTTGGCAGGAGATAGGTAATATTTTTAAATTTTCTTGTTCAATGTAATTTTATAAATGAACAAATAAAGTATTAATTTGTGGGAAGATTTGTTATCTTTTGTGACTTCAAACGTCGATTTTGTACGATCAGTGAAAGATGAGGCTGAGGTAAACTGTGGGTTTCAAACCATCAACTTATAGTTTTTTATAGTTCAGATATTTTGCCAATCGATCTATGAAGAATCTTCAAATTTCACTTGATAACCAGTCAGAAGATATATCGTCAAGCTCAACATTACGTTTAAAGTCTATTTTTGTTGAACTTTCCGAAATATTTTCTTATGTGTTGACTACATGCTCCATTGACTCGAACATGGTCTACGGTAGTGAATCTGTCACTATTCCACTTTTACCTTCATGGCACTGTGGTGTCAGTAATGTCCAAGGCAGTTTATCATTAAAGGATGGAAAATCAGTAACTGTGTACTTCCTTTGATCCACATAATAGATTTCTGTCGATAGTGGTGAAGCAAAGAGTATTCAAAATTCATTATTTAGTTTGTTAGAACGGGAAGATCATTCGTTGGTAAGTTACTGAAATAAAGTGTATATCATCTTCTGATAGGAGAATATTTTACAAAAAATTTCATTTGACAACTCAAAATACAGATCATTTAATGAATACATAAAGAATTTGTCAAGTAATAAATCCGGAACATCTTCAAAGGAAATTGAGAATATGCGCCCAAATAATGGTTTTGATGCGATTGCCTACTTTTCAGTTTGCAGAAAAATAGGAGTTTACGAATTTATGTACTTCATCAGAAAAAACCTTGAGAGCAGAAATATATCACCATATGATTTAGAACCTATTTTAAGACCAAGGGTAAATGAACAAATTTTTTCCTTAGAATATTTTAGGGCAATTATAACATGAAGTTTATATGCAAGTTAATTTTGAGTAAAGAAGTCCGTCATACTTTACGGACTTAGGCTGATTTTTTGGACCATACTATTTAGTTTTAATACAACAAGTTACTTAAAAGACCTCCTCATCATGCATATTTCAGGAAGTTCTCCAACCAAAAAAGTTTATTGGAGTAAAAGTAGGGAACGTTTCAACCGCCACGAAAATCATGGAGACAGTATTAATTTTCTGTTCTTCTTATGAGCATTATGAATAACAAAGACTGCATGTATGCTATCAGCTAGTTTTCTCAGTGATTAAGTGAATGCTGGAAGGTATTAAGTATCATTAAGGACGAATAATCTATCATTTTAGTTAGTAGAATATCTATAGCTGTAGTCGAGATAATCTCAATAGATAATGAAGTTTACACTCTTTAAGTTATCATTTCAGAACAACCGGTTCTAGGCTTTTCGACATACCTATTATCTACCTACTGTTTTAAATAAACACTTAAACTGTAATCCAAAACTGATTTCTTAGAATTTATGGGGTTATTATTCATACCAGTTATATCTCTATTTACTCCTTTGTATTGTCAAACTTACCACCGCAGAATATCTAAGATAAAAGATGAAGCATATTCTTAGATTCATTTACTTTATTGTTTGTCAATTTTTGAATCTGATATATGAAATTGGTAAGTATAATGACATGAAATATGCTTTCATTTGTGTCTTATAGATATATAACAAATCATCTCAGGTAAAGTTTTATTTAGATTCTCAAGCCTTTCAAGTGAGATATTGGGGATGCTATATGATTTATTTACTGATCATTGTACTAACGACATACTTCGTGACCAGACCAATGACGGTTTCTGATTTGGAGTGCATGGTTGTAATTTGCATCACAAGTCTGTGTTAAGCCTGTTGCTATTACTAATGATAATGTATGATAGGAATTTCATTCATGGATTTATTTAGATCTAAAACGCTGAGGCTATTTGTGGGTATATATCATTTTGTTCTCATATTAATATCAAATACGCAAATAAAGGATTAAGAATTGGGGACATCCAGGAAGACATTGATAAGACAAACAAGGGCTTGAAAACCCTTCTATGAGCTAATTTAAGAGGTAGTTTCATGTCCGCATAATTTATTTAACATTCTCAAGTCTTTATTTTTTGAGGGAACAATTTATTGCTAAAAAGAAGTATCCTGGATTCTAGTAATCCCTTCATTTTTTAATGATCTACAACTTGGCTGGGAATCCAATCTTTATCCGATTCTACAAAATGCTAAACAGTTCTTTTTCTAGTCACCTTTATGTAACAGTTACTAAAAAAACTCCATAAAACATTTGAGACGAGCTAAATAATAGCTTTAATGGATAAATCTATCAAATATAGAGAATAAATAAAGGCTCTTTATAACTTCACGACGGTTAGAAAACAGTTTTGTTAAATTCTAATACAATTATCGTCTACTAACATGACGTTAAGTTCAAATAAAACAAGTATGACGAAATTTGCAAGCATTATCACTCAGACGTTTCTTAAATTTATGAAACAAAACAACAGAAAGCAATGGTTGGAAGATACGATAATTCGACACGAGAATCACTAAACAATCGAGTTTTAAAAGCTTTATTCAGCATAATGAACAATTTGCAATAATAATGAGGAAAGGGTCTCGACGAAGAAACGTAGAGATCTCAAGCATGAAAGGGAATATAATTTTTATTTCAGACAACATTAACATGTTCAAGTTTTTATGCACTTTTATCCGGGTTAATGAAAATAATTAGAGTCACGATTTTCACCTTTATTTTATGTAACCGATTTGATAAAAGTAGCCTTTAGCTCTCAAGAGATTATTCTTCTGTCTAGGGATTTTCCAGGTGAACATCAGAGTATTGCATGCCGTTAAAAAGTAAAAATATAAAGATTGACCATTTAAGGCTGAATACAAAGGTTTAACTTCAAGTCATTTGGAAAAATTATATTCAGGAAACATGTATTTTAAGACAAATTTATCGTTAACCTAGATAAAATCTATTCTTACAATCCTTACTGTCGTTTGCAGAATGATGAACCACATTATATATTCAGTACATTCGGTATACTGGCCGCGACTGAAACTGAACAGGAGCATTTAAGCCTCACAGAATGGTTTTCAGAAGCAATTTTGTGCGAAGCTTTAAAGCAAAATCCCACATTTTGCTACCTTCCAGCTTGGAAACCCTTTTTCACGTAAGTTAAATGAACACTGAAGTCTGCAGATGATAAGAAGTGTCATATTTTAGTCCACTTATCTCATCAAAACTGGTAAGAATTCTCATGCTTTAAATTTTATTTAGCATTAGTTATGACTGATTAAGTTAACTAGGAAAACATACATCAAGTACCGGGATCCACTTTATTTGTTTACAAATAACACTTGAAAATATAAGTCTAACTTAGGTTTAATGTTCTTTATGTAAGTAAAGCGTCGTGATTACAATATTTTAGGAAGACATTAAATTACGAGTGTATCTTGATTATCCATTCATGGGCTGGGATTTTCGAGAATAGGGGTTTCATTGGCAAACTAGATAAAATTATAAGTGTATGCTTGACGTTGTACCGGATTTTTCACCAGATAAATTTGTCAAAGCGTATTCAGCTACTTCTTGGTCCAAAATGTCAAGCAATCTGAGATGTGAACTATGTATGTTCTTTCCTTACACAGCCACAATTCTATGGCTCATTTTTTTATACTTGTTCCCAACATATATAGGGATCTATTTATACTCTTTCTTTTCATGTCGAATCTTGCCCTGATGAGTCAGGTTGTCATATCCCGTCATTTAAAGACCTTCAACTTTGCAGAGTCTCAAGAATTTGATAAGATCATATGATATACTTAATATCCCAGTATCCTAATGTTCACTCTCAGACTGATCAGAATAGTCCTTCGTGATATTTACTTATTATGTGATGATTTTATCTGGTGCTAACACGAAGTTAATATTTCATAGCACTTAATAATATCTCATATACATTTCAAATTTCAGCTGGCGTCAAATTACGAGAAGAAGAAAATTCAAACGGATAAGTAATATTTTATCAAATAGTTCTCTATTTGCAAATCCTGTATATGTTCGATTATTTCAGGTAGTTCAAAAGTAAGTGTATAAATGCAAAATATTTCTGTTGGATGTTTAAAGATTTTATAAAACGTTATTAAACATTGGTTTAAAATGAAGTAAAGTGTAGTAGCTTTTCATTCTACACAGCATAAACGGTACCATATACCTTTTAAATAAGGGAAACCCGATATTTTTGTAATTTTGTCTGAATTATATGTTCGAATATACCTTAATTTTTATTTTATTGAGAGTCTTTTTTATGGGATATGTATTTGTGCTAAGTCATACAAAGGGATTTTTACGCCACAAGTGATCTTCAGATTTAGCATAAAATTTAAGAGTGAACGAATGTGATCTCAAATTATATTAAGAGAGAGACAGAGATGTTTAAGTATGGTTCTTAGAGCGTTTAAAACGATCGAGAGAACATTTTTTGTCACCATTAGGAAGTCTGGTCAGCCCTAATGGGTCAGTGTTTGACCAAATCTCAGCACGGATTCGAAAAGCTCGTTCGGTTTTTGCCAACTTACGTCACCTATGGCGAAGATGAGATGTCTGTCTATCAATTAAGGGACGATTATACTGCGTGGCAGTTTGTTCTGTTCTACTCTATGACTGCGAAATGTGAACATCTAGTGTAGAAGATACGCGTAAGCTACTAGTATTTGACAACAGATGCCTTAGAATTATTGCTCGCATCCGCTAGGATCACCGGGTAAGTAATAGTTTGGTTAGACGTAGGGTATTAGGGAATGATGATAAATCATTTGATGAAGTTGTGAATCTTCATCGACTGAGATAGTTGGGTCACGTGTTGCGTATGCCTGGACACCGATTACCACGACGCGCAATTCTGACTAGTGTTGGTTATGGTTGGAAGGAATTTAGGTCGGCCTAAACAAAACGTTGCACCAGCCCATATAGTTACTAACTTCTAATTTGAACCATGTTGGTAGATGCAGACTACTTGGTTGGGGTCCGCGTGACTATCGTAACCAATGGCTGAAGGCTGGGTGACAGCTCAGAATCGGTCACCATGGAGTCGGTGTATACACACTCTGTCTTCCTTTAAACTATAAGATTAAAATTATTTCATATCTTTCTTTCTACCGACTAATTCTTTCTTCCTGTACTATATCCCTATATACGATTTTTCACTTATATATTACCACTACTAAATTAATTACTACTATGAATTTGGTGTTCATCTTGTTGTGCTAATACGGTAGGGTGACTTGGACCGATGCATATATGTGCCTGATACTACGTTGTAGCTGACTGACTGATGTAACACTTGAATAGACTCATAACTCTAGTCCAAAATCTCTAATTCTGGCACTAAATTCTAACTACAAGCAATTTGATGACCCCTAAACTATTATTTTCAACCTTTTTAGCGTTCAAGAAGCCGTAGATTTTACAGACATATAGAAAAACTTCATATATCGTTTTTCTGTTTTACATACAGGAAAATGTGTAAATGACTGAAACAAATCCCTTAATTATGTGTAATTTTTACTTGATCATTGTATTTTCTCATAAATTATTAATTCACTATAATTGTTTTGCGACTGGTTAACATTTGTCACGGTTATTTTATGAAACGTTGAAGCACGTTCCTCCCTTACTAGTTAACTAAGGAACATAGAATCCAACATTACTATTCAAGTTAAAAATAGTCCTCAGCAGTGATTTTGTCTACTCTAAAGATATCTAAAATATCTTAGTAACTATCGGCGGATATTTGGAGGATAACTTCATATAACCGAATTAGTAAGTACCAATAATTAAAATAGCAAGGCAGATGTATGCAAGAAAACTGTAGTTTTGTGATAGTAATCACTTTATAAAAAAGGGAAATTAGGAATAATGTCATAGGACTCCTTGGTTAAATGTTCAATCTGCTAACTCCCTCCATAGGCCAATAAATAAATCTCGGATATTCTCAACTTGTATGAGGTCATTGTTACATGGAATATTGCATTAGATAGTGTGTATGTTTTCTGACTTGGTTATTTGTGCTGTATAAACTTTATATTCACGAATAGTTCTCAGTGTCAATACTACAAACACAATGTGTTATACGATTAAGAAGGACAGGAACATGAAATATGGAGAAGTTTGTGGCAGTAGCAGCCGATCAGCAAACCGAATTTAAAGATAGTTAATAACTGAATGACTACAGAATATTCTCAAACAATCACGTTTGATACAAACAGACTGAAAATCTACAATCATTAGAACTTTCAAGATAAATCTAGTAGTATGCAACTGTTCGATTACAAATTGACAGTTCAAGAGCTTTGATCAAAAAGATCACTTTTGTAGTTATACACAGAGTCTAAACGGAGCCTCACTCAACACTGCTAATGTCAATTACCATGGGCCGTTCGAAGAATGATCGATTCCAAACTGAATGTTGAATGAAGTGGTCTGAAATTTGCTTGTCAAATGAATCTATGACCGCGGATAAAATTAGGGAAGCATCACTCGGAGAATGTCATGAGATTCACTTACAGTAGCTGGTAATTTGAAATTCAAACCCATGAATGACGAAAAACAAAGTTGGTTGAAATCGACAATGTTTTGTACCGCCAAACTGATGGAGTAACCATGGGTAGCTCTTAGGGCCCGATTCTGGTCAACATATTTATGGGAAACCTTGAACAAAGGAAGCTCAATCACATAATCAATGGAACTACACTCTACTGTAGATATATTGATGGCATATTTCTCGTCTGAAACAATCATATGCATTCCATAAACCTACTCAATCTGTTTAATGAAGCACACAAGGATATAGATTTTACTGTGGAATATGAAGTTGAAGGTAAGTTCAATTTTCTTGATATTGGAGTCAGGCGAACATCAGATGGCACATTACAAAGACAAATTCACCGCAAAAATACATGGAGTGGCGTTTATCTCAATTACTACAGTTTCTGTCCAATGAGTTACAAAAAGGGTATTGTCCGAAAATGCATATTCGGCGAAGTTTATCCAGAAATATGCAAAAACCAACCCTCGGGTAAAGTATGATAGAGTGGAAAAGAAAACCTGCTTCTTATAATTACACTTCAAAAGAGACGAAATCACTGGAGTAATTAATTACAGAATAAATTCTACGTTGAAACTGACCTACACAACAGCGAAACTGACGACGCTATGGGGAACGAAATGCTCACTCAAACAAACTAAAATCAACAGGTCCTCTTTTCTCAGTAGCTCCGACTGCATTTACCAATTTACATGTACGTACCAAAGCATATACATTGGAAGAACTGAGAGAAGAGTAAATGTTCGCATTTCTGAGCAAATTCTAAATAAATTGAGATTGCGAGGGACAAGGACTCTCATTGACACTCCTCGTCCTTTTAAATTTATTAGCAGACAAAGGAATACTGCTTCTCTATGTATTCAAAAAGAGACAGTAATCAACCTATTAATACCCTGGTAATTCTATTTTTGGTTATGAGTTCTATTTTGTTAATGTTTGGTTTGTTATATTTCTCTTTCATTACCGCATTCTTAAACCACCCCTTCATTCATGCATTCCTACTCACTTGATTCTCTTAAATTATGTGAACCCTTTAAATCTTATACAGTCATTACGTAATCCATCTTACCAGTTTATTTTAATTCCATGAATCCTTCATTACCTCTAAAATTATCACACAATTTATCTTATCTGTCTCTGAACTCCACTCAACTATTACATCACACTTCCCTAATGTTTTCTTAATTCTAACACTAAATTATATATATATATATATATATATATATATATATATATATAATTATTATTATTATTATTATTATTATTATTATTATTATTATTATTGATAACCTTATTATTGATAACCTTTGTCATTCCAATTCTTCACATTCACTTATGTCAATTGCTCCACACTATATCTTACCTCAATGTAAAATTCTAATACATATTTAGTTGTAATCAGCTGATGAGAAACCGCGAAATATAGTAAATTCATATTATACTGCGTCAGTAATTGTTCTTGCTTTCTTTAAATTCATAAAGGGAACTCATTACATGAAATTTTAGTGTGTTATTAGTAAATGAAGCTAATAAAATAGGTCACTGAGTTATAAACTAACTATTGATTAGTAACACATTCCAAGTTCTGAGTTCGATTCATCAAAAAGCTTGAAATAGAGCACTTAAAACTATTAATAAACTAAGATAAGATAATTATTTGGTGTTTCCTGTACTCAATATTACTTTTAAACGAATATTAACTTATGATGAGTATAACTTACATATTAAGAAAATTCTAACAAATTTCATATATCAGTACATGGTTATAGAGATTATTGAGTTTTTAATTGAGATCATGAAACGATTGATGTTAGAGCACTATTGGAAACCTGGAAGCATTGAACGGCCGTTTCGTCCTAGTATGGGACTCCTCAGCAGTGCACATCCACGATCTTGATCCCCGCCAGATTCTAACCTAGGGCCTTCAGTCTCGCGCGCGGACGCTTAACCTCTGGACCACTGAGTCGGAATCCTACGGTGTTAATGTTTAACTTCAACCAATCCATGAAATTTCGCGACCATCTTCCATTGTTCTGATGTGGATACCTGTCTCCACCCGACACAGATTAGCTCCACTGTTGAGGAGTCCCAGAATAGGACGAAACGGCTGTCCAGTGCTTCCAGGTTTCCAATGGTGGTCTAACATCAATCGATTCATGAACTCAATCAAAACATTTCATATATTTATTATCATAGTCTTTTTAATAATGGAAAGTTTCCACTTAATCAATATGTTGAGTACTATTTTTTGTAACTATACTACATTCTCCTTTCCTGATTTGTTTTGATCCTATGTAGATATGAATAACTGAATTCTACTTGGTAACAATATTTCAATGTTCAATAGATTATCTCATATATTTTCTATTCATGATTGTGTGTGTGTCTAGTATTAAAAAGTTATATACTCTTTTGATTCTCACATTTTTAAAAGTCAGTATATGTTACTAGTTGTTCTTCTTCTTATTATTATTCATTGTTTGTAGACTATTTGATTCGCTGGATACTTTGAAATTCTTTCCGAATATCACGGGGTAAGTTATGTGAATGATTATTTTATCTTAATAATAAAATAAACTTTTGTTCTGAATATGATAGAAAAAATGTATCGTAGTCTTTAGTGATTATCATTTGTTACGTGGAGGGTGCATTACTGCTCCGGGTTACCTATCAGGTGATTTTTCTAAGGGACCTATGAATATTCGACCTAACGAAAGTGGACTCATAAGTCATTCATTTATTTAAAAACCTGGAGCTGATATGGATCACTGGTTTGGAATCATAGTTTTTTTAAACTCCTGTAGGTTGATTCTCACTATCCACCTACCAAAATTTAGTCCAACTAGTTTAATTGCCTCCTCTTACTTTTGTGTAGGCATTAATGTCACATGGAGTAAGATTTATTGGTAAAACAATGATTGATGGATGACCTTTTAAGCGATGCTACAGTAATCTTGAGAATATTCACTCACTTGTTATAAATTAGTGTGAGGAATAAGGATTAGATTTTAGAATTAGAAGTTAGGGTTAGGAATTAGAGTTCGGGTTTTCATCTCTAAATGATATCAGCTATGACATCAAGATGCTATTCAACCATATGGAAAAATGAATTTCGCGTCGAAATCCGAGAGGTGTTATCGTTAATTTCATTGGTTTATCCATAAATTGTAGTTTCCTCGACTTGTTACACAAAATAAATGACTGGTATCTAATTATTTATCTGAGTATATAATTCTAAAACCTCCTCTCCACCGGTCAAAAAGTATTTTCATCGTAGCTACATACTAATTTGGATTTCTCGTTTATGTCTTAGTATTTATGTTCTTCTTACTAAGACTTTTTATTTTGTACAGTCCATTGAATATGGTACAATTTTGTGCTCACATTAACCGAAATGTACGTTACAATACTATTTTAATATCACATGTAACAAACTGTATATGTATTGCGTTAAAATTTGCAAGATCTGCTCTCGCTAAACTAATACGTTATAAAGAAGATGAATTAAATTGGAACTCTAAGTAAGTTGATCATTACATACTATTACTTTCATTACTTTGTCCACTTGAATTAAATAAGACTCACTGATGTTATGATGAAACAATTATTACATGTTGCTTTAGAGTTATGTAATCGACTGTTTTTTGTAAATAGTGTTTCGAAGTGATGATTGTTTATTGAAAGCCAAATTATCCATTATATTCTCAAGATAACTGGTTCAAATTTAATATGGTTGAGCTCCACTGGTCATGAATTCTCACACGAATTCGAGTGTGAGACAAATATCTACCAATGACAATGAAAGATAACCGGGCAATATCATAGATTGATTGGAGTTATACATAAATGTGTTGCGAATTAGCGGTCTAGAGGTTAGGAGTTTGCGCATAAGACTGAAGGTCTGAGTTTGATCCCCTGTGATTTTATCATGAATAAACACCACTTAGGAGTTTCATGCTAATATTAAATAACTATTCATTGCTTCAAGGTCTTCAATGGTTGTCCAGCTTAGATTTGTTTGTAATCTTAACGTAAAGCAAATTAATAATAACTTCAAATGTCGAAAGCCCCCAAATGCCTTGGTACGGCCGAAAGTGTGGATGGCCCACCATCCCTCTCTAAATGCTCTCAAATGGCCACGTGCACACAACTACTGCCAGGGAAGTCCTACTCACTAACTTCTCGTGGCATTACTGTTGTTTACGAAATTAAGAGGACGAAAAGCGAAACTCCGACGCTTTAACGGGGTTGTTGGACACGGAGAGACCACTAGATGGTGGTTGGACGTAGTGTTATGACGTGTGACCCGCCTATTAGAGAGCAGCCTATTATCGATCGAAACAGTGACGCATAAAATACGAGCGAGCAGCCTAGAGTGCTGATTGGCCCTGCTTCCCTGTCTAGCCCAGCCAATTGAGTCCAGAACACAAGTCTCAGCCTCGGAGATATGAATCATTATATTTCAAACATACTCTGTTTATATAGCAATCAAACAGAGCACAACGTACCATAAAATAGAAAATAACATTTGTACAAGATTTAACCTTCAGGAAACGACACAAATAAATATTGACCAATAGGGAAATGACACGTTGGAAGAATGTTGACCAATGGGGGAATGACACTATTTCTCATTCAGGAATAACATTAGATAATTTCTGGGGTATTTTCTGAATACCCCAACAAGTAGTCGACAGGAAACCCAGGTCGATAGCGTTAGATCTGCACTAATAAGGACTAGGCACGCATGACATTGATCATCACCCAGTGATCAATCAATTGTGACGGAGAGACCACCTAGGGGAGTTGGGAAACCCTGATTCCAAACCAATAGTACACATGGGCTTAAGTATCCTGATGGAACCAATGGCGTATGAACCAATTGTTGTTCAACGGCTACCATGAAATTGCATCTCCTTACGATGCTCCACTGTCTTGTGGATCAGACCCTAAGTAGACCACCTGCTTCGGTCTGGGCACCCGTGCAGTATAACAGCCTACACACAAATCAAATCAAATGACGATATTCACTGAAAAATAAATAAATAAAATGTAGAAAAAGTCTACTCATTTAAATACTTATGTTCAATAATATTCCTGGATTTGCAATAGTATATAATTGAATTCTCCATTTTAAAACACCTTTTAAATTATTCTTCATTAACATTTAAATAACTTCTATCTGTTGTATTCTTCATTTTAAATAAAGAGAAATCAATCAAACTATATCAATGACTGAAACATGGAAAAAAGGTTTAACAATAAAAAATAATTTAGAACAATTACGTAATCAATTGAATAATTTTCCAAATTTATTACATTGTATACGTTATCGACTGGCAAGTTCTCTTTTATATAAATTTCAATCAAGTATACAAAACTATATTTATGATGAATTAAATTTAAGTAGTATAAAACAGAAAGATAAACAAAGTGAGGATATCAAAGAAGATCTAATTGAGAAGAATTTTCGTTTAGTTATTTATCCTGTTTTATTAAAACAATCTGAGGGTAAGTTAAAAGTATCCAGGATTTGAACATTAACTATTGACTTATGATTTCAACTATTGAAGTTACTAAAATCTCCAAAAAACCCCTTCTGATAATAATCATCTGCTCAATAGTGACTTACTTCAAGAGACATTTCGTGGAGTTCTAGTAAGAAGCCGTTACCATTAGAGTTCAACCAGGTCTGTTGTGAGATATCAGCTTACTGAAGATAGTGATGTACGGTGGTGCAATTTCGTGGATTGGTTGAAGTTAGACATTAACACCGTTGGATACCGACCGGCTCAGATGTCTAATGGTTAAGCGCGAGACGGATAGGTCCTGTGTTCGAATCTCGCAGGGGGGACGGGATCGTGGATGCGCACTACTGAGGAGTCCCATACTAGGACGAAACGGTCATCTTGTGCTTCCAGGTTTTCCATGGTGTTCTAGCCTCAATTGACTCATGATTTCAACTATTGATTTTACTAAAATCTCCACAAAACCCCGTCTGACATTAACTATCCATTAATAGGGAATGAATTTTATTTTAATTCAAGTTGCTTAGGTTTGTTTTATTTCTAAAAATAGATTTTTGTTATCATCAATTGGTATGTTTTATTTGAAAAGCCACTAGAAAACTGGTAGAATATGCAAAAAGTTTGAAGCATCCTAAAAATGAGCACAGATATACAACTGTACTCGGGATAACATTAGGTTTAACAAAGTACATTATACTTTTAAATATACCGTTAGTTTATAATTCAGTGGTCTGTCTTTCCACTTTTAGTTAATTCGTAATACAGATAAATAATTAGTTTATTGTAATCGGATAGTAACTATCTCAACCTCTATATTTACACTGGTGAATCACTGTCCAGTAAACAGTGTCACATTTATCAAGTTACGATTTAACAATTAGTTTAAGTGACTTGACATTGTGTACACTATGTTTTGATATTATGTGTTTGGGATCAGTCGGCAGGAGATCAGTGAAGGCTCAAATAAGACAATTGTAACTAACGTCTTAGAATAGTAAGGTTGATGGATTAGTTTTAAATTCCATCGGAAAGCATTAATCATATCAAGATTGCTGGGACAGCCTGCTGAAAACCGCAAACTAATATGTAATGTATGTCGAAGGTTTTCTATCCTCTTTCTCTCATCACCTACACAATTTTAACATGATTTAACTTCACCGGTCATAAGTTTGTTAGATTTTTAACTTGAAACAAACCATACCATACAAGAACTAAACTAGAGTACTACTCGCAGATGTCCCAATAACTGGTTTCTTAGTTACAGAATATAAGTTTGAAAGTGGCCAATCTATAACGTAATTAAAAGTATACAACATAACCGTAAGAAAAACCTTCAAGTATCATAGCGAGTACAGGATTATTCACTCAACATATCTAATACAAAATGTTTACAAATTTACTAGTAACGGTTTGCAATTTTTTATTGTTGAAATTCACGACTTAATTTGGATTAATTTATGTTAACATACATGCATCCCTTGAGGATCACCTTTATAAACCATCTTTAGTTACATGTTTTGGTAGATTCGTATTGTCTACCTTGTTCATAAACGTGTTGATATTTAAAACACCAATTATTGGGTTTAAGTTGCAATATGAACATTAACACTAATGAGACGTGATGATGAGTTCCAAATAGGACGAAACGCGTCCCACCTATTGATTTCTATACTGAAACTCAGTAGCCATCATTTCAAGCATCAACTTGTAACTAAATAGGTTAATATAAAGTTAATTCTTACAAGATGAATGTTTACCGACAAAAAAATTATTAAACTTCATTCTTGACTATCAGTAATAATATAATACAAACTCTTATTATTATTATTATTATTATTATTATTATTATTATTATCATTATTATGTTAAACTATGTTAATAAATCTTATTTTATCTATTTTCTTTTGAAAAAAAAAACAAAAACAAACAACAACACACCTTTATATTCATACACAATATTCTCATGTTATTAAAGAACCAAGTCAATTATTTCTTTGGCCATCATCTGTTACTATGGTAACTATTTTCAATTTAACATTTGAACAATTAAAAGAATCATTACATTTAAATAAAACAATATTAGAAAATCAACTTATTCAAATATATTTAAATGAAGAGAAAGAAATTGAAAATATTAATGAAATAATTAATAATCAAGCTTATACTAATTTTATTATTCAAATATTTGATAAACATTCTAATTTAATAATTAATAAAAACGATATAAAACATACAACAATTATTCCATGGAATAGAATTAATCCAAATGGATTAGAAGTAACCAATGTGTATATACGTGATATGATTGTTAATTATTATCTACCAAGCTATACAGATTTTGTAAAAGGTTAATCAATGAAAATGTTTGTGTTTTTCTATTTTATATTTCATATACTCTAATTAGACAATTGACATACATTTACTTTGACCAATTACCCTTAGATTTAGACTACGACATTATGAAAGTAAAACATGACCGGTAAGAGTAGAGGATATTTTTAGGTTACTAGTATTCGATCAGAGATGTTTTCGAAGCATTGCTCGTATATCCCGAGACCACTGAGTAAGTAATGCAGTTGTTAGAAAAAACGGATACTAGGTAAGGATGGAAAATCAATTGATGAAATAGTGAAACTTAATCAGTTGAGATGGCTGAGACACGTGTTACGTATGCCCGACCATCGACTGCCACGACGTGCGATGTTTTATGGTGTAGGAGTAGGTTGGGAGAGAGCTAGGGGCGGCCAGACCAAAACATGGCACAAATCCATGAAGTCAATGACAAGTGGGCTGGGTTATGTCGGTAGGTGTAGACTACCTGGTTGGAATCCGTGAGACGATAACAACCGATGGTTAGAAACACTGAATAACATGGCTGAAAATCGTTTGCAGTGGAGCAGATGCATCCACTCTTTGTGTTCTCCTAAATTCTAATCTTCTGAATTCTTCATGTCCCCTATTTTTTCTCTTTCGAAATTTATTTTACTGGATTCTACTCCTTGAATAACATCTTCAAACCGTAATCTTTCCGATTACTGCTTATACTTTCACTGGCTCCACCACTATGGAATTTGAATCGACAATTGTATCTGTGTGCTAATGTGATATTGCAACTCGAACTGATCCAGGTACATACGAAGTTCTACGTTGTTATTGACTGACTGAGACCACGACTGCCCCTCCTAAGGTATATATACTCAAACACACATAAAAACTGCTAAACAAAATGGGATGTGCTACACTCGTTTACCTGGTATTCGGGTTTTCGGTGAAGCGCGGGTCTTGGCTTTTGGTTAACAATGAGGCAGACTGTGCTGATTTTGTCTTCATACAAGATTATGTGAGCCACTTCTGGATGGTGGGTTATTTTGAATGTTATAGGTGTATTAGACTAAAAAAATATTATGGCTTTAATGTTGCTTCATAAACTTTAATGAATAACCAATTTAAATAGATATTTTGGTTAAAAGTTTTACTTTATTTTTCTTTCCTTCAATAGTATTATTTGTAGGAAAACTGATTTGTCCGCAGTTTTAATACTATCTAATTTAATGAAACCATCAGTTTACTGTGTATTTATAAGGTGAACTGCCTAAATAAAGGACTTTCTAATGGAAATTCATTGTAACGATACATTTAATTAGTTTTGTATGGAGTGTTTGTGAGCAAGGGAATTCGTTACAACTCACTTTTGTTCGATAGTTGAGAACAGTCAAAAGAAAGCTTTTAAACTTACGTTTCATTTCAGTCGAACGAAATTGTTACCCTTTCCACTAATAGAAATCACATATTTATATGTCATAGTTGGATTACTAGCATGTCGTGCTGAGAAGTGACCATTAGTAAAAAATGTAGATCCACAGCTACTTCCTATTTGTCTTCAATCAGGTAACATAAAAATAAAATGCGTCTCTAAGTAGGGTCACCTAGTTTAGGTGGCCTCGCTGAAAATCTGATCAATTAGTTAGATCAATGCCGAAGATGAAACAAGATGATAATAGTTGAAAAACCTAAAAATTAGTGCATTGTTTCAAGTTGATACTGACAAATCTGTCAAAAAATATATGAGGCAACTTAAAAGGATGTTAAATTTGGACAGAAAGATAAAATGTAAGTGACAAAGAATTGAATGGAAATATAGTCATAGATTTTCCACGACTCATAACGAGTCATTGAATCTTCATCAAAGAAATGTTTTTGGCATGTATCATAGATACTCAAACACTATTTATCGTAAACTGGTATGCTATCAAGGAGAGAAGTAAGTTGAAAAGAGAATAACACCTGTCCAACAATAATAAAATTTGGATTCATGAATTTACTGAATATTGTTCTGAGTTCAGTTAACTATTTCATGATTTACATCTTAGAGATAATCACAATCTGTGGTCACTGTATTTAAGTGATATGGTCTGTACTTCGTAGCAGCGTTGTTTTTGACTAAGCGAGCTCATAATTAGTGAAGAAGTTAGTTGGGTCCCATTGATACATAAATCCAACCAATTAGCTATATGAAGCGACGGTGAGATCCCAACCAAGAAGTCTAATGGTTAGATGCTTGATGTGAGACTAACGTTTTTGGGCTAGATCCCTGACGTACTCGTGGATGTGCAAGGATAAAGAATCCAGTACTTTCAGGTTTTCCATGATGGTTTAGCTTCAATTGACTCATGATGTCAACTATTAAAATTACTATAATATCCACAAAAACCCCTTCTGTTATTAATCTCTTACTAGTTTGAATCAGTTGTCCAGTGCTTCCTACTTTTTAGTGATACCACAGATTAGACCAATCCTCGATAATACCATTAACAAATGAATAAAATTGCCTGAAAGTTTATTTCTTAATTTCAAACAATCTTAATTTTAGGCCTTATACCTGAACATCAGTTTCACCAAAATCAATCAATATTATCTGGTAATGATCTAGATCAATCCCATCTTAATATTAGCGGTCATAATTACTTCCCTACCATTGAAAATGTATCTCAAATGGGATTATATTCTCTTATTGAGCAACAGTGAGTCAATTTATTATCTTGTTTCATTTATATATATATATATATATATATATATATATATATATATATATATATATATATATATATATATATATATATATATATTATCAAGAGTAGTTTGTTGCATAATTCGGTCGATTTTTCACCAATGAGAGGTTCAAATCATGTGCTAACCTAGTTAAGTTTAAATAACTAGTTAACATCATTAAGCTTTGTACAAAACGTTTGAGTAGAAGTTGAGTGCACGGAATTGTATTGTGGTCATTGAATTCGGTTGTCTTATTTTATGCATAATCTCATTATATGTAAAAATTATATTTGAATTAATCTCAGTGATTGACATTTAAATCATTCCAACGTTTCGTCCAGCTAACTTGTCTGGACTTCTTCAGGGTAAGACGTTCAGACAAGTTTGCTGGACGATACGTTGGAATAATTTAAATGTCAATCACTGAGATTAATTCAAAGATGTATGACCTTGTGTATGCTTAGAAAATTCAAAAATAACTTCAAGTTTTCTATAACACATATCAACTTTACGGTTAATCAGTAGTTACATACAAATATAGTATTGTTTTGTTTCAGGATACCAACTATCCTCATAATATATTTATATATCAGCTATTTAATGATATAATATGGGGAGCAATAAGTAAGCCTAATAATTAGGCCTAAATTTTGTGTATTCAATAAATAACCTATAATAATCATTGGAGTTTTGAGCGAATTTCGGTCATGTCTATTTAATGCAAAGTATTTTGTATATAAATATGTAATTTTGTTAAATGAAATGACCAGTTATTCTATCTTTGGTTAGAATATGGCATTAATAGTTAAGATTTTTGATTAATCATCCCTAAGTTATACTAATCTCATTGATTTAAGCAATCGATTGTAGATCCATAGTCAGACAATGTGTCTTCCGTTTTATTTTATTTGAACACATAGATATTGGCACAAAGAGGCACCAAATACATATGCGTCACACAAATCAAATAAGATTTGTATGAGGACTGGAATACTGCTCGGATGCTAAAACCGAAATAGATGGTCTACTTAGGGAGGCCACACCCGGAGCCTTCGACCTACGAGGTAGTGGAGCATCGTGAGGAGATGCAGTCCCATGGTAACCGGTGACCAACATTAGGTTCATACGCCATTTGTTACATTAGGATACTGGAGCCCATGTACACCATTGATTTGGAATCAGGGTTTCCTAACTGCCCTAGATGGACTCTCCGTATCCACCAACCCGGTTAAAGTGTCGTACATTCGCTTTTCGTCCTCTCAATTTCGTAAACAACACCCGTGGTGCGAGAAGTCAGTGAGTAGGACTTCCCTGGCAGTAGTTGTGTGCACGTGGCCATTTGAGAGCATTTTTAGAGGAAGAGCGGACTCATACCAGAGCATTTGGGGGCCTTCCAGGGCATATGCATGCAAATTTGCCTCGTTATTGTTCCTATTTGGGGTACCTAGCCTGTCGTATGCCCTGATAGTTTTCTCGTAACTTTCGAGTTGCCTGATCTTCTAAGAACGATGGGACAGTGCATGATATTATTGTTATGTGTTAGGTTCAAAGAGAATTGTATGCTATATGCATGCAAATCCGCCCACGTTATTGTTCCTTCCGTTATAAATGGATAGTAATTAGTACTTAATCAATGGGGAAAAGAAAAAAGATTTCACATGCTCTTATATTTTAAACGTTTGCTTAACGATTATTGGTATTCATTACAAATATTCAGAAATAGACACTGTTCTGTAAAAAAAGTCAGTCATTATAAAATAGAACTTATCGGAAGTATGAATTAGTTTAATTTGTTACACTTTGCATCAGAATAGCTACAGGAAGTTGATATACATGGATGAACAGTCAACATTCTACCTAACATAACGCAGTAAACTTCTATAGATCTGAGTTATTATTTGATTTATTCCAACATTGTTTAATTATTAATATTAAGTCTTTAAAAAACCAAAACGGAAAGAACTGCTGCTCAGTATACTCTTTCCTTGGTTGGCGGACGGTCATTTCACCCACTTTACAAGTGATGGAAGTATCTTAACTGTATAGGAAAATGTCATCCGAGTATTTTAATTCGATAGGTAAATTTCCTGGTAGGAAATAAACTATGATATATCAAAAGGTTTGATGAGTTTAAGATATGAACCATTGAGTTTTGGTTCAGTGATCTACTGGCCACTTGTCTGCTGTTTTACTCAAAGTGTCTAGGTTCTATTTCGCATGAACCTATTGGTTAGATACCATTAAGGATGAAATAAATTTACAGTAACTCTTTGTTTTTTAATAATTCTGTTCAACTTATACTAATTTTTAATGGCTACTACGTAGATCAAATAATTATTACGATCATTACTAAATATTGTTCCAGAATAGATGGAATGAGCTACTGGCTGTCTAGACTCATCAGCTAATTGAATAACGCAGTGGAAATTGAAGCGAACGGTACTGGGTTTAAGTTTCGGAATAGGTATGAACTCTAGAATGCAGGTACGTACAAATGACGAGTTCAAGATACGATGATACGCTCGTCATGGATTCGATTGCTGGCTACATTCCATCTATTCTGTACTAAATTGTGTCATAATTAGCTATATCGAGACAATCCGCAGCGGATGGACAAGTGCCAACCAAGACTAATAAAAATTCAGTCGAAATATCAACAACGAAATAATCCAATACATTTTAATTTAGACTATAAATCATTCTATTTATAGATGTGAAGCGATGAAACTTTATGACTATTTAATGACTTCATGGAGTGACAGGATTCATGAAAAGACGAATAATATAATTCAATCTTTACAATGGATTATCAATATGAATGAAACAATAAATGAATTGAGTATACTATTAAAGAATGAAGATTTACATACAGAATTTCATAAACATCAAGTGAGTCATTCAAGTAGTATGTTAAGATACATTTCAATTCTAACAGCATACATTGATCGGTTGTTTAAAAAAATTTGTTGTATACATTTGACGATGATTTTCACCACAAATTGATGTCAGTTGTAGACTAATAGCTCAAAGGCTTTCCACGAAAATTAATAATAATTATATGTCTATTAAAGTTCAGATTTATTTAGCGGAGTTTTATTGTTAAGTCCTGGGTTCGAATCCCGCGAGGCGGAGTCGTGAATGGGCACTGCTGAGGAGTCCCACAATAGGACGAAACGGCCATCTAGTGCTCATGACTCATGCTCTTAACTATTGTAAAAATCCATAATCTATTGCATTGCCTTAATTCGAAAGTATAGAAGTTACCGACTGGGAATATTAAATAAAAATCAGACTCTACTGTAAATTCCATTCAACTGGAAAATTTGGACTATTGAATTTTTAGTGACATTATTATATCTTTAAAATCCTAAGATCTTAGATTTAGTACCATCTTTTGACTTACGTTTTAAACTTCATTAATCCAAGGATATATTAACTGGTTGGAGGTAGTTGGAAGAAAATATCAAACCCATGTTTCGTGCTAGTTGACACCCACCAGCTATGTGCACTCTCAATCTTGAAGCAACTTATGCTTTACAAGATTCGGACTAACATACTCTACTCCTACAATCTGAGACAGCACATCTGAGCTGTTTGAACCGAGTTTTATTATCTTTTAGATAAATAAAATTGAACCGATTAATTACTACTGAATAATAGACATCAATTTTGTTAAACCTCAGATAATTATGACACAAGTTGGTACAGAATAGATGGAATTTAGCTGGCAATAGAATCCACGACGAGCGTTTCGTCGTTGATCGGATCCTACTAATCCGGTTGAGATGTAGCCATCAGTTTAAGTGACTTGATTTTACGTGCGCTGTGTGTTGACGTTATCTACTTGGAGGTAGTTGGAAGAAAGATTTGAACTTGGGTTTCCTACTAGTTATGAATATTCCCCGATCACTAGTGACAACTTTCTCGTGTTCAAAAGCATTGGACTTTATTAAGTCTCTTGAATATTGTTTGGAACTCTGAGAATCCAATTTAAAGTTGCTCACTGGTGAATACATGGTTATTGCTTTAAAGAAAGCAACTTTATTTAAGATAAATCCTTATGAATTTTGCTTGTGGAATGACTGAACATTAATTTTCATAATCATACTCATACACTCAATTCAAGACTAATTACTCTAATAACAATTTAATTGAGACAATTTTAGCTGACAAATGAAATACACAGATTAGATGTTCTGTTTTTCATGTTTTAAAATGTGTACAAAATACAACACACATGGAAAAAGGTATATTTTGACTGAATTTTAAATATTATAGGCCTTCTATTTATAATTTTACAACACGGAGAACATCAAGCTAATTACACTTGATGGCGAAACTTTGGAAGATGGGGAATCCTTCACTTACCTGGGAAGCATCATCGATGAACAAGGAGGATCAGATGTACACGTAAAGGCGAGGATTGGCAAAGCAAGGACAGCATTCCTACAATTGAAGAACATATGCAACTCAAAACAACTGTCAACCAATATCAAAGTCAGAATCTTCAATATGAACGTCAAGGCAGTTCTACTGTATGGAGCTGAAACTTGGATAACTACCACAACCATCATCATCAAGGTACAAGTATTTATCAATAACTGTCTACGCATTATACTCAACATCCATTGGTCGGATACCATCAGTAACAGCCCACTGTGGGAGAGAACAAACCAGTTTCCAGTTGAATAGGAAATTAGGAAACACAATGGAAATGGATAGGATATACATTTGGGGAATCACTAAACTGTATCACGAAGCAAGCCCTAACTTGGAATCCTGAAGGTAAGCGGAAAGGAGGAAGGCCAAAGAACATATTACGTCGGGAAATAGAAGCATATATGAAGAGAATGAATAAGAACTGGAAAGAGCTGGAAAGGATTTCCCAGGACAGGGTTGAATAGAGAGTGCTGGTGAGTGGCCTATACTCCTCCAAGAGGAGTTACACGTGTAAGTACGCATGTAAGTACCTATTATTTCAACCGGTAATAAGGACATTTAGTACCGTTGTTTCGTCTGACCTAGAAGTAGACGTTGAAGAGTTTGTTCAGAATGATGATGAAAGCTCTTCATTTAAATCATTTAACTAAGATGATACAATACCACGATAAACATTTACATGAACTACAAATCTTTCCCCTATCAATTCTGTAGTAAGAACGTAATAAGTATCAGTTTAACCAGTACACAACATGTTTTAACGATTTAAAAAAAAAATTTATTCACCTTATTTTTAGCGCTTATTTCAAGCATCATTTCAATGGGTCAATAATTTAGTAAATCATATTAAATATGAAAGTCTTTTAAATGATAATGAAAATAATGGTTTACAATGCTTCATTTTAATTGACTACAATCCATTATTTAATTTATTATATAATGAAATTACAGAGAAATTAAGTAAATTATTTTCAATATTTATAACAATAGTTCAAAATTCATTAATATCAATCAGTAATCAATTGGATGATTTCATCCAAGTAAGTTATGTAATTTTGTTTTATTAATGATAATATGAGGTATTGTTTCCAAATCTGTACTCACCTTCTTATTGTTGAATAAGTTTTCGTAATTTCACCTGTTTGCATTCATGTAAATTATTGTTGTTGGATGTACTCCACAAATTCCCTGGTACGGCTAAGAGTGGGGAGAGTCCGCTCTCCCTCTCTAAATGCTCTCAAATGGCCACGTGCACACAACTACTGCCAGGGAAGTCCTACTCACTGACTTCTCGCACCACGGGTGTTGTTTACGAAATTGAGAGGACGAAAAGCGAATGTACGACACTTTAACCGGGTTGGTGGATACGGAGAGTCCATCTAGGGCAGTTGGGAAACCCTGATTCCAAATCAATGGTGCACATGGGCTCCAGTATCCTAATGTAACAAATGACATATGAACCAATTGTTGGCCACCGGTTACCATGGGACTGCATCTCCTGACGTTGCTCCACTGCCTTGTGGATCAGACCTTTAGGTTGAAGTCTCCGGGTGTGGCCTTCCTAAGTAGACCATCTATTTCGGTTTGAGCATCCGTGCAGTATTCCAGCCCTCACACAAATCAAATGAGATTTGTATAGCGCATGTATATCTGGTGCCTCCTTATACCAATATTTATATGTTCAAATAAAATAAAATAAGATGGATATAAAAAGCAATAATTTGTTTAGTGATGATTACCTGTTTTTAATAATTGAATTCATGAGTCGATCTAAGCTAGACCACTATTGAAAACCTGAAAGTACTAAACGTCCGTTTCATCCTGGTACTCATCCACAATCCCTCATGCAATCACCAGTTTAGATTCAAATTTAGATGTGATTACAATCAGAGATAGTTTGTTTCTCGACATGCTATATTTTTATATATTTGAATAAAAACTATGCATCTAGATATCTTTAGCATATATATTTCTATACCACTTAAAAGAACCACTATTATTTTTTCAATTTCTGTAGTCATATCCTCAAAATTTCTTGTTAGGAATAAAAAAACAAGATCAAAGCTGATTTGTTATCGAATAACACATCGGGAACGCAAAGAACTAGAAGCAATTCAGATGATAGGATCAAGGTACAAAAAAGGAATAATATTAAGGAATTAAAACTTGAGATTTAATTTAAAAGATGAAATATTTTGTACTTTATTCAATAAAGAACTGAAATCCATGTATACATTAATATATCAAATTGTTTTGACGAGATTATCCATAGATACTGGACTCATGTTTTATGCTTGTTGATAGTTTACAGCAAACAGTATCTATAATCTACAGAGAACTAATTCCTCTCATGTTAATCTAACTTAAATCAATCAATGTTATAATCAGAAACATTACCATTTATCTGTATGACTAAGTTTGAAGAGTATTGGATTTAAAAACAAACAAACAAACTCCCATTCAATATCTTGACAATGTTTTGATATGTTTTTTATACTTTATTATAGATACATACAAATATTCAATCTGATTTTAATGGATTCATACAAGTTGTTACCTATTTAAATCGTGTACATATTTGTCATGAGAAATTATTCCAAGACCATGATAATCTATGTCGTCAAGTTGAGGTACGTTCTAATTTTAATTTTAAAAGTAAACATAAATGTATAACTTAGGATGAGATTATAATTTATGAACGACCTTTGAGTGATGCTAAAGTGTTCTTGAGAATTCTCACCTACTAACTTAAGGGGAATGAGTGTTATAAAGTGCTGAGAAGAATAAGGATTATGATTTACAGTTGATGGTTAGGGTTAGGAATTAGATTTAGGGTTTTCATCACGAACAGGTGTTAGCTAAAATGCTAAAACCCTCTTTAATTGAATGGTTGAATGAATTTCGCGCCAAAACCAAAGACCTGTCATCCTAAATCTAATTCGTTCGTCCATAAATTATAGCCTTGCCAGTTCAGTGTTAAATTCATTTTTGTATATAGACTAGTTTATATTATGTATGATGTTTATTAACTAACAATTAAATACCTGTAATATAAAATTATAAATACCTGCCATGATTTTGAATAGTAAATGAAATCTTCATCTAAATTTTAAGATGTGTTTCCTGGAGTCCTAGTACGTAGACGTGACCAGTGGAGTCAAACAGTGTCTGATATGAAGCAGTTGCTCACTGAAGATAATAGTAGGCGTTTGCGCAATATTGTGGGTTGGTTGAAGTTAGACATTAACACCACTGAATACCGGCCCAGTGGTCTAGAGGTTAAGAGACCGAAGGTCCGGGGTGCGGTATCGTGGATACGCACTGCTGAAGAGTCTCATACTAGGACGAAACGATCATCTAGTGTTTCCAGGTTTTCCATGGTGATCTAAATTCAATTAACTCATTTATTTACCTATAAAATCCGTAACTGTTTATTGAATGAAGCAATGGGTATCTTGAAAAAAAACAAAATATTTTTTTTCATTTTATTCTTCAGTTTATACAACATTTTCAAAAATGTTTAAACCATTGTGAAGAATTGAAATTTATTCAACTTGTTAAATGGTCACAATATGAACAGTTTATAATTAAATGGAAAAAGTTTACAAATCAAATTGAATGGGCTAGAAAAAAATTTCAAAGATATCAAGAAGAATTCTATCAAGTCTATAATAAAAAAGTTGAGGTAAGTAAAGATGAATAGTGGTTAGCAGTGGAATCCAATTTGACGCGCGTTTCGTCCCATTTTGAACTCGTCAGCTGGACTTCACTTTACATTCAATTGATGTCATTTTATGGTGAAAACTAATCTTGTATTGAATAAACTGCTCAACTTCTTAATTTTATAGTTTCTTATTTTAATCTAGCTCATATGTCATTGAGACTAACGGTAATCAACTAAAATATGATGTTGAATAAATCCACTTGGTATTGTTTTACTTGTATTTTCTCATTGCCATTTGGGACTGAGATTGATTAGTCTCGTGTTGACATATGTGCATTGATATAGCTTTAAGTCACAAGCTTTTTGAGCAAAGATGGATAGTGGCTAGCAATGGAACCCAGGACGCTCATTTCGTTCCATTTGGGACTTGTCAGCTGGATATACCTTCATTGCAGAGTTGATGTTCACTCCTGGACTCGAACCCAGTACCGTTCGCTTTCAAACGCCATCGCGTTATCCACTTAGCTATTGAGTCCTATCCACTATCCATCTTTGCTTAAAAAGCTTGTGACCTAAGGTTATATCGAGGCAACCCGCACAGGATGCACATATGCCAACATGAAACTGATCAATTGCAGTCCTAAATAACAATGGGAAGATACAAGTAAAACAACACCAAATGAATTTAAGTTGAGGTAATATTGACAATTTTGAAAGTACTAGTATCATTATTATATATACAAGCGAATATTGTCTATCTAGAATGAATACTTTGGTATGGTAATATAATTTATACAAGAAAGATTAGTTCAGCGGAGAGTTCTCTTTTCGGTGAATTCATTTTCAAAGCTGTACAATCGCAAATATACATTTACTTATTTTTACAGGATGATCATATTACTGATAGTAAACTTCTGTTAGACATGGTGACAGTGAGGTAGAATAAACAAAGGTATTAAAAAATTTTTTAAAATTGGGAAACTAATAATCGTTTGATTGTTAATGGCTTAAGTATTCGTCAAAAGATAGATAGGGAAATTATCATTGGGAAAGAATGGCTCATCATGATAAGATAAAATGTTGGAATTGAGATTAAATGTAATCAGAATGATGGTGGAAACAAAAATAAACCAGTTTGGGTAGAGGATTTTAGGAGGAAGATGGAAGGTGAAGCAGGTGGCTGTAAAGGAAAAAGAGTATGAGAAAGAGAAATATATATATATGACATTAAGACTATGATAGAAGAGGAGGTTGTACCAATCTCTTTAGCACATACAATTCTGGCTAATGCTTCGGCAACGCAAAGAAGATGCGGTCTAATTGTCTTTGGAAGACCTACTTGTTTCTAAAGTATACTAGTAGTTAAATGACAAGAGTTGTTTATTGTTTTTATGTGGTACAGATACCAAGAATCTGTTTCTATTGGCAGTATTGAGGTATCTGCTTAAGATTCAAATATAATAACATAAAGTGATTAACTACAGTCCTGAATATCAATTATGGGAAAGTAAAAGTTCTAAATGGAATTTCAATCATTGTACTGAATATTTTGTCGATAAACTCAGTCATCCTATGCTACTTTATTAAATCAATATTTAAGCAGTAAATGTCATCCCAATGTTTATTTATTTATAAATTTTTGTGTGGTATCCCTGAGAATCAGCCATTCACGATGCGCCTTTTCCTGACCGTTGTTGCTACCTTGACGTGGTGGTCGGGCTTGCCTATCGTGATGAGGCAACTGAGCTATACTGGATGGAAAAATCGTTCCTCAAGGTCCTACCATGCCAGACAGGTTGGTTGAAGCGCGGTAAGACTAAAAGCAACAAATCCAAGGTCCAAAGGTGAAGTCGTACTGCTGACTGTACAGAGGTGTGACAACAGCAATGTGTTTCCTTCAGACAACCAGCATGACAGCTATGGTGCCTTTCCACAAGGAGGACTGGGGTTAGAAAAGGTCGACCTTGAAAATGCACATCTCTCCTTATCCCACGGATATCCGTCTCCCTCGGTAAGGTCTCAACAAGTACGGAGCTAACACGAAAATTACTCACAAAAAGATCTAATGTGACCGACCTCAAGCAGTTGTCCCCTGGGCACTGCAGTCACGCTCTCAGGTCACTATGACCACCTCTAATCCAATTTCCTTTTCAGGTGCCTCCAGATGCGCTTTTTGTGGCACTTAAAGATTTTAGTCTAATTCATGAGAAATTATGTACTTTTCAACATTGTTGCATAAATTCGTATACAAAAATGTATACTAATTTGATCAAAACCTATTGTTTCACGTTTATTTTCAATAATAATAATTTCATATTAGGAAACTATAAAAGAAGTTGAACGTTTAGTTCATTTACTTACAACTGGTAAATATTCTGATGTTAATAATGATGCACAAATGATACTAAACGACATGAAGGAAGTAAGTTTTATTGAAAAGTATAATTGTTTAATGTTATGGAAATTTTTATTTTCATTGCTCAGAATATGTATCTTAGTTTACATAAAAGTCATGCAAATGTATAAAATAGTAGAGGGTTAGAAACAATCAGAATGAAGCCGTGTTGATTTGAATTTTATTCTGGTTGGCATTTTATAGTTTATATCACTAGATGATCTTTGTTAGACAACTATTGGAAACCAAGAAACACAAGAAGGTCGTTATTTACATTATAGAACTAATTAGTAGACGACACCTTTGATTAACCGTTAGAACACTGATCCGTAATCCACCGGTTTATAATTCTAACTTACTATTTCTAGTGTAAGGTAGTTACACACAGGAGTTAATGCAAAATAGTTTCGAAATATCAGATTACACATGTAAACCATTGGGTTTCGGCCCACTAGTGTAAGGAGTAAACAACTGAAGCGAAGCCTGAAGTTAGATGGTGGTTGGAGGTGGTCGACAAGAAACCCTGGACCCCGGTTTCGTGCTACTTGGCACTCGTCAGCAAGGTGTACCTGTAATCTTTGAGGGAGCTGGTGCTCCCTGGCGGATCCGATCCCATGTCACCCAGCCTCACTGTCAGAGACGTGCCTGCGGTGTCGAGTCACCTAGACTGGTGGCCACATTGCAACATGATCGATAGCATTCGATCAGCACTAATAATAAGGATTAGACACGCATGACATTGGTCACCTAGTGACATGGGATCGACTCCGCCAGGGAGCACCAGCTCCCTCAAAGATTACAGGTACACCTTGCTGACGAGTGCCAAGTAGCACGAAACCCGGGTCCAGGGTTTCCTGTCGACCACCTCCAACCACCATCTAACCTTACAATAGTGCCCGCGGTGTCGAGTCACCTAGACTGGTGGCCACATTGCAACATGATCGATAGCATTCGGTCAGCACTAATAATAAGGACTAGACACGCATGACATTGGTCACCTAGTGATCAATCAGCTGTGAAGCCTGAAGTTCCTGAGTTCCATCTGTATTGAGATTGTGTATAGGTATTGTTAAGTAATCCCTTATTAGCAGAAAATAGCAATTCAGTGTCTGATTGAATATCTGGGCTATTTTTTCTTGGCATCAAGATATTTCAACAAGTTATCTGTTTTTTTTTTGTTTTAACACATCATTATGTCTATTAACCGTATGACCTAATCAGACACGTTTATCAACAATCGCTGCACAACTTACAAAAAAAGTACAATAAGAGTCGTTGTGGTGGTTGGCGAATTGCATCGAAGAGAATTAATATTAACCATATGTTGAGTCATGAACTGCTTAATTATAATTGCCGACCAATAATTAGCAAGATGAACTATCTCAAATTCTTATTAAGTAAAAACATGTGTTGTAATTATGGTACGATCACAATTCAAGAAAATGGGTTAAGTGATTTGAAGGGTGATCTCTTAGTATTACTGCAAGATTCCAACATCCATCGTCAGGATCTATCAAGGAATAAAAAAAGGTGTAGCGGCGATGTAGTTACCTTTGTAAAGATGAACTGTTATCGATTTACTTGCATATGCAATTATGTTTGTGTTAGTAACATTGAGCCAATATCGATTGGGAAATCTGTGGGTGATACTTTGATGTTGGGTGGGTTCAGTAAGGCTGGTCAATTCAAGAGTTCTTTGAAGTGTTCTAACCACCTGTTTCTCTGTTCTTCAATGTTGATGATTACTTTGTCTTTCTTACTATTCGATGGTCATTCTGATTTATGATCATTTCTAGCGAGTTTCTTTGTTATGTCATAGAATTTTCTTATGTTTCTTTCACTTGTAGTTTTTCCCACTGTCATTGCTAATTCTTCCACATAATTACATTTGTCGGTTCTGATATTCCTCTGTGTATTCAGCTTGTATTTGAATCTATCAACTACTTTCAAATTGTAATTATGTTATGTAACCTTTTTTGTTTTACAGCCATATTGTTGTGTCATAAAATTAGAAAGTTCTATTCATCAACTGATAAATCAACATAAAATGGTTCAAAATTGTGAATATAATGAGAAACAATATGAAAAAGCTAAAATTGATAAAATGAATCTATCCTATTCATCAAATAGATCATTAATTAATACAACGTTCACAATGGATAATACACTTCAGATCACAGATAATTGTCAAGTTAACTTTAAACCTATAAAACAATCATGTAAATATTTTAATGAAACAAATCATATTTTATTATATATTGATAATGAAATGAAAAAAGTCAATTGTAGATATGATGCATGGCAACTAAATTTGAAAATTGATACATTTAAACAAGAGTTATATAAATCAAAATTAGGAGAAGTAAGTAATTGATATTTGATTTGATTTTGTTTATTAATGAAAGATTCTATGATGATTAGGTAAATATCAATTGGAATACAGATGGTGTAGGAGTAGGTTGGAAGAAAGCTAGGGGTGGCCAGACGAAAACATGACACAAATCAATGAAGTCACTGACAAGTGGACTGAGTCATGTTGATAGGTGTAGACTACCTGGTTGGGGACCACGAGATGATAGCAACCGATGGTTAGAGATGTTGAATGACATAAATCAAAATCGTTTGTAATGGAGCGGGTGAAACCACTCTTTGCGTTTTCCCAAATTCTAATCTTCTGTATTCTTCATATCCTCTATTTTCTCTCTTTAGAAATTTATTTTACTGGACTACACTCCTTGAATAACATCTTGAAACCGTAATCTTTCCGATTACTGCTTATACTCTTGTTACCTCTACCACTACATGATTTGAATCGACAATTGTATCTGTGTACTAATATGATATGGCAACTCGAACTGATGTAGGTACGTACGAAGTTCTACGTTGTTTCTAACTGACTGACTGACTAAATTTACTGTTCATAGTCAGGTTGTTTATTTTAAAGTTGTTTATCATTTTTATCAATTTTCTACAACATTAAATGTTTAATATGCATATACATGTACCGTAATTTATGTTTTCTTTTCTGAAAAAAAATAGATTTCTTTAAATATGTTCAGTGAGAAATATCAAAAACTTGTTTCATTACGTAATCATTTAAGAAGTGATGATGTAATTGTTCAGTATAATACGAAATGGTTGAATGAAATGGAAAAACTATTAAAACTCTTAAGTTATATTTTGGATACAGAATTAATGGTTAGTTAGTTTATTCTTTGTTAAACCTTTTTTTCTAGAAAAAAAATAAACGATTGAATAAGTTATAATTATCGTTTAAAGTATGAATTGTTATTGTTGAATTCATGATTCAATTGAAGCTAGACCATTATGGAGAATTTGCAAGTATTGGACAGTTGTTTTCTATAGTAGTCTAGCTTCATTTGACTCATGAATTCAACTATAAAAAATCTCCACAAAATGCCTTCTGAAAAAAAAATTATGTCAGTTATTTTGTTTTTATTTATGATTACTTAGTAGTTACTCATCCATGTGATTGGTTAATGACTGTTATATACTGAGAAGTAACTGAGTTTAGAGGTTTAGACTATAGTTTCCGCCAGATCTAAAGGATATGAACTTAAGCCATAACAGTGGACATTATTGGGGATATCCTAAACCTGAAAAGAATAGTACTCGATGATGAAAACTTTTTTTAGCAGTTATTTGACTATTATGCTATTGAAATGATACTTTTAAATATGATACTTCATTATAAGTATGCTAGATTGATTGATAAGGTTAAGATAAGCTTGAGTAGCTGTCTATGTAATTACATACTTGAAATATTGCAGTAAGTAATTTATGTAGTGATAACAATAACAGATTTTTTTTTGTGACAGGGTTAATTCTTATAGGATCAGTTATATTACCTAGTTCGAGTACTGATTAATTCAGCTAGATGTTTTCCATAGGATTGATAATCTCCTGTTATCCAATGGTATTAATTGCTTCCTTTATTCAATAACTCAACGATTGTGAGATAACGATTGAGATCAGTAATTAACACCTATTGGTCTAGGATGGAGTTTTGTATGCCCACTTGTTAAATAATCGGACAAGGAAAAGAACACAACAGACAGATAACTTCTGTTGTACCGTTCAATTCATAACTCAAACTAGTGTGATAATATAGGTTAAATTCCAGACCACACATCAATATAAATAAAAATTGCAATTTGGGTCAATCATGTAATAAGTGAAAATGTGCTAAGTGATCGGTTTACACTTAAATAACGTAAGGAATGCGCAAAACCAATGCTTACAACTATTATTATATAAAGGCTATGAACGGATCAGTGTAAGACCACCACTGAAAACCTGGGAGCATGGAATGACCATTTTTTCCCAGTATGGAACTGCTTAGTAACGCACATCCGCAATGTTGCACACCTGAATGGAACACTGGAACCTCGTTCTCATGCGGACGCTTAACCTCTATACCATTGAGCCGTCGTTCAATGGTGTTATGCCCCAATGAATTTCAAGAATCTCCACAACTCTGTACCGGTAATCATCATATACTCATTAGTTATTAGCTGCGAGAGGTGAATTTCGGGTATGAAGCAATTTTACACCGAAGACAATTTAAGATGGTCTATACTGATACAAAACGATTATCCAGTGCTTCCAGGTTTTCAATGATGGTCAGACACTGATCGGTTCATTATTTCAATAAAGTTTATGTTATATTTAATAAAGTGGAGTGTTATTTATTGGTTCCAATGCAGCAAACACCAAAATTTGACGAATAGTATTTCTAGATTATGGAATTGTTTCTCTTCTATTTGGATATATACTGGATTAAACTGGGAAATGCACTCGGATTGAGGGAAGAATCGTACAATTTCATCCGATAGAATCCCAAATATAACATTTTTATGTTATCAGTATAAAGTAAATGGAATATGATTAACGATTGAATTCAGTGCTCGGATTTTTATCCTGTTTAGGACTAGTCAACTGGATGTAGGTGCATCCCAAAGTTGATATCAATCTCAGAACTCGAGCCCAATTTCGTTCACTTCAAACGCTATCACTTTATTCATTTAGTTTTTGAGTTTAAATAGCCATTCATTTAACGGTTTACTTAAACTATCACCTACATTAGAATCCAAGATGAGCATTTCATCCTTTTTTTTAGATTCATGATAGTTAGATTTATACACAATACAGTTTTCAGTGTTAGCAACTATTTAATTATTAAAGCTATACAAACTCTTCAGTAATTAATGTATGAAGGTATAGCAACTCACATGCGATTGAGTTCGTTCTCATCTAATTCGGTTAAACCCTTTTATTAACTCATATATATATGTATATTTAACACATTACACATTCTCGGTTTGCTAACCCATTCGCCTCTCTGCTCTGCGGTTTGAGTCAACTGTTAATAAAACTCTAGTAGCTGCTTCTCTTCGCCTTCTGATTTCAAATACCGTTGGGGATTATACGATAACAGTTACGAGGGTGAACGGCCAACAAAGCACAGCCACTACAAAGGCTTTATTTTTTAGTATATTTTCCTTATTTGAACAAATGAAGACATACAATATAAAACAACTTGAACTGTTATTAAAATGTTATTTTCTTTTTTTTTTAATTCAAGTCTTTCTCATCAGAATACTGGAATCATTGTTCAAGGCTATTGAATATATCAATTAATATAAATTGGAATAATTGTACAATTATTGATTTAATAAATAATCCTAAGAATAATTTATTAAAACAAGAATATAAATTAAAAGAAATTAGAAATATATTTCAATATTTATTATTGATTGATCAAATAAAAACAAAAATTGAAAATCAATTTCTATCATTAAATATTCAATTTATTTCAATGAAATCACATTCAGAATTAATTCAATCAATTCATTTATCATTTCGTAATGAATATATTGATCAAATAAATCAGGTAATATATATATACATATTTATGATTCAAATTGTAGTAATTTTAATAGTTGAAATCATGAGTGAATTGAAGTTTGATCTTTATGGGAAACTGAGAAGTACTGGATTGCTGTTTTCTTCTATTTTGGGACCCTTCAGCAGTGTGCATCCACCAATTCACCTCACGAGATTCGAACTCAGGAGTTATCAGTCTTGAGTGAGAGCACTTAATCACTAGACTACTGCTTTTTTGCTGTCTTTTAAGGTATCCGATTTGTTAAAATTTATGGTAAAATATAAGAGTGATGAAGTCAAGTTAAATCCTTAATGTTTAGTTTGTTAGACCTGTTAATTAACAAATAACTGGCAGTTTTAGAAAATATGTTTTAATAAATATTGTAGATCATCGACTTTGATCTCTGTTGAATTATTGGAGGTCTACCCAATGTAGACGGGAATGATGTGACGAATCAGCTAATTTCATGTCGCACCATGCGGTCAGCATCTAACGTGAATTACCCCTTCGACATATCAAAGTACTATAGCTGCTTTGAAGGCCGTATAACACAAAGGACGTTATTATGGTAATTTATTAGTAAGAATGAGTACAGAGAAGATAGTGAAATAATCTCCGCATACGATTAACTGATGTGCGTTGGTTATCCTTGACTTTGACAGGGATCGATAATCTGTTCGATATTCAGTGGCAAGGGCTTAGTGACACTTTACTTGTCCTACAATATCTTACCTATTTAGGTAAGTATTTTCGCCAATATTAAGGTCAATGAAACTAAACTATAATAGACGGATAAAAAGTATGCACACGTATACATGTCTTTATAGCAAGTACATTCGTTAAATACTTGTCATAATTTTCAAATGGTATTCTAATTTAAAAAACCAATGAATAGTATCTCCGAGAACATAGACAACGGCAAAGTATACAGTAAAAATAAAGTATTTCGTTGTTGGAATAAGGAATCTGATATGGCCTGCAATGATTTAATCTGTTAGAATGAGAACGCCTTATGAAATGAATCGTCTGGGATATGTAATCATTTTTTTGAAGTGAAATTATATTACTTAGTCAGTTAGTTATACCTGTCGACGCTTAGCTGTATGACATTGTAAATCTGTTCCCGTAGTAATTTAGTTAATAATTTTTTTTTGAGAAAAACGATCATTTATCAGTAGTCTTCGTGTTCTTACTAAACCTCATCAAAATCGGTGTTTCAGTACCAAGCACAAATTAGTCGAGCAATTTCAGAGGGATAACAGTGACAAACATAATAGGACTAACAAAAATATCCCACTGATAAGACAGAATTCAAAACAACTTGATTACATTCCCATGGTAAACAAACGTAAAATAAAGTTTTTTCAAACATATAATCTTATATGTTTGTAAAGAATTGAGATTAATATTTGAAAATATGTCTTTTAAATGTACAACCGGATCAGTCTTATACAATTGAAAGTTTTCAGAAGTTTAGAAATCAAATTAATGTATATCGGTTAAGTCGAAGCAATTTGACGTGATTTAAGCACGTACCAAGTACAGTCTCATGTACTCAGCTTTGAGTTGTATGAAGGCTAGCGTCATTATCTGGTTGTTCGAAACACAGTAAGCAAAGAGAAGTTTGAAGCTATGATCTGTTTCGCGAACTCAAGTATTCTAACTACTCAGAAAACATATAACAGATTCTTGATTTGTATAATAGTCTTTTATTAATCTGGTCAAAAGAACAAGGTGTTAGATACTTGAAGAAAAATTTTTAAAAATCTCACTTCTCTCTTCAGTTAAAGTTTTTGTTCAGGAAGACAATGAAAGTTTCAGAGTCAAACCATCCAGCACGAAGAACTAAATTACCAAATCAATAGAACAAAATTAATTGTAATTCAAATCCCAACGGTGTTATAAAATAAGAACTTTTAGATTGAATACAATAATTTAGTAATTGGAAAACTGTCTGAAAACAACGAATCTTTTACAACGAGTTCTTTTTCAAAGTTATGTAAATCAAGTCCATAGACAAGCTGTTAATATGTGGGTTGTGTTCACCACCGATTGGTTTTTTTTGCAATATCGTTGAAAACCAAAAAAGATTAAACAGTGAGTCATGAGTTCACGATGCAAAGGATGTACAGGACTTACAAAGTACTCCCTAGTTTTCAATAGTATCCTAAGATCAGGTCATAAAAAATACAATCTACAACTTGGATCAATCCCCACAAAACTGCTTTAGCTAAATTACGAGTTTTCTAGAACACTAAGATGGAAAATGTCATGTTTCCGATGGTTATTATAAGTTAAAATCTTCAAACTATAACACTAAACAATGCATATCATATACTTTAATTTTAAAAAGATTACAGTATATTTTGCTTTGTAAAAGGGCATTTTTACTTTTTTTAATGATGGAGTGTGGCTCATAGTGAAGTTCAGGACGTGCGTTTTGTCTTATTTGTACGTGGCAGCTGAATGTGAACGTCGACACTGAGGTGCAGGTACACGCAGGTACGACGAAACGCACAAACTAAATTCCACTGCTAGCTATATTCTATCTACTTTGTACTAACTTGTCTCATAGTGGTTATATTGTGATAATCCACATCACCCAAGACTGGTTAAATTCCAGTCAAAATGTCAACAACGGTGTAATCTAATCCATTTCAAATGCAGTTAAAAAATTTAATTGAAATTTATGGTTGTATTTGAGCATGAAAAACATTTAAGCTTCTACAAAAATGAATCTTCTCACCGTGATTATATTACAGGGTTATTTATCTCTGTAGACTTTTGTGTAGTTCTTCACACTAGTCATGGTCAGTGATTTGAAACTTAAGGTAGATTGACTTAGGATCATTTACTCCTGTTATTTATTCACGGTTAATTCTGGAATTTGGTGTCATTTCAAGCTTTCATTTCTAGGCATCATTCAGTTCTTTTAATCTATGTGTTGATTTGCTAAGTTTCCTAACAAAATCAAAATTCAAAACTCTACTAGTCTAGTTTGGATCATATTGAATTCTTCTTTCTCTTCAAATAATTAAAATAACCCATAATGTCATTGAATAAGAAAAAGGAAATTCAGCGAAGAAAATTTTCTTTCAGACGATATCATTTACTTAAGCTGTACATTCGTATATATAGTTATATATGGAAAATATATGTCTATAGGAGGATAGAAAAGACTGCATCACAAAAATGGATTCGAAAATAAATAACAAATGAGGTTACGTACTAATCAAGGGGTAAGGAAGAAAATAATTTATGGGTCAGATAATAGTTCAATTGACAGATATGAAGAAAAAACGACAAACATAAAGGTCAGAAGGGGTTTTGTGGAGATTTTGGAAATTTCACTAGTTAAAATCATGAGTCAATTGAAACTAGATCACCATGGAATATCTCCACAAAGCCCCTTCTGATAATAATCAACTGCTCACTAGTGACTGACTTCAAGAGGCATTTCTTGGAGTTATAGTGAGAAGCCATTACCAGTGGAGTTCAACCAGGTCTGTTGTGAGATATCAGCCCACTGAAGAAAATGGTGTACGTTGTGCAATTTCGAGGATTGGTTGAAGTTAGACATTAACACCGTTGGATACCGGCCGGCTCAGTGGCCTAATAGTTAGGCGCTCGCGCTCGAGACTGATAGGTCCTGTGTTCGAATCTCGCGGGGGTGGGATCGTGGATGCGCACTGCTGAGGAGTCCCATACTAGGATGAAACGGCCGTCCAGTGCTTCCAGGTTTTCCATGGTGTTCTAGCTTCAATTGAGTTATGATTTCAACTAGTGAAACATAAATGTCATAATAATAAACTGACTGATAATCTAGAAAAGTTTAAAATGTAAAACAGTAATTTAAAAAATTCAATAATAATCAAATAAAAGTGCAGAAAAACAAGCAGAAAAAACCCCAGAAACATACTCATCAAAGGAATTAAGGCCAAGAAAGGATGAGAGGTTAAACAAATCGTTTCTGCATGCAAAGTTCAGGCTTGAGTTCGTGGATTGCCAGTAGTGCATAAAATAGTGATTCGACCCCCCTTCCATGCAGTTCCTTTGACTCTATAGATTACTTTAAAAGAAGAGTCATTTGGAGTGATGTGTTCACAGTTAATTAAATGCTCCTGTATTGAACTAGTAATTGTTTTACATTTTCCTTTTAAGAGCCTAGGCAGATAGTGTTCCGAGATGCGTTTGAACAGTGATCGTTTTGTGCGGCATATGCAATATTTTCTATCCTCCTATAGATATATATTTTCCATATAACTATATATACGAATGTACAGCTTAAGTAAATGAGTCTATCGAAAAGAAAATTTTCTTCGCTGAATTCTCTTTTTCTTCTTTCTCTCTGTTTGTTCTATTTTAAGATTTACTAACTTAAACTGATGAATATTTTTTACCGTATTCTACGTTACCTCTGAATAATTGAATGATTTTCTATCTAATATCCTTTTGTATTATATAAGGATCTTCCTGGAAGATATTCATCCAGAAGTAATCGTTGTACAACAGAAATTCCCTATCCATGGATATTCTTAAATATTGACAATTTAATTGAAAAGTTATGTGAATTATCAAATAAACTTCAAAGTTTACTAGATTCTGAACTTTTGAATAGAATAAAACAAAATGAAGCAACAAATGAATATCTAATTGATAATGATTATTACTTAATAAAGAAATTAAATCAAATAAAGAATACATTATGTAATATAAAGTTAATACAAGATTATGTAAGTCATTTTAATGATTATGTTTAAATGATTGAAATATCATCACTAATAGTATTGTGGTGTGTGCTGCTTATGTAGACACAAGTAGTATATGATGTTAGTCGTGAACAGAATGTCTGGCTGCAGAGAAACACGAAGATCGAACAGTAAAGAATGAAGACAGAATGCAATTTGTATGAAAATACAAGAACAATGAAGTCTGGGGCGTTTTGTGACAATTGATGGACATTTTGCAAATTGAGCATTTACTATATGATTGTTAGATTTTATTAACAAGTCGTGTAATTTTGTGTTCATCACGTTCGATTGTTCCCCACTTGTGTTCTGTTCACTGCAGTATTAGTTCTAAAGCAGATTCAATATGTATATCTAAATATCATTTTCTTTACTATAAAATAAAGTTAATTAAAGAACTATTCAAAAAAACTAACGGGAACTAGATAACTGTTAAACTTTTGATAGAGTTTTGTTCCCTGATCTAGATAGTTTGGTCGTGGAGCTTTCATTGGTTTTTCTGAACGACATTATTAGCATAAACTCCATTAAAGACAACCACCTGAGATACAAATCTTTTCAACCATCTCAGTTGTTTTACTATTTACCAGTGAATATTCCTACAATTCTATGTAAAATGAAAATCATAGCAAGAACAAAGATTGGTGCGGTTAATTATTAATCCATATTATTTCGTTAGGTTCTCATCAGCTGATTACAACCCCAAACATTAGAAAATCAGAGCTATTACAGAGGGGGCGATTAAAGATGAATATATGCATCATGATATGGTGAAGATTCTGATAGAGTTCAGTAAGATCATAAAAAATTTTGTTTCGGATAAATAAAGTTTGAGAGGCAAAGTTCCAGAACATTGAAATAGTGATTAAAAGTCATAGAGTAAACAAACATTATATGATTGTGTAATGAAGTAACTGAAAATAGATTAACGGTAATAAAGAAAGATATGAATTGAAGTCAGTCAGTTATGAATTGAAGAAAAATGACAATGATGTAATTTAAACTTCAGAAAGAATTGAAATAACAGTATTACGAAATATTAAGCGAAATAATGATATAATAATATTACTGTCAGATAAAGTTTCAAAAGTTGTTCTAATGAACACAACAGATTATGTCTCTAAGATGTAGTCCATTTTTAGTGACCACATGAGATTGAAGTTAGAAAAAAGTAAAAAAGACTTATGTGATTCCACTGAGAAAAGAATCACGAAAGTACTCAGAGATCTCTTGAAGAAGATGATCGATAATTCTACTTACAATAACCTACGACCTCGTGAGTCTCGTTTGGTTTACCAAAAATACATAAAAAAAGTAATCCTCTTAAACCTATTCTGTCAATGGTCAATTCACTATACCACAAAGTTGCACAATGGTTGGCAGATAGGTTAGAACCAGTTCGTCAACAATTAGCCACCTATACGCTAAAGGACTAATTTGTATTTGCTGACGGCATGAATCACATAAATATTGCAGGTAAGTTTATGGTTTCTTTTGATGTGACATAATTGTTTACAAAAATACCGCTTCTTGAAACCATAGACATAATTTGTCAGCATTGTGACATCATACCTCTACTAACTAACTTGGGAGATTTTGTGATAGATACACATTGGTTAGTGCAGTAAACAGAACACAAGTGGGGAACAATCGAACGTAATGAACACAAAATTACACGACTTGTTAATAAAATCTAACAATCATATAGTAAATGCTCAATTTGCAAAATGTCCATCAGTTGTCACAAAACGCCCTAGACTTCATTGTTCTTATATTTTCATACAAATTGCATTCTGTCTTCATTCTTTACTGTTCGATCTTCGTGTTTCTCTGCAGCCAGACATTCTGTCCCTGACTAGTATCATAAACTACTTATGTCAATATAAGTAGCACACTCCACAACAGTCATAGTCCATCGACAAATCAATAACTTTTCTTTAGAATAGTCCGAATTCATATCTAATAACTGTTTTATTAAAGTATCATTTGATTATATTCAAAGGTTTTAATCTATACATGTTTATATTACAGTGGTTATATTTATATCGATTATATTCATTAAAACAAAATAATGAAGAATGTAGCTCAAATCAATTCATTATATTAACTGATAAGTATGTACATTTGGAAAATGATATACTACTAAATAATGATCGAGTAATATCAGTTCAATCTATCGACTATGAAGATAATGAACTAATTCAAATTAATTGTATAAATTTACAATCTTTTATTGAGATGGTTAATAGTAAATGGGATTTATGGTTAATATTGAAGAATGATCTTTATGAAAATGTTAGTATGTTTGAGAAATCGATCGATGAAATGGTTGAGGTAAGCAACTATTTGTAAGTTTCGAGTAATTTTGTTATAATCTGTATTAGTCGTTGATCTGTTATACAAATATGGATTTAAGTAAGATAAGAAGTAACAACATTGAAATAATGGAATTACTGTGAAGAATTGTTATTAGTAACTGGAAATCACCAGTAATCATTAGCTTTTTGAGGATTTCAATGACAATGTCCCAGATGGTAATGCTTAGCAACATGAATTTGAATGACAGTTTTTTCGAAATCGTAGGTGAATTAATGGTGTTGAATTCCGCCTAGCATGAGTTCGATTTAAATAAGCATTCATACTGATCGTCTCTAACAACTTCGAACTAAAAGATAGCGCAAACAATGCTAATTCATTTGCATTTGTACTACACTACACATTGGTTGGCTGAATTCAATGGCATTAATACGTAGTTAGTAGTACATTGAAGTTTACATCAAGAAATGACCCTAGTTAGACAACCATTGAAAACCAGAGTGAGACCAGCAGGTTGTTTGGGGCTCCTCAGTAGTATACACCACGACACTATCAAAGATTGAAACTAGTACCTTCGGTTGTCCAGTGTTTCCTGGTTTGAATGATTGTCTAGATGAGGTGAGTCTCTAATGCAAACTACAAAATCCAACAGTCTTCACTAGTGTGACGTTAGCTGAACCGTTGAACAGATTCTAATCCTGTTGTGGCATGTGGTGCCTGATACCGATGATCATTGTTTTGAAAAACGAATCTCACTAGCTATTCGAGTGAAGAAAACTAAATGTGAGAGTTTGCTGACTGAATGGATCGGCTCTTTCTGTCTTTATATATATATATATATATATATATATATATATATATATATATATCCCTTAGAAAATTAAGCCACTGATGATTTATGCACATTCATTAGAAATGAAAACCATGTTTTGGCCAATCACGTGAACTTATCATTCTGATTGCATCACCTCTCCCTCCGAAGAAATAGATTTGTCATATCAAATTCAGCTGAAGAAGCTGGGACGAGTGCACTAAGAATTCGTTTTCTTAAAATCTTCGAAACTATCGAAAAAGCTATTTAGTGCTAACCATTTGTTTTTTTTCTATTCTAGACATTTCCATTATTTTGTTTATTATCCAAAATGGAAAGAATTGAACTCTTAAGTAATTGGTCCATTCCATATTGTGATTATACAGCTCCATTGAAATGTTCTGTTGTGGACTCTATTGATCAAAAACAAAATTCCTATCAGTCTTATTTAAGTACTAATTGTGGATTAGTCAATCTGAATAAATGGATAAAACGCTTATTTCCATATCTGTTAGATTGTGTAATGATATGGTGTAAAGCAGAGAAATGTTGGAAGGTTAGACATAATGTGATAAAATTATCTATTTAACAATCAATCTGTTTGTCTCATTTCTAGCCTATGATAAGACATAGATATCAATTGATCGATCATTATGAAGTATAAGAAGGATGCTTCATTAATGGCATATCCGTGATGCCATGTGACTACGAGACTGAAAACTTCAAATTTTGTTACGAATACAATATTATGGTGTCAGGGAATTGTTATACTCAAGTTCTTATTTCCAAACTTCAAGCACTTTGTAGGATAACACTATCTTCAACTAATATTGTTCCTGAGTAACAGTGTCACTCAGGCCTTGAATGATTTTATAGGTTACTTGTTATATAAACCAAATGGTATTGGCAACAGTTCAGATACATTTTAATAAGTGAATAAAGCTTAGGAATTAACAATGAATACTTAATTAATTATAAATTGTCATTAATCACCGTTTTATAGCAATCTTGTTGTATTGAAAACAATCATAAAAATAATGAATACTTGTTAGTAAAGTATGGTAATTATATGTAGTAAATGTTCTGTTATCGGAGGTGATCTGAATTAGGAAATATACACCTCCGGACAGTTTTGTTACCAATTAAAAAAGACTGATGACTAACGTAAACAGATGTGGAAAGAAGTAATATGTGTTAATAGACCTAACTACTAATAGCAATGCTTGGTGCTTTGCTATATTGGGATTAATTTGAAAACGGAATCGAGAAGTACTGGATCCCCAATCTATGATGTTTAAAAGTAATGCAGTGACTACAAGACCTGTAAATCCTGAGTTCATCCTTTGAAGATGCTCGCTGCTAGTAAGTTTCATACTAGAATGGAGTATCTGCTCAGTGATTCAGTAGTTTTCAAAAGAAACTTAGGTGTGTCTGATATGTGGCTAATGAGAATGAATGTGATTGGTCACTGAGTACAAAATGAAAAAATCAACATACTGACTTATCGTTGATTGACTATAATTGATATCTACTCCAGAGTTCATGGAGTAAAAACTGCTTTGTAATTGCGTTGAATAAAGTATTATCTAGTCTATATTCTGGTTTTCTGTAATCAGTCATAAATCGTATATCTCGTGTAATGTTATGGAGTCTGTGCATAGCTCATCGATTGTACATCTAGTACAGTAGTAGAATAATCTCAAATACTGTCGAGTTATTGCTCTACGGTAGTAAGTCCTGGTAAACAGAAAGGCGAGACTATAATTTATGGAAGACCTTTAAACGAGTCTTATGCGACCTTGAGAAATATTAACCAATCGGCAAACAGTCAGTATAGAGTAAAAATATATTATAAAAAGCCAAAGAAATAAAGTGGATAAACTTCTTATACATGGTTCAAAAACTTGTCAAGGTTAGAAAGAGGTTCTAAAATCGTAATACATGCAGTAGAGTAAATCATCCATATGGTTACAGAATAGTCGGCCCTTGGATCCATGATAAGGTCGCAAAAACTCTTTCAGCCTCGACCACATAGCTTCCATATTGTTTGTGTGCACTCCGGTTGTTGAGTATACAAAATTCCACTTGTGGACAACGACACGATGCGCATAACCAATCCTATGTAGGAGTCTGTACGCTCTCCAATCATCCGTATATATTGTAGTACCTGGCTGCAGCCAGTGTTACTGGTGTTTTGCTATCCAGTTCGTAGTAATTGTCATAATTTGTCCTAGTTAGGAATTATATATGGGGTTTTAATCACGAAGTGACATCAGCTATAATGCCGAAACTCTATTTAGCCAAATGGGTGGAAAACCTTTGCGCCAAAATCCGAGATCTGTTATCTTATACCTGATTGGTTCATCCACAAATTATAGTCTCGCCATTTTATTTGTTATAGCTGCTCAATTATCAAGTTTTGTATAAAATCACCTGTGAACCGATCATACGTTAGCATTAAGTACTGCAGTTGGCGCCATGACATTTAATTCCCTCAAACGCTTCTGACCGGCTCGTCCATAAATTATAGTCTCGCCAACAGAAAATAAATCTCTGCGAGCGGGATCGTGGATGTGCACTGCTGAGGAGTCCCACAATAGGACGAAACGACCGTTCAGTGCTTACAGGTTTTCAGTGGTGGTCTAACGTCTATCGGTTCATGATCTCAATCAAGAAAATAAATCTGTTCATTTGTCATATCAGTATCAATCTGAGTAGAGAAGAAACGAAATAATTGTATACACACTCATATACAATTTTATATTTCATTATTATTTTTTTAGATTATTGGAGTCATTAATGAATTCCATCAACATATTGAACTATTAAATCCACTTAAATGGATTCCATCAATTAGTCATTGGTTTACACAATTTTATTCAACATTACAATTAACATTATTAAGAATGACATTGAATTCCTTGTTAAATGTTGAAGGAAACAATAAATGGTTCAATGAGTCCATTAGAAAGAAACAATTAATACCTGTAATTATTTTAGAATTAACCATACGAATTATGAATTGGCAAAAATTAGAGAAAATTATAATAAAAGAAGATCGGAGAGATGAATTCATTAAAATAATGTAAGTGATTATTTAAAACTATACAGTTCAGTTTTCAATAATAATCATATATAGCTTTTTTTTAATATTAATCTGTGTAAATACGACGGTTAATTTAATATCTTTCAGTAAGTATTAATCCTTTAGATCATTGAATTATAGGTTAGGTTGGGTGTCAGTCAGTCAGTAACAACGTATAACTTTGTACGTACGTACGTACATCAGTTCGAGTTGCCATATCACATTAGTACAGATATACAATTGTCAATTCAAATCACATAGTGGTAGAGGTAGTAAGAGTATAAGCAGTAGTCGGACTGATTACGGTTTGAAGATGTTATTCAAGGAGTATAATACAGTGAAATAAATTTCGACAGAGAAAAAAAGAAAGGGACATGAAGAATTAAGAAGATTAGAATTTGAAAGAACACAAAGAGTGGATGCACCCGCTCCATTACGAATGATTTTCAACCATGTCATTCAGTGTTGTTATCGTCTTGCGAATCACAACCAGATGTCTACACCTACCAACATGACTCAATTCACTTGTCAGTGACTTCATGGATTTTTGCCATGTTTTGTTCTGGTCACCCTTAACTTTCTTCCAACCTACTCCTATACCATAAAACATCACACATCATAGCGGTCGGTGATTGAGCAGAGATTTCATCACACACCAGACGACAATAGTTGATGAGACTCCCAAAACAAGTGAAGCGGTCAACACGCTCAACTACTTCACTCCTTATCATTAGTTCGGGTGTCGATGCCACTCAATCCTGAAGTAACATTTTCTATTTTGAGGGGGAGAATCGCATCCCGAACATGCTTGCATTGTTGCTTAGAATGGTCAGAATACTATGCATTTGTATGCTCGGACTACTGAGAACTTTCATATTAAAACGAAATAGGTTCTTAGTATTTTTGTATTTTCAGTTGTACCTTAACTTATGTCAATTTATTATTATTACTATTTATTATTATTATGTCTGTTTATTATTCATGAATCATCCTATTTTTAAAAATGATCCGTAATTGGGGAGTCTTATACAATTCCCACTTTTAATTTCAGTCAGGGATATGCAACTTAAGTAGTTGGTAAATTGTGGATCAATCCAAGTTACTACACGTCATTAACAACGTGAAATAGAATTAGCGAAAGATTAATATTAAGTCAAAGGAAGTAGTAGCGGTATCAATGATAATGAAAAATAAATCTTGGGAATAGAGTATACGGTTTCAGAAAAAGAACTAAATTCGTGCATGAAATAATATTAGGAATTACAATCCGGGATTTAAGTAAAAGGGAATAAAAATGATTGATTTGAATTGATTTTTGTCCTTTACTCACGGACCACATCCATAGCTGTAAAGTCCATATAAGCTTTTAGCGATATCTCTAAAGTAACATATTAAGACTCAGTATAATGGTTACATGCAATTTTTATACTTAACTTTCGGAATATGGAAATTAATGTGATATCTTTCAGTAGGCGCCCAAACTTTAGATCACTGAAATGATATTCAAGCTTATGGGCTGTATGACATTTGAATTTTTGAAGGCTGCTGCTTTTACTGGGAAGTGCTTCCCTGAAAATGACCTCAACAATCATTTAATTATAAGCAGAGATAGATGGTGACTAACAGTGGAATCCAGTTTGACGCGCGTTTCGTCCTAGGTGGGACTCATCAGTTGGACATACCTGCATCCTAGAGTTGATGTTCACTTCAAGACTCAAACCCAGTACCATTCATTTCAAAAGTCATCACGTCCAGAACTTAGCCATTGAGTCCTGATAGCCACTAGGTTGTACAATGGGATGAAGTTTTAATTCATCCAGGTGCCGGGTCCTAAATGGGAAAAAACGCGCATCTTGGATTCCACTGCTAGCCACCATCCATCTTTGTTGATAATGCTTGTGAAATAAGACAATACCGCCAATAAAAATTTCATATAGTTTTTATGAAGACCAAATTCTTATTTGAATGAATATTTTTACGCATATATGTCACTTCACTTGTAAGTTGAATTTTTTTTAAAAGGTTCTTTGGAGAGAGAGATTTATTATGAATACAGTGATCTTGAGCGCTATTAGCGGTATGAGGGCAGTTATCAATTTCCGGTTCCCCACACCGTGGAAAGGTTCTTCTGAAGATACCTGTTAAAAAAATTGGGTTAGGGGTGGTCTTAGTGATCTGAAAGCGTGACCACAGTGCCCAAAAGACAACTGCTTGAGGTTGGTCACACACGACCGTTTTGTGAGTAATTTTCGTGTTCGATCCGTACTTATTGGAACCTTATCACCAAAGACGTATATCTGTGGGTAAGGAGAGATGTGCATTTTTAGAACCGACCCTTTCTAGTCCCAACCCTCTTTGTGCAAGGCAGCATTGCTGCTATGCTGGTTGTCTGGAGGACCTTAGGTTCGTTAGTGTTTTGGAACTGTTTATTTTAAAATATTTTATTAAATGAGCAATGTTTCGATTTATTTCTACAATATAGAGAACAAATAAGATTGTACTGATAGATAGGATGACAGAAATGATTATTGGATAGCCACCTATTCAAATAGTCTAGTTCAGATGTAAGATCACTGGATTATGAAGACCTCGACATCTGAGGGAAAACATGGCGATTTGGACTTCGCAGATGACCTAGATCTCCTATCGCATACGCATGAACGAATGCAGATAAAGAAAGCTAGTGTAGCAGCAACCTCTGCGTCAGCAACCAAATCACACTCGATGGCGAAACTCTGGAAGATGTAGAACCCTTCACTTACCTGGGATGCATCATCGATGAACAAAGAGGGTCAGATGTACACGTAAAGGCGAGGATTGGCAAAGCAAGGACAGCATTCCTACAATTGAAGAACATATGCAACTCAAAACAGCTGTCAACCAATATCAAAGTCAGAATCTTCAATATGAATGTCAAGGCAGTTCTACTGTATGGAGCTGAAACTTCGATAACTACCGCAACCATCATCATCAAGGTACAAGTATTTATCAATAACTGTCTACGCATTATACTCAACATCCATTGGTCGGATACCATCAGTAACAGCCCACTGTGGGAGAGAACAAACCAGTTTCCAGCTGAATAGGAAATTAGGAAACACAATGGAAATGGATAGGATATACATTTGGGGAATCACTAAACTGTATCACGAAGCAAGCCCTAACTTGGAATCCTGAAGGTAAGCGGAAAGGAGGAAGGCCAAAGAACATATTACGTCGGGAAATAGAAGCATATATGAAAAGAATGAATAAGAACTGGAAAGATCTGGAAAGGATTTCCCAGGACAGGGTTGAATAGAGAGTGCTGTTGGGCGGCCTATACTCTTTCACGAGGAGTAACACGTGTAAGTAAGTAAGATGTAAGATCACTAACAATAATAGGAAACAAATCGAGAATCAGCAGTAAAAGCCCATATCTAAGGAAGTTTAAGTTTCTTTTACTGTCTTTCTCGAGACGTTACAGATTCATAGCGTACTTTGTGGGTAAATATTTATTACAGCAATTACAAATCAGTGTAAGTCTAATGTGTTAAATCACAAGTATTTTAGTGTTTTCATTAAAAAAAATTGATTCAACAGTTGAGATCATGAGTCACTTGAAACTAGACAGCCATGGAAAATCTGGAAGCACTGGATGGTCGTTTCGTCCTATTGTGGGACTCCTCAGCAGTGAGCATCTACGATGCCGCCCACCGAGAGATTCGAAACCAGGACCTATCCGTCTCTGTCTAGGAGCTTATTTCTATTCTGCTGAGGTTCTTTCTATCTGTTTTGTCTAATATAAAGTTCAAATTATGCAAAAATATTTCATACTGATCAATTTCTTTGGTGATCTAAGAGCTATTGATCAAATAAAGAAACTGGAGAGATTTCATCTAATTATTTCATTTTTTTTACACATTTTGTTTTGTTTCTTTTTTTCAATAAGAGAATACTTCGAAGAACAATTAAACAATATTATTGAACTATTGAAAACTATTTCTATTAGTTATGATAATCAATTCAGTTCAAGAATCGATCAGTTAACATGCCAAATGTTGATTGGAACAATTTTGGGATTTATTTATTTAATACAAGGTAATGCTTATTTCTTTCATATTTTCGGTGTAGAATTATTTTTTTCTTAAAATTTATCCCATGTGTTGTATAGATATTTTTCCATATCAGTCATTTTCGAATTACAAATGATACTACTGAGTAAATTATAATATGCCCAGCTAGTTTTCAGAATCTGTACATTGCAATATATGGTAATTCCTTCTCAAAGTCTCTCAGACGATTGTAAAATTATTCCAATGTATTAATTCGTTTTTTTTTTCACAATTGATTGATCACTAGGTGGTAATCAATGTCATGTATGTCAGGTCCTTTTTAATGCAGATCGAATCCAATCGACCAAGTTACAGTGTGGCCACCAGTCTCAGTAACACGAAATTTCTCCTACTGGTTTACTATGATTCGCAATTATGACTATTAATCATCAAAAATGTTCATTTTCAACAACTTATTAATTCTTACTATTTGTTTGACATTAGTTATGAGGTGTCCTGTGAATTGAATTACGTGTTGTGGTTACATTCTTATGTATGTTTTTTTCTTGATTATGATATTAACAGTTGAACTCTGACCATGTTAGTGAATGACTTTATCATCATGGACTGATGTTCTAATCCATATCAATATTTCTGTTGATTACAAATAAATCTCAATATTATGTTTCTTGAAATTTTCTGGCATTCTTGAGACTCTTTTAATAAAGAATTTCAACAAATACGCAAATGATGAACCCTGTCAAGGTTACGAGTTAGAAACAATGTCACTAGAACGGAATAGATTAATACTTGTGGAATAGTCAAAGTGCTCATTTCTGTTTGAAGTAGACACTGATATCTAGAATGACAACAAAAGCTTTGCAATTGAACTATCCCGTTCATATATATATATATATATATATATATATATATATATATATATATATATATATAAACTTTGGAGATAAATGGAACTACTTCTTACTGAAGTACTTAAGTCAAAAAACATTTTCTAAAGAAGGTTTGCCTGAATATCCAATATGGTTGTGGAGATTGTTGAGTTTTTGATTGAGATCATGAATCGATAGAAATAAGACCACCATTGTAAACCTTGAAGTACTGGATGACCGCTTCTTCCTAATATGGGACTCCTTGGCAGTGCTCATCCACGAACCATCACTCAGGATTCGAACCCAGGATTAAACGGCCATCTAGTGCTCCCAGATTTCACTGATGGTCTATCATCAATCAATTCATGATTTCAATTAAGAACTTATAGGTACTTAATTTTTCTGATATTTCTATAAAGAAGCGTTTTACTGGTGTGTTATCACATTTCTTAAACATATGAACTAATCACTTCAATATATTTGAATTTTTTGTAAGTGTAGACTTGAGAAAAGAGTCAAATTTAGACGAGAATAATTTTATCTGGCTACGGTTAATTAAAACACAACTTATCAGTCCAATATTGAATCCTGAGAGGAATGAGTACTTTTCAAATGAATTAAATGAGTATAATGATATTCCAACAATTGGGATCAAACAATTTTCAACAATTCATCCTTATAAATGGGATAATCAAAGTTTACTAATTAATAATAACACATTATATATACCGTTATTAAATACTTCACAAGAATTAATTCAACTTGGATCAGCGTTGAATAATCATGAGGTGAGAGATTTGAAAAATATATAGAGGTTAGAGGTCTAGAGGTTAAGCGCTCGGGCGTGAGATCGATAGGCCCTGGGTTCGTGGATCACATTGCTGAGGAGTCCCACGATAGGACGGAACGGCAGTTCAGTGCTTCTAGGTTTTCCATAGCGGTCCAAATGCATTGGTACGGCCGAGAATGGGGTGAATCCGCTCTCCCTCTTCAGTATTATGTATTCAAATCATCAGCTTCTATATTCATATGTGGTCAAATATTTTAGATGGTTTTTTCAAATTCTAAAAAAGCTTAAAATAATACAGAGTGACATTTAATTTTTAATATGAAGTTGTGGTCTGTTAGGGTTTAATATTATGTGTAAGTCATTTAACTACCGATAACCTTTCATAATTATCATATCAAAACAGATGATTTAGTAAGTTTGAAAATGTGGGTAAATGGTAACAAACGTGGCGGTCCAAGAGTAACATGTTTAACATGAGATCTAAATGTTGTAGGCTTTTTGTCATGTGGAATTGTGGTTGCATACTACTTTGACGAAACTGTTACTCAATACGTATGTGGTTTCTGATCAGTATTAGGCTAATTTCAGTCCATGATGAAAAACTATCCTTAAATTAAAAGCTTTATGTAATCTAAGCGTTTATCTTGCTTAATCACTATTCGGGTACTGAAAATTGATTAAAATAATCTTCAGTGGTTATACTTTGATTCATAATATCCGTTTAAGTAAGAAGAAATGAACATCTTGGCTGATCAGTTGTGATAAGACTAAAAATAATCATCATAGAAGATCGATCTCTGGTGTAAGGAACTAATATCAACTGGGTGAAATAATCATTTTTTTTAGTTTAAGACTGTTGGTGCATTGTTTTTTTTAAAATAAATTAAGAATCTTGTTGATAGGCGTCACGATGTTATTTTGATAGCTGTTTACCTAGTACATATTCAGTGCTGTTGTGTTGATTTATTTCATATGTAATGGTTGAATAAAGTTCTGTATTGCGCTATCAGTTCTGGTCAATTCATACTTATATGAAAAATGTACAATTGTTTTCAGTAATATTACTATGAAATAAAGATATTTTCAGTAAAACAAAGTAAATTATTCAATTGTTTCGCTTCACTTCAAAGTTTGGACTATTAATTGGATCATTTGGAACTGGTAAACAGACAATAATTCGTCAACTTGCTTTTCTACTTGGTCGTCGTCTTATAGAATTTTCATCTAACATCTTCAATGATACATTTGAGAATAAATTGAAAAATGATATTCTTAGTTGCATAAGAATTGGCTGTTTATTTTCAATAATGAATATGCACGTAAGCTTTTTTTCATTGAGTGAATTCTATTTTTCATAAGTTTATTCATGGTTATTTTAGATCAGTTCAATGAATACATTCAAAGGTCATATTAAACTGATATTGGGAATATTACACTCATTCTATCGATCAATTATTGTTGACAAAGGTTATGGGATTCGACGGTTTATCATGGTTTTGAACTATTAGTAACAGTTCGTTTATGAAAGTGTATTAGGTTGTAGAGGTATAAGCAAATCCTAAATATCATTACCAACACTCGACATGGTAAATTCAAATAAATTGACGACTAGGTAAAAAATTTATATTATTGAAAATGATATATTTGTGCATAAAGGTGTTATATCTCAAGGCCACCGATTAGAAAGCAGTGAGTTTCGATCAGACCAATGACGCAAAAAACACGTGCAAGCAGTCTAGACTCCTAATTGGTCCTACTTTCCGCCTAGCCCAGCCAGTTAAGTCTGTTATGATTTGATGTCCGGCTTACGATCACGTGACTTATACACCAATCAGAATACGGCTTATACGAATATTCGCACTATGACAAGACCAATGACGTTCAACCGGTCTGAGCAGTCTAGCGTCCTATTGGGTCCTACGTCCTTCTAACCCGTCCTCTTTAGTCCAGAACACAATACCAGCTTCTGAATCAACCAAATCGAACCAAATCGAACCAAATCGAACCAAATCCAACCAAATCCAACCAAATCCAACCAAATCCAACCAAATCCAACCAAATCCAACCAAATCCAACCAAATCCAACCAAATCCAACCAAATCCAACCAAATCCAACCGAATCCAACCAAATCCAACCAAATCCAACCAAATCATTTATTTCAGACATACTCGGTTTATATATCAATCAGGCAGACCACAACGTACCATAAAATAGAAACTAACATGTGTACACAAATAGGCCAAAAAGTGGCTGTGAATGTGGGAGACAGTAATTAATAAACTGAGCATAATTTAGGGACAGTAAATCGTACAATGATAAATTATAGGTCAAAGTGAAGCTTATGATAAGGGGAATATAAATATACATAATCTAACTATTAAATAATTACACCGTAAGAATATATAGATAATATTAGTCAATTAATGTCTCAGAAGTTACTCGTGATTTAATCTTCGCTCGGATATAACAAAGTCCAGAACACCAATCTCAGCCTCTGCAATATAAATCATTTATTTCAAACATACTCGGTTTATATACCAACCAGACAGACCACATCCTACCATAAAATAGGAAACAACATTTATACAAGATTTGCCCAAATGTGGCTGCGAACGTGGGAGGTAATGATTAATAGACAGGGTATAATTCAAGAATGGTAAATCGTATAATAATAGTTCATAGGTGAAAATAAGGCTCATAATAAGAGGAACGTGACTATGAATAGTTTAGTTATTTAACAATTATACGATAAAAATATACGTGTAGTATTGATCCATAAATGGATCCCAAAAATTACCATTCATTATTCTTGTCGGGACATAGCAAAAGGATTGTGAAGATTGTTGGATTTCATTGCTATTGTTATTATGATTACACTTGATAACCTTTTTAAGGAATTTATTCAGTATCCATCCCTATCTACTATACCCGACCTTATTCATATTATTATACATATTACGTAATTTTTGATTTGTAATTACATTCTTCTCTCTCTCTCACCCCATGTTGATCATTTACCTCACAATTTCATTTCACTTATAAACTGATTCAAGTCAACGACTTCATATTAGTCAACCCCAACATTAACGATTTGATTTGATTTTATGTAACAAACAATAATCCTCGATTCACATATTACAATTTTAAATGATGTACTCTACCTTAAATCTGGCTAATTTTATGGATTATTAATTTGGATATGAAATAATTGTAGAACTTGGATGAGAAATTATTGAAAAGAAACATCCAGCTCAGAGAACTAAACTCCATCAAAATCATCCACCTGAGCTACAAATCTTCACCATTGAAAAGAATATTCTTCGTTCATATAACTGTGTGTTAATACAATGGGAATTTTTTAGTGGTTATGCAGCTAAACGTTTTCGACCAAATTAACTATTATTTAGTAATGTATTAAGTCGTTCAGATATTTATCTTTCCTTATAGTTGGATAAGTTTTTTCAATTTATTTGTACAGTTTCAAAATCAAGCTTATAGTTATTAAAATTATTCAATCATTGGTATTTTGACTGAAATATGATTGATCTTGGTTGGAATATGTGCATTCTGTGTGAATTTCCTCAATATAACGAATACGACACAATTTAGCATAGAATAGATTGAATGTGTCTAGCAGTGGGCTTTTTGATGCAGGTTTAATCGTAACCGGGTCTTGTCAGCTGTATGTATCTGTATATCATAGTTGATTTTCACTCCGGCACTAGTATCAAGTATCAGCTGGTTATATGCTAACCAGGACTGATCAAATTTCAATCAAGATATTAGCATCGGGGTAATTCAATTCACTAGAAATTGAATTAAAAATCATATCCGTTACACTAGGAGTTTTTAACCAGATTTATTTTTAATTGGATAACGGGTTGGAGTTTAAAACGAACGATACTAGGCTCGAGTTCAGGTGTGAACATCAACTTTGAGATCTAGATACACTCAGCTGACGAATTCCAAATAACACAAAACACGTATCCTGAATTCTACATTCTTTTTCTTCTATGTAAACTATCGTGTTTGAGTTTATTCTCTAAGTTATACATTGCTGTTAACTATTGAATATCTAGAATTGGTATAAAGTATTTTTAACATTTTTTTCTATAACAAAGAACTTAAAATTTGGAGAATTGGAAATCGTAATAAACTGTTTGAACGAAGTTCGAAAATGTAATTTTACGAGCAACGGTCGGATTCAAGTGAGTTTATTGAACTAATTTACTGAGGTATTTATATAAGTTATGTGATGAATTTGTACATATCAATATCAATTTCTGTCATGAACTGTGTTAGTTTAAAACTTCACAACTATACTCACTTAATACCTCACATGTTATTGAGCGTAAAGATCAAATATTAGGTATTTCCTATTTCCCTAAGTTTGGAATTTACTGTCATTCGCATTTAATTTCTTTATCAATGAGTAAATACTATACTCTCAACTGGTTGATCTATCGAATTATATTGTCTATGACTAATCTTTTTTACTACTACTGATTCTGTTACTCATTCTATTATTATGGGTTCTCCATTGATAGTTTCATCTGACTATGTTGACATGATATGAGAACCAAAGTAAATATGTCTTAGTTTTTACAGTGTTTATAATTGACTAAGTGACTTGTCGCAGCTTTCTACTAGAACGAATAAACTGTTTCATACCTTTTAGTTGTCATTTGATTTTCGTTACGGAGGTTATTTGAAAAGGAGAAAATAATCAATTCATGTAGATTAGTAAAACTCTTTTCTCTGATTTAGTTATCAAAATATACTGTATTAAACCGGTTTCAATTCAATTTACTATTCCCTACTCCAAGTTTCTTTAATTTCTCTGACCGTTTCTGTTCCTATGTAAATAATAATTTTATAGATTAAATTTGTAAAACTCAACTGCTTAATTAATTTCTACAATCCTTCCTATTCAGTTTGCAGATTTTACAAAGAATCTTCAACAATCTATTGAAAACATTGATAAAAATAGTAAGCATTTACTTTGATTGTTCTACCAAAATGTAGTTTTCTCCCTTTTAAACTTGTTGAAATTAATCCATATTACAAATAAGATGAAATATTTAAATTTAAACAAATGTGTGGTGGACAAGAATACCAGTGGGGACAATCGAATGTATTTGACACGGACTTACAGGACTTGTTAACAAAATCTAACAATCAAATAGTAAACGCTTAATTTGCAAAATGACCATCAATTGTCTCAGAATGACTCAGACTTGATTGTTCTTGCATTTTTATGCAAATTGCATTGTTCCCATTCTTTACTGTTCGATTCTTTTGTCTCTCTGCTGCCAGACCTTCTGTTCACGACTAACATCATATACTACTTATGTTGATATAAGTAGCACACATCACAAATGTAACATCAGAACAGCGTGATAGATATATTCTTCTTGAATATGTGATAAGATTATAGAAATACTACTTAAATCACAAGTTTATTTTAAAGTTTTATATTTTATATGAATTAAGACCTACTATAAAGATACATTTACGGTGACTGTTATAATCTGCTATCTAAATTGATATTCAATAGGTAAGCAAACGTGTTAGTCATTTGACAATGATCTATTCCTCGTAAATGAAGACCATATTCAATGTGGCTTTTAAACTTATTATAGTGACCATCTGATTGGTTTATTCGAAAGAAACCCAGTTTTACAACTTCAATCAAAATGACAATAATGGTTACTAAAAAAATAAAACAAATCATCAAACTGTTATTAGGTTGAAGTCCATAACATACTTATTTGTTAGTATGCCAACAACCTTTCAGTGACAAATATTACCCTAGTTGATAATTATAATACAAAGGTTATTATATCTCTAAGCTCAGGTTTTTGTAAGTTATAATGATATACATTGACTAAATAGTAATAAATTATTAGAGTGGGTCACCCTGTTACCTCCTCAATTTCCCTCATTTTTCAGGCCCCATTTTTAACAAAATAAAACCATGTAAGACTTATTCCTATTAACTCAAGAAGATCGGTGTAAAAAATGCTATACAATTATATGCAGATTTGAAAATGACGTAAACATTTAACGTATTGAAAGAGTTTAGGCGGGAAAAATGGAACGTCACTTTTGAAAATAACAAAATAACCAGCAATGAACAAAGCTTCGTTGATACAGCTACTGACTGTGTTTTATATCACTAAAAGTCATCCAATATAGATTTCTATTAAGCTAAACAAAATGTAAATCAAGAAAAATCGACAATTGTACGGTTTAATGAAATATTAATTAATTTCATGTCTTAGTTTAATAACACTCATCTTTTGTTTAGACTTTGCATGTCCTAGCCGGGATAGAATAATGTTTAAATGTTAATTGACCTTTGCTGAAGAATATCTTTCAACCTACTGACACTATTTGTTTGTTACATTCATAACATCGTGGATAACCTGGAACCACTGGATGGCCATCTTTTGTAGGACTACTCAGCAGTGAGCATCTACGATCCGGCCTCACGAGATTTGAACCCAGGATCTACAATACGAGTCCTAAAATAGGACAAAACGGCCATCCAATGCTTTTACGTTTTCCATGATAGTCTAGCTTCAATTGATTCATGATCTTAACTATTAAAAATTACTATAATATCCACAAAACCTCTTCTGATACATTCGATAACAATTAATTTTTCAGGTCACAAGTTAATCACTTATCATTCTAATCAGTATATTTCTGAACCGCAACAATGTTTATTTAATCAAAGTGTTAGAATCGATTGCAGTTTTGGATTATTCGGTACATATGACTCCCGAAGTTTTCAAAATTTTTCCAAAGTACAAAAAGTAGGAAACGTTTTTTCTTTCTATTTGCTAAAATGTTTATCTTGTAATTCTTGCTTTCAGATGAAACTTAAATATTGTTTTATCATCTCTGTAATAAAAACACTGAATTTATACTAAATATCCAACTTTGATTTAAATGAAGTTGTTTGAAGTTTAGATTGTGATATAACATTGAATCGAAGTTAAATGTATATAAATAGTCTCATTATAGATGACAGAAATATGTATACTTGTAATTGCTATACCAGTCTACTATGACTGGTGACTGACGATAGAGTTTCGTTCCCATTCTCTATAAATATTGTCTAGTATGCTTTAAAGTAAGTGTATCCAACCCAATAACTCAAAAATGAAATGGTCATGTAATCTAAGCAACTTTGACTTAATGCTTTAATAATTCATATTGAATATATGAAATGCCAATAGCTTCAGTTAAATGTCTCGATTTTGGCCCTTCGTGCTCATTTTTCCATATTTGAAACTCATTCTCTAGATGCATATGAAAACCGGTGTTAATTTTCACACCGAGACTTGGACACAGTACGCATAAATTTAAACACCAAGGAGTTATCTTCTAAGCTACTCAGTTCAGATTGCTATTTACGTTTTCGATAAATATGAATTATTTTATAGAGTTTGGATTTTCCAGTTATTTATGTTCAGGATTGCAATTCTTCGGACTCTGTTTCATCTAAGTGTATCTTGATAGAATTGTTTCGATATTGTCATTTAGTCGCAAGGTGTTGTCAAGCTAGTTTGCAATCCTAAATATCGGCTACGGAATACTACAATCCTTTACTAATTGAAGTTGTATAGTATCAAAACGTTTTTATTTACTTTGTCTTTAAAAAATACTGCCATGTTGAATAGGTCCAATACCCTATTTAAAGGTTGCATTAATCCTTTATTCAAATCTTTAACATTATATACTGATATGAATTTTCTTTATACAGATTTCATTTCGTAATATAACTATAGGATGGCCAAATTATTCATTTATTGTACAATGTCTTTTCAAATACTATTTACCTGAACATCAAGGTCTATCAATAAACAATCAACTAGTCAATTTATTGAATAGATCTTTAACATATTTTACAAATGAATCAGTTCTTAATTATAAACAAACAAATAATTACTACTTGTCATTTTCAATTCTCATTAAAACATTTGAATATGCTAAACAATTATGGTTAGAAAAATTTAATCATCTTCAAGATATACGTAAACATACTGCACTCAAATCATCAGTCATATTAAGAAAGGAAGAAGATAGATTGGCTGAAATCGCTATACTATATGGATTGTCTAAAGCTTATAGAATAAATCTGTCTATTGATAGTATTAAAGATAATTCCAAGAACGTTTTATTTCAATCCAACTTAGATTTTAATTGGTTATCAACAATTGAGCAATATTTATCTTTAAATTCTGCATTACCTATCATGTCTAGTAATGAAGAGTGTTTAAAGTGTGATAATAATATGTATCCAAAAGTTTCATGGGAATTTATTGATCGATTGTTAAGAGAAATGTATGTACGTAATTTGGAAATAATCAATGGTCAGTTAATAAAAGTAAGTGTATACATATTGTGATTATCTTTGATTGATTATTTTGTTGCAACCATTATGTTAGATATGGTCATTAACCTTTTTTCTATCGTCTTTAACATTATTTTAGAAAAAAAGATCTATAGACAATTTCAGAAATCAAAATTTCCAACTGCGGTGGAGTCTCACAGTGGGACGAAACGGCAATCTAGTGCTTCTAAGTGGTCTAGCTTCAAATGACTCATTATTTCAACTATTGAAATTATTACAATCTCTACAAAACCCCTTCTGATTTCCAACTGTCTTTTCAATGTCAAGGTTTTAAAGAAATCTGGTGGAAATTCCAAGGAAAATTATAGAAGGAATATAAAACTTCGTTTTTATCGAGATAGTGTATTGAAGACAATGACTCTTTATAAGTTAGTCACCAGTTTCAAAAATCGTCTTAAAGAACGGACGAACAGTATAGGGTCAGAAAAAAAATGTATAGGGATAAAATGAAGAGTCTAACGTTGGATGATTTTCAGGAATGTTTAAAACAACAGAAATGGAGAGAAGATAAGCAATAGACTTCAAGCGAATTTTTTGAAGCAGATAAGACTGAAATATCGTTAGTGTTTTAAAATAAACTATTTATGATATAAGTTCGAGCATACATTCAAAATATTAGTGCAAATATCAGGAATTTTGTTTTTAGTATGAACTCGCTACAAGCCTATTTTTCCTCTGTGGGATATGACTTTTTATTCATTTTCTCACATCTAGTAAGATGAAATCCAACGATTTTTATTGTAATTCTACAACACTGTTTATTAGAAGCGTTCTTCCATAAAACAAGTTTACTAGTGAAAAAGACCAATATAACACATGTAAATTATGGTTATAATCGTAATGCGGATTCGAGAAGCTGGTTTCGCTTTTTCCAACTTACGTCACCTATGGCGAAGGTGAGACATCCGTCTATCAATTAAAGGACGAGTATACTGCGTGGCAGTTTGTTCTGTTCTACTCTATGACTGCGAGACGTTAACATCTAGTGTAGAAGATACGCGTAAGCTACTGGTATTTGACAACAGATGCCTTAGAATTATTGCTCGCATCCACTAGGATCACCGGGTAAGTAATAGTTTGGTTAGACGTAGGGTATTAGGGAATGATGGTAAATCATTTGATGAAGTTGTGAATCTTCATCGACTGAGATAGTTGGGTCACCTGCTGCGTACGCCTGAACACCGATTACCACGATGAGGAATACTGACTAGTTTAGGGGATGGTTGGGAAAAAGTTGGGGGTGGCCAAACCAAAACATGGCATCAGTGCTTGAAGTCACTGAGTTCTGGTCTGAGCCATGTTGGTAGATGCAGAATACTTGGTTGGGGTTCGCGTGACTATCGTAACCGATGGTTGGACACTCTTACTGACATGGCTCACAATCGATCACAATGACGTAGGTGTATACACACTCTGTCTTCCCTTAAACTAAGAGATTAAAATCGCTTCATATCTTTCTTTCTACGAACTAAATCTTTCTTTCTGTACTATATCCTTATATGCAATTTTTCATTTATATATTACCACCATTGAATTAACTACTACTATGAATTTGGTGTTCATCTTGTTGTGCTAATGAGGTATGACAACTTGAACCGATGCAACAATGTTCCTAGTCCGAAGTTGTAGCTGACTGACTAATGCATTGAAACTGCTTAAATGGGTGGCAATAAATGATAATTTTTTTAGATTTGCTTTCTTTGAGCTGGATTGTTTGATTGTGAAGTTTTGACTAACTTTCTAGTTATCATCAGTGTAAAATTTATATAAAAATTAGCTATTTTAATTTGACTGGGAACTTACTTTGTCGACCTTGAATTTGATGGATGATTATTTATGCTTGTCCCGTATATTGTGTACATTATTATCTTGATTATAATCCCCTTTTACCTGAGATGAGAATTATATGTAAATAAACTTAAATAGCAAGGTTCTATCTGAGGTTTGTGCTGATGGTGTTTTATATGTGGATAATGAACGATTCAGACTTGAGTCATCCAGCTCAGTGAAAACAACAACTACAAAATTGTCTTTTTGAATTATAAGTTTATCCACCAACTGAACTGGTACAGACTAAAAGATATCTTTCTTGTATACTTTTATTGGTGTTTTGTTTAAAACGGTTGTTCTTCCCAAGATTCCCTAGACCTGCGCGTTAACTGAAGTTGCCACATCTTGTTGACAATACAAGATGAAAATAACGAAATAGGTTTACACAATGTGGTATGACTGATACAAAGAAAGACTAAACCTTGAGAATATGGTTCGAGATGGCAGAATGGAAGTGTGTACATGAAGGGACATTATAATTTAAGATTGAAATGAAGATAAAGCGAAAATAAATCTACACCATTGTAACCGATTGTAAGCCATTTCACCAGAAGTCTTAAAGAACTGATAGCATTTGTCATTCAGACCACAATCAGATAGTTTGTGTCTATCAAAGTCAGATTAATACATAAACCCTTTTATCGGTAGCGCTTTTTTTCTGTTGAAGTGTTAAATCACTTGTTAAAACAATCGATTTCTATTTGCAAATACAGTTATTTGAATAACAATCGAGTGAATTTGATTTGATTGGTCACTACACTTAACTTGCTACTATACACTCCTATCATACAGTTGATACTGAAATAATTTATTATTAAAATGAGAGTAGTTTCTAACATGAAATGAGTAAAGAAAATTAACAAGAATCTTAAAACAGAGTTCATACACATGGACATTTTATCAACAAAGTGTAACTAGACCCGTAATGGAACTGATGTGTTACATGAGTCTTAAACTAGCTTACTAAAAATAATCACTATTGAACGGTTAAACAGTATTTGATTGTTACTCTTATGCCCCGATAAGCATAATGAATGGTAACTTTGGGGATCCATTTATGGAACAATACTACACGTATATTTTTATCGTATCATTGTTAAGTAACTGAACTATCCATATTTGTGTTTCTCTTATTATAAGCTTTATTTTGACCTATGAACTATTGTTATACGATTTACCATTCTTGAGTTATACCCAGTCCATCAATTACTACCTCCCACATTCACAGCCACATTTAGCTAAGTCTTGTACAAATGTCCGATTGATAATTCACTGCTCTCCAGTTGGCAGTATCGTTACTTTATGCATTAACAGGACACACAGGCCACAAGTTATAAGTTACATTAGTGAATTTAATTGTAAAATACAGCATAAATTATGTAGGCATTGTCTTAATATCCTATGGACTAGTTAGTTTATGCAATGAACAACAAAATGAATTAGTTAAGGTTGAAGTTAAATGTAATAACGATTTATTTCAAATAGCTAGATTTCTACTAAATACACATATAAAAATGAAATGAACAGACATTTCAGCTAAAATGATTCACTAGTTTTCGTAATTTAACCGTTCAGTTTTCTATCCTACCTATGGACTACTCGACATTTAAAGATTACTATGGAATCTGGAGTAAATGACGCGTAAAATTCGGTGATCGAAAATGTAATACTATTAGCATATACGGTGCCATTATTGTGAAATTATATGGAGTGACTTACAAACATCAATTTTTAGAGTATATACTATGAATACCGTATCCGTGTACAATCCAAGAAGGAACCGGTGAAACTAATTTCTGGGCGACCTTTGATCAACGTCAGACTGACTTTAAGAGTGTTCACCTGATAACTAGGACTAAATGAGTATTATAAATTAGTGTAAGGAATTTGAATTATGATTTACAGTTGATGGTTAAGGTTAGGAATTAGATCTATTTAGCCAAATGGATGAAAATGCGAAACCTGTTATCTTATACTTGTTTGGTTTCTCCATAAATTATAGTCCCGGCGAGAAATCTTCATTAAACTATATGGCATCTGGTAACTGTGTCAAAACTTGAAGAGCAGACTATAATCAAAAATGAAAATCAAAAACAACAAAAGTAGAAAGTGTTACAACAAAATAAATGTCCAATGAGTACACTAGATATAATAAAAAAATCTTATAATGATGCAAACGTATAAAAATTACACTTTTTATACTCATATGTTATTTGACTTGAAACTGGTTACTATATACTACAATTAAGCAGTATAATGAATACAGTGAAAAGAATTGGATGAGGAGAAGATCGAAAATAATAGAAAAAAGGCGTGAACAAACATTTTATCGACGTTTTTTTATCGAATATGACATTCTGAAAAAGCTTCAAATCTTCAATAAACCTGTGTTTACAATTTTTTTCTATGTAGGTAATTTGCATTTGCCCCCCCCCTATTCAAGTTGAAGTGAATTCCTTTATTTTCTAAAAAAAAACATTTTTTTTTCAGATAATTGAATTATGGCAACTAATAAATGTAAATCGTCCAATTTTAATTATTGGCTCAGTTGGATCAGGTAAAAGTACCATTTTAAAAATACTTATTTCTACAATCAATTGGTATCATTGTACAAAAAGTAAACAATCGAATAAGTATTTATCGCCATTATCTGAGTCAACATTATTATCAACATACAAATCATCATCATCACCATCATCGGCATCATCTGAATTGTCATCGTCAACACCAACGTCATCATCATCATCATTATTATTAAAAAAATTAAATTCATCTTCAGTTTCAAATGAAGAAAACAATAACAATCAGGAAGTAAATGTTGATGTTGATATAAAGATCTTCAATATACCAGATCAATTAAATTCATATCTTAATAAGTTTAATCTTATTTCATCACATTCTAATATAAAACAATTTGATGTATATAATAAAATAATTTCATTAAAACACTTATTTCCATATTCAGATGAACATTTAACAAGTTTCTTTTTAAATAATGATAATAATGTTGTTAACTTAGAAGTGGATATATCAAATATATTTGAAGAATGGGTATTGTTAGATTTAAGTGACCAGTCTATTGAACATTTGACATTTTTAAATAATGGTAACATTTTGAATTTATTGAAGGCGGTTAAAACTTTTAAATGTAAGTTGCATGCTTTATTGTTAATCTTATTTTTATTAAGTAAAATGGTAAATTATTAGTAAGAGTTTGTGAGCTCCTACATGCTCTGGTACTGCTGAGAGTGGAGAGACTCTGCTCTCCTTCTTGAAATGCTCCCGCATGGCCACGCGTATACAGTCACTGCCAGGGAAGTCCTACTCACTGCCTTCTCGCACCACAGGTGTTGTTTACGAAATTGAGAGGACAAAAAGCGAAACTCCGACGCTTAGACCGGGTTGGTGGATACGGAGGGTCCACCTAGGAGAGTTGGAAAACTTTGGTTCCAAACCAATGGTGCACATGGGCTCCAGCATCCTGAGGGAACAAATGGCGTATGAACCATTTGTTGGTCACCGGTTACCATGGAACTGCATCTCCTGAGGTTGCTCCACTGCCTCGTGGATCACACCTTCAGGTCGAAGGCTTCGTGTGTGGCCCCCTAAGAAAACCACCTGCTTCGGTTTGAGCACCGGGACAGTATCACAGCCCTCACACAAATCAAATGAGATTTGTGTGGCGCATATGTATTTGGTGCCTCCTTGTACCAATATCTATGTGTTCAAATAAAAATAAAAATAAATGAGTTTGTGATCAAGATAATTTCTGCTGTTATGTGTGCATTCTGAGTAGAATGACTCTATGTAGATATATTTCACCAATAATGGTGTACTTTATTTGTTTCGTTGAGTTGGAATAACAAAATATCCACCTTAGTGTCTTTCTGCTTGATTTAAGCTACCTACCTGTACATTTAAGTCACTTACTACGAGTACTATATCTGAGTTTTTAGCTTTATAAAGGAGTTCAGAAAGCTTTCTGTAAAAGTCATCCTTCACTTCATCCGGGCCAGAGTCAGTGGAAGCGTAGGCAGAAACGATGAAAAGGCAAAGTAGTAGATTTAAGGACTCGTGTCTTATTTGGTAATCACCAACCAGATGTACCTTGATCCAATTTTTTGATATTCATATACAGACCCGAACTCAGTATCATTCTCTTTAAACGTTAACAATAGGGCAGTCTGCTTCAATATCCGGACTACCTTTTTTCTGACATTTAGATATTTCAACAAGTTATTTGTTTTAAACGTTAATTATGTCAATTAATTGCATCAGCTATTAAGCTGAGTTTGTGAAAAGTTGAGAAGTACAAGTTGCAAGAAAGTACAATCAGAAACATTGTGGTTGCTGGCAATATGTATTGAAAGAAATGAACACTGTTTAGATATCAATTCCTGTACTGATAACATTTAACCAGCCATCACTCAGTATTTATCTTCAATACCGATCAAGAAATAAGAAATGGAAACGTGTTGATATACTTGACTGACAATTTTTGGAACATTTGAATTATGGCTGCCTTGTTGGATGTTTCTTTTTATTTATTTTGTCATTATTAGCTTTATTCGATATTATATTTTTGGTACAATATAGAATTCTCAGCTTAAAGTAGCTAAGTAGAGGCAATTAGCTCAGGATACACATTACTTACTTACTTACTTACGCCTGTTACTCCTCGTGAAGGAGCATAGGCCGCTCACCAGCATTCTCCATCCAACCCTGTCCTGGGCAATCCTTTCAAGCTCTTTCCAGTTCTTATTCATCTTTTTCATATCTGCTTCTATTTCCCGACGTAATGTGTTCTTTGGCCTTCCTCTTTTCCGCTTCCCTTCAGGATTCCAAGTTAGCGCTTGTCTCGTAATGCAGTTTGATGATTTCCTCAATGTATGTCCTATCCATTTCCATCGTCTTTTCCTAATTTCCTCTTCAGCTGGAAGCTGGTTGGTTCTCTCCCACAAAAGGCTGTTGCTGATGGTATCCGGCCAATGGATGTTGAGTATCATGCGTAGACAGCTATTGATAAATACCTGTACCTTCTTGATGGTGGTTGTTGTAGTTCTCCAAGTTTCAGCTCCGTACAGTAGAACTGCTCTGACGTTGGTATTGAAGATTGTGACTTTGATATTGGTTGAAAGTTGTTTTGAGTTCCATATGTTCTTCAGTTGAAGGAATGCCGCTCTAGCTTTGCCAATCCTCGCCTTGACGTCTGCATCTGAACCTCCTTGTTTATCGACGATGCTTCCCAGGTTTGTGAAGGATTCCACGTCTTCCAGAGTTTCGCCATCATGAGTGATTGGATTGCTGTTCTCCGTGTTGTGTTTGAGGACCTTGGTTTTCCCTTTGTGTATGTTGAGGCCTACTGATGCAGAGACTGCTGCTATGCTGGCTGTCTTTATCTGCATTTGTTCGTGTGTATGTGATAGGATCAGGATACACATATGCCAGTAGAAAACAATCAATTTGAGTACTGCATATCAACAAAAAAATTACACTAAGAACTTTATACTTGTTGAATAAATTAGTTCCTCTCTGAACACTATCATTTTTACTCTATACAGGGGAGAATAAATAATTTTTTGTTATTTTAAGCATTTTGAGCAGTAGACAGATATTTCTACTTCACATTATACATGATATTTGAATTACATGCAGAAAACTAGAAATCGTATTCTCAATACTGATCATTTCGTTCTTATTCTATAATTTTATTGAAAACATCATACAGATTAACTAAATTATAGTTGAAGTTATTAGTTGAAGTTAGACATTAATACCTTTGGATACAGGCTCAATGGTCTAGAGGTTAAGCATTCACGCACGTGAGGCCAAGTGGTCCTGGGTTCGAATCTCATGAGACGGGATTTTGAATATGCACTGCTGAAGAGTCCTACAATAGGACGAAACGGCCGTCCAATGCTTTTAGGTTTTCCATGGTGGTCTAGCTTAAGTTGACTTATAATCTTAACTATTGAAATTAAAAAAGGAATCACTGTCATAATTTTAATTGTTCAACAATTATTTTTAGTCACAAGAAAATTATTCATAGAAAAGACAACAATAGATGATTTATCTCCAGGTTTAATTCATCAATTTTCAATATTGTCAACTGAAGTTAATAATGAATTGAATTGGTCACCTATATGGAGAATTTGGCGTAAAACAAGTTATTTATCATATATGGTTATAAATTCTATGTAAGCTATTTCTAATTTATTTTATTTCGAGGATACATTTAATTGAATGCATATTAATTACAATTAGTTACTTTGTTTTTTTTATTTTTTTTTAAATTATAAAATGACATATACGTCTAAGATGTTTGAATCAACTGATTATGTTTAGTGTAATAGTTAGAAATTGAAATTAAAATGTGGTGTCGTCAGTCAGTCAACTACAACGTAGGACTAGGCACATTGTTGCATCGGTTCAAGTTGTCATACCTCATTAGCACAACAAGATGAACACCAAATTCATAGTAGTAGTTAATTCAATGGTGGTAATATATAAGTGAAAAATTGCATATAAGGATATAGTACAGAAAGAAAGATTTAGTTCGTAGAAAGAAAGATATGAAGCGATTTTAATCTCTTAGTTTAAGGGAAGACAGAGTGTGTATACACCTACGTCATTGTGATCGATTGTGAGCCATGTCACTAAGAGTGTCCAACCATCGGTTACGATAGTCACGCGAACCCCAACCAAGTATTCTGCATCTTCCAACATTGCATATTTGTCAGTGGGTTCATTGATTGTTGATTTAAGACCTACGTGATGATCGTAATCAGTGGTTGGAGATATTATATGATATGACCCAGAATTGATCATAGAGGATTACATAAATTCACTCCTTACATCCCTTCTGATTTTTAGTTTCAGTATTCAATAATTCATACCTTTTTATCTTGTTTAAACTTCTTAACTGTTATTTTTATAACATTACTTTTATTTCTTCTGTTTACGTTGTTAATTTTATCTCGTCGCGCTAATATGGTATAACAAGTTGATGATAGCAATCGATGGTTAGAGACCTTGAATAACATGGCTGAAAATCGTTTGAAATGGTGCAGATGCATCCACGCTTTGTGTTCTCTCAAATTCTAATCTTCTGAATTCTTCATGTCCCTTTCTTTTTTTCTCTTTCGAAATTTATTTCACTGTATTATACTCCTTGAATAACATCTTCAAACTTTAATGTTTCCGATTACTGCCTATACTTTTATTACTACCTCTACCACTATGTGATTTGAATCGACAATTGTATCTGTGTGCAAATGTGGTATGGCAAGTCGAACTGATGTATGTACGTACGAAGTTCTATGTTGTTACTGACTGACTGACTGACAAGTTGAAGAGTTTAAATTTCAAGGATTTCTAGGAATGTTTAAGGTAAAAGAAACAAACGTAGGACAAGTTCATCGTTAGGAATAAACAGTAATATGAGTATAATAAAAGTTACGTACTTAAAAGTTTATAAAATGACCTCTGTTTAGACATGAGTCGGACAGATTGTTTTGTTTTTCTCATCATCATTTTAATTGTACAATCAACATATTTAAATGGTTATTAGTATTTTTGATTAAGTTTAACTTCATCAAACTTATATATTTTTCTTCTAAAATAATTTCAGATGGGATAAAATTCTTAATGAACTAGATAATCATATCCCAACTATATTAGATCAAATTTGGGAGTTAATGAATCAATGGTATCACAATGACAAAGATAATTCTTTTGGCTTTTTAAATATTAAATCTTATAAGAATGCATTTTGTCAACAAAGTATTAAAAATTCTTTAGCTTTGATGTCTGAACTATTGAACAAATACTTTCCAAGAGAATTATGGGAATTACGTAAAGATGGCATAAAACCATGTAAGTTGTGATAAGTAAGACTAGATGATTTATTTTTAAGGTATCTGTTAATAGTATTTCAGTAAAATATCTTTCTTATTTTTTTTTACTGGTTTGTGACAATAAGGAAGGTAAATAGAACAATTGTGATGTTCTACCGATGTCGATAGATATAAGTAGTATGTACCATCAGTCGAAAGTGAAATGCCTAATGGCAGAAGGTTAAGATCAAAGTAAAGAGAACTAGAACAAAGAGTGATTGGTGTGGGGAAACAGTGCGACAATGAAGTTTGATATGACTGACTGATATTTGCAAAAGGAACAGTCAAGTTTGATACAATTGATTGATATTTTGCAAGTTGTTCTGTAATTTTGTATTCAAATACATTTGGTTGTGTTAAGTCGGCTTTCCGAGAACTGCAACAGAGCCTCCGGAGGCCCTGAAGGAGCCAAAGAGTCTTAGCCAATCAGAGCACGATGGAGCTTTCTAGAATGCCAACGTGGCGTGCTACTGTTGGTCAGCAGCATAATATATCTTTTAGCGGATTGGCCAAAATATGATGTTGATTCAACAAATGTTAACATCTATAAATATCCATGTTTTTCTGTACAAGTATGAACCTTGGAGTAAAGTACTTTTCGCATACTTTGCGCCTTCTTTCTCGTGTTCAGGTCGCTGTATAGTTCTAGCTTGGAGGTTTTCAAGAATAGCTTAGGAATCGAGTATAGCGTTCAAAATCGCAAGACTTATCAGGTTGTCCCTACCTTTGATCTCGTACACTACACCATAATAAAGCATTTGTAACAATCAGTGTTACTAAAAACAAGCGTTAAGGTAAAACCTGAAAATAGAAGTTATTCAAGTCGATTTTCTAACGAATTCTCAGTTTTATTCTGTTTTATATTACTGGTAACCATAGCTTTATGAAAAACAAGATTTTTTTCATTAAAGGATGAAATATTTAGCACAATCGTTCCTTCCTAAACTAGAACAAATCTTGAACATCTCCATACATTGAACTACGGTATAAAATATCCCAGAATGTTCCAGACTTTAAACTTAAAGAGTTCGTAAATTACTTGCAGTTTCTCGAACTATTTATCTAGTAAGGTGATGTAGTTGACAGCCAGACAGCCGAACGTCTTCTTTCAGTTCATCACGGGATGTCAGATGTTAGATCCGATAATAACAATGATTAGTATGAAAGTGTCAAATGGAAAAGAGTTGTCTCACACTCCTTTACACTAAAATAAAGTGGTTTGAACTTTGTTTTGGTATTAACTTTTATCATTTTTCTCAAATTTTATGATTCTACATAAAACAGCTGTCGAACTACATTTTTAAGAAGAAAGGAATGTACTCTCCAGAATTTTCTCATAATATAAAAATCATAGACAATCGAAGTGAGACTGTAATGTATGGACGATTGTTGAGCAACGTTAAAATGATCTTAGAATGTCCACCTACTTACGAGTATTAATTGAGGGTTATAGATTAATATGAGGAATGAGGAGAAGAATTTCCAGTTGGACGCTAAGTTTAGGAATTAGGTTTAATGTTTACATCACGAACTGACATCAGTTATAATGCCAAAATGGTATTTAATCAAATGAGTGAATGAATTCAGTCAAACTGTGGTGTGTGCTACTAATGTCGATAGATGTAAGTAGTATTTATCATCAATGGTAAGTGAAATATCTAGCAGATAGTGATTGGTGTGGAAACGAAAGGACAATGAAGTCTTTGACGATTGGTCGATATTTTGCAAATGAAGTATTTACTGTATGGTTTTCAGATTTTACTAAGAGATTCTGTAATTTAGTGTTCAGATACATTCGATTGTCCCCACTTATGTTCTCGTTCATTATAAAATCAATTTATTGTCTGAAAAGTTGACAACAAATGAACATACTCCATAAATAAAATATGATTCAGTAAATATAAGTTCTGCTTCTTCTACTAGGTTGTATACATTTTCCTACTGACTATACCTTTAAATTGTTACCAATTTCTGGAGATTTTACCATTCTAGGTTTGTAAACATTGTTAATTTTGTTAGTTACTTCTATAGAAGTATCTCGACTTGTGATTACATGATTTTGCGCATAACTCAATCATTGGGGTCTGAATACTCAATCGATGCACTAAGTAACTAACTAACCTAAAATTTAAGTTTTATTTATACATACTTTACACATGTATAATAAATGAAATCACTCTTACTATAGTACACAAATTTATTTCTTTATTTTTAATTTAGCCTCTGTTTATCAATCAAATCTTACATTAATTGATTATTATTGGTCTGAATGGCGAAACATTGAAGATCAACCGGTATTTTATGAAATCTTGATAAGAAATTTATTCTTATTCTCATTTATTTGGGGTATTGGTGGTGGATTGGCCGGTGATCCAAGATTAAAATCACGGTAAAATAATTTAGTTATTCTGTTGTATATTTTTTCGTGAAGCATTCAAAGTCTGATAACGTATGTCACCTGTGCCGTAGATGAAATATTCGTCTTTCAAACAAACGATGAGTGTATTGCTCAGCAGTTCACTCTGTTCTACTTTACACGTATGAAGCTTGGATATTAAAAACGGAAGATATTTTAGGTTACTTATATTCGATTATTGGTGTCTTCGAAGTACTGTTCATGAATTTTGGGATCACCGAGTGAGAAACTCTGGAGTCTTCCATAAGGTATTAGGTAAATTTAACAAATTAGTTAATTAGTTGATGAAAATTCATCAGCTGAGGTAGTTGGGACATTACTTACGCCTGTTGCTCCTTGTGGAGGACCACAGGTTTCCTAGTAGCATTCTCCGTAGGACTAGTTGTAAAATACGTCAGTCAGTCAGTCAGTAACAACACAGAACTTCGTACGTACATACATCAGTTCGACCTGCCATATCGCATTAGCACACAGATACAATTGTCGATTCAAATCACGTAGTGGTAGAGGTAGTAAGAATATAAGCAGAAATCGGAAAGAATATTGTTTGAAGATGTTATTCAAGGAGTATAATACAGTGAAACAAATTTCGAAAGAGAAAAAAAGAAAGGGACATGAAGAATTCAGAAGATTAGAATTTGAGAGAACACAAAGTGTGGATGCACCTGCACCATTTCAAACGATTTTCAGCCATGTCATTCAAGGTCTCTAACCATCAAGTGATATCATCTCGCGCATCCTAACCAGGTAGTCTATACCTACCAACATGATTCAGTCCACTTGTCAGTGACTTCATGGATTTGTGCCATGTTTTGTTCTGGTCGCCCCTAGCTCTCTCCCAACCTACTCCTACACCATAAAACATTGCACATCAGGGCAGTCGATGGTTGGGCATACGTAACACGTGTCTCAGCCATCTCAACTGACTAACTTTCACTACTTCATCAAATGATTTGCCATCCTTACCTAGTATCCGTTTTTTCTAACAACTGTATTACTTACTTAGTGGTCTCAGGATATACGAGCAATGTTTCGAAAACACCTATGATCGCATACTAGTAACTTACGAATATCCTCTACTCTTACCGGCCAGGTTTCACTGCGATAAAGTAGGATGTAACTAAATACTGTGCAGTAAACACTACCTTTGTTTGGTAGACGGATATCTCGCCTACGCCATAAATGACGCCAGTTGGTAAATGCTATTCGAGCCTTCTGTATCTGTGCAGAGAGTTCATCACACACCAGACGACAAGGGCTGATGAGACTCCCAATATAAGTGGAGCGGTCGACACATTCAACTACTTCACTCCCTATCATTAGTTCTGGTGTTGATGCCACCTAATCCTGAAGTAACATTTTGCATTTTGATGGCAAGAATCCCATCCCGAACATGCTTACATTGTTGTTTATAATGGTTTGAAGACTCTGCATTTTGTCAGCGTCTTCATGAAATAGAACTATGTCATCGGCATACTCTAAGTCAACAAGTGAATCTTTCGGTAGAAGTTCAACCCCTGGAAAGTCAGATGTGGAAAGTGTCATCTCTAAAAGGACGTCAACAACAAAGTTAAACAAGAATGGAGAGAGTGGACAGCCCTGACGAACACCACTTGAGGTAATCAGTTCCGATGACAGTACGCCATAAGCTCTCACTCGACCAGTTGTGTTCGAGTAGAGAGCCTTTATAAGGTTAATGTACATCTTTGGTACTCCTTTCAGTGACAAACACTGCCATAGAACCTCACGATCAACAGAGTCAAATGCCGTCTTAAGGTCGAGAAATACCACCATTGTGGGGCGTCTGAATGTGTGTCTATGTTCTAGGACCTGACGTAGTGTGAATATCTGATCTATACAACCACGTTCAGGTCGAAAATCAGCCTGGTTTTCTCTAGTCTGCTCTTCACGAGCTTTGATTAGGCGTCACAGTAATATTGAAGCTAATATTTTAGACACTATATTAGTCAAACTAATTCCTCTGTGATTGTCACAAGAGGATTTTTGTCTTTTCATATAGACTGGCACAATCAGTGATTGTGACCAGTCAGATGGGATTACGTCCAGTTCCCAGATTCTACCTAAGACGGTAGTCAATCTCGCTGCTAATACTGGACCACCATCCTTAAAAATCTCAGGAGTAAACCTTTCAGGGCCTGCTGCTATCCCACGCTTCAGATTTCCTATAGCTTTTTCAACTTCGTAAAGAGTCGGAGGACATACATTAACTTGTCATTCAGGGTCAACCTTTTTAACCCCTTCCTTCCTTGTGAAAAGGCAGCATCGCTGCAGATGCTGGTTGTCCGAGAGAAACACTTTACTGCTGTCACATCCCTGTACAGTAAACAGTACGACTTCGTCCTCAGACCTTGAGTTGCTGCTTTTATTCTTACCGTTCTCCAATCGACCTGCCTGGCGTGGTAGAACGTTCAGGAACATATATTCCAGCCAATAAAGCTCGTTTGGGTCATCACGATAGGCAGGCCCGACCACCGCGTCAAGATAGCAACTACGGTCGGGAAATGTTAGTTATGTTAGTTATATCCGACCATTGCCTATCATTTCGTGCATTCATGGCCATTAAAACCCAGGGGTGACCAAAGCAATTGTGGCATCAGTCCATAAATTCTCTGACTATTAGAGCGACTCAAATAGGTGTGTGCAAAATACCCGGTTGAGATTCGCGTGATTATGGCAACCTATGAGTAACATAACTGAGAATCGTTCACAATGAAGCAGATACATCCATACTTTGTCTCTTCTTTGAACATGAGTCCTGTAATCTCTTACCTTTGTTTTATTTTTTCTTAATTTGATCTCCTATTATTGATACGGATATTATTTCCAATAATCTGGGATTTGTCTAAATAATTTATCATGATGTGCTAATGAATTGTAGTAATTTTAGCTGGTGTATTTATGTGACAGGTGTTAGGTCTCATATGACTGACTTACAGAAAGTCCAATGAAAACGAACAATTAAAGATAGTTCTCTATGTTTAAGAACTATAATAACAGTTTTGCATGATAACGAAATAGGAAGTTATTAATTGAATCCATGATGAACTGGACGAAATCAATCAAAAAATTTCAAACAAATGAACATAACACGTAAAATGCTGTTTAAGAAAGATATTAGAACAGATGAAAAATAGTTAGGCAAAAATCATCTGAAATGATATTACTCTACATGTTGAGTGAGTTTCAACAGTCCACAAATTTATAACTATAAAATTAGAATAGGGGTTTGTGGAGATTGTAGTAATTTTAATGGTTGAATTCATGAATCAATCTAAGCTAAACCAGCATTGAGAACCTAGAAGCACTGGACAGCTGTTTCGTCCTAATATGGGACTCCCAGCAGTGGTCAATCAATCCATCCATCGTCTCAAACTTGACTGTTCAATTGTCTCATATTTCATTATTCATACATTTTCATACCAATTGAGTTTCGTTCCCGTTCTTACCTTCTCGATCTTCTACTGAAATACACTCTATGCCTGACCATCGTTATATACTACTTATATGTATATAAGTAACCCATATCACAATCTGTTAAAGATTTAATCGAAAACAATCTTGTTCCCTTATATCTATATTATTCTATATATTTAAAATCTTTAATTCAGTTTAACTATACATTTAATCATGATTGTTCTTATTATTATGATATTTTTAGATTTGAAACAATAATGTTAAGTATATTAAAGGATTTTATTAGATTACCTAATTCATTGAATATTCATTCCATAGACAATTCATTACCCACATTATCTATTGAATCCTATTATACAAATCAAATGAATTATTGTACAAGTATTAAATGGAATAATCATGATCATGATGAAGAAAAAGAAGATGAATATGAAAATATAAAAGAATTTCAATATAGTTTATTTAATTGTCTTATTGATTTAAGAACTGGTTATTTAACACCATTTTGGTATACAGATTATTTACAATTATATTGGCCAGAAGAATATGATATAATACTTCCTAAAGGAAATCATTATCATACTAAACCATTATTACCAACATTATTTCATGTAAATTAATCATTGTTAAATCTTTAGAATTTCTTTCTATTTTTTTGATCAGATCATATATTATTATGAATAATGCATTGTATCGGTAAATAAATCATTAGAATCAATAGCTCTGTAAGTCTTTGATAATGGATGTTGACCACATTAGTTTTAATGGATTTACTTAATTGAAGGCACTCGGTTATACATCCTCACCAGATCATGAGTGGGAACATCGTGCTCAACATCCTGTACAATCGCTAGCAAGTCTAGATCAGTTGATTCTCGATATATTGATAGCCTATCTAATATATCTTTGAATCTTTTTGTTTCTGACTTTTAATTTCATTAGGTGGGTATGATTTATAGCAGGTGTTACTAGTTAAAGCATTGTCAAACTTCAAATACCTGTGGCATCTTTAACATCCTATATTGGAAGTAGGAATGTTAAAATCGATAAGAGTTTCAACGTCTAATGTCTTGAGATTGATATGGTGATAAGGATATTTCTTTGATAATAGAGCTCGAACATTTTTTTGAGAAATACTTTTGATCTAGACATACTTTCTATGAGTTGGCTAAAAAGTGGCTTTAATATTACTCTATCATTTGAAGAATTGCTCAAGCTCACCTTTATACTATACTTTTATTGAAGCAAGTATCATTAGATTGATTAGATGTAACTGTATCATAGTAACCAATGCAAGTTGTTAAATAACTGTCAACGTTTTTCAAGAATAGACTGATGATTCTTAAACTTGATAATTAGTGGCAAGTAACCTTTAATTCAAAGTTTTCGGGAACTCATTTGAACTGTTAGAGTACTGAAACAATCGTATTATGTTTTCATGATTTAATGATTACTTGGTAATGTACAAAATACTTTATGGTGAATGAAAAGTTAAAATCACTTAAAATCTCTCCTATTCGTAATTTGTACATTTTGAAGAAGATTCATTGATGATGACTGTAGTATCTTAATTTGTATGGTGATATTGATAAATGTAATCTATAGAATAGATTTTCTAAGTCTTCTGTGTTTCCCTTATCTGCAAATTATATTTTCTTGTTAACAACTCTGTTATCGATGTGTTTAGAATTAGCTAAGAGATTTGTTGTATTGACATGTGATTTATTCACTTCTGTGAAGATATTTTTAAGGGTCATAAGATATGTAATCGATTACAGAAAACTCGGGGATACAGTTTTACTAAAAGTTAATATATATACATTAAATATCACCTAAACGGTTTATGTAAGTTGGCGTACAGTAAGATGTATCTGCTCGAGATACTGTTATGTATTTCTCAGCTGTACTTTTAATGTAACCTTGAGACAATGGATTTTTCAATTCTTATTTGAGAAATTCTTTTACCAAAATCCATATCTTATTTATGAATAATTTACGTAGTATAGTGTACGTCAAGTATTTTAACACTGAATACTATGTCTAGGACACTACCTTAGCAATTTAGGCACTGGACTGATAAAAAATTGAACAAGTGTCATAAACAAACTTCAAAAACTTTAGGTCATTAGGTAACCTACTCCGAAGTCTATTGTCTCATAACGTTTGCGTTCGCTGAGAGACCTAACTGTCCTAGGCAAAATTCCTAGTGAGGTCGTAAGGAATGTACCGTACCGAGGATACGAAACAACTGTCCGGTGCTCCCTGTTTTTCAATGGTACCTCAGTAAAGATCAGTCTGTAATGAATACAATCTAAAAATTATATAATTAAATTCAAAAAATCAACCAATCAACTTATTTTTTTCATTTGTCACATTGTTTGTTCACCATTGTTTCAATAGACCACATTAAATTTAGATAATACATAATATTAAATGAAAAGTGACCGTTGTAATGAGAAATGTATTACAACACTAAGATTTACATATTGAATGGGTTGCTTTCTACAATTGATTGATCACACTATAGTGACTAATTTCACGTTTGTCTGATCCCCTAGTTCTAGTCAAATTCGATCGACTAATTTTCAATAACGGTTACTAGTTCGAATAATATGAGCCGTCTTCACAAAACTGAGATTTCAGATAGTAGAAGATAGTTATCAGATCTCCTACCGATTACAGTCAACTACCTAACATCATCTTATATTCTATTTCTGTACAAACAAGAACAGTCTAAATAATCTTATTTTTATACACTTATTTATGTATATATTTATTTATTATAGCTTACAGTTCATTTATTTACTGGTTCATTATTCATACAATCTGGTCGACCAGTAATAATTTCTGGTCCATTTGGCTCAGGTAAATCACAACTTGCAATTGCTATAAGTCAAAATTCAGAACGATCTAAACAATCAATTAGTTCATATAATAATAATACGAAGAAAAGTCGTACAAGTTCATTTCGAATACAATCAAATGATTTTCTACATAGAATCATTTCTAATTCACAAAAAACTAACAATCAATATCAAAAACAAATATCTAATAAAAAAATCAGTTTGATACGTAATGTTATCATTTTAGAAGATGTACATTTGATTTCCAAAACAGTGACAAGTAAGTAAATATACTATTATTGATCATTTGATCTGAAGATAATCAGATTTCATGTTAATAGATCCTTATTTCTGATAGAATTCTGTCGATGAATTCATAGTTTAATCATTAGTCTAACTGGATCAATATCACTTTATGGTTTGACATTGAGTGGTAAACAAGCAGTAAACTACAGTTCTGTGTAGTTTACTGGCTAACACTTGTCAGTAAGGTATATCTAAAAGTAAACACAATTCCAATAACTCATTGATTACATCTCTTCACGTTATGATGGATGACACCAAGAACTTCAACCATAAGAAGCTATAAAGTAAAAATTGTTCTAATCATTATTTAGCGTCATACGTTTATTTTTCAGTGTAAAGCGTGAGGGTTCTTCCTCATTTTATATTTATGTATGATAAACTTCAGTTAGTTGATCAGAAACAAAGTAAAACCTGGTGTATATGTGCATCGGTTTAAGTTGTCACACCACATAAACATATAGTGATGAAGTAATCAAGAAAAATATCAGAGAAGTAGAAGTAGTAACAGTCTCAGTGAAAACACTAGACAAAAACAATATGAGTTGAGGAGAAATAATGAATTTGCGTTAAAAGATGTATGCGATATCATAGAAATACTGAAGTGTAACTATTTTCTACAAAGTTGTTAATATAATGATAAAATGTTGATTACATTGTAGTTAATGAAAACACAAGTGAGGACAATCGAATGGATTTGAACACTAAATTACAGAACGTCTTAGCAAAATCTAAGAACTATACAGTAAATACTTCATTTGCAAAATGTCGATCAATCGTCTAAGATTTCATTGTCCTTTCATTTCCACATCAATCATTCTCTGTTCTCGTTCATTTTTTTTCGATCTTCTTAACTTTCTGTCGTTAGGCAATGTACTTTTGATTGATGATAAGTATTAGCTATATCTGTCGACATCAGTAGCATACACCATAACATGACCAGAAAAGATGAATTCGAATTGTGTGTGGATTCAAACCCGTGTGTAAGACTAGATAATTCTTGATTTCAAACGAACCAATACCCTTTGAATTTTTATTGACTTTCTATCTGATATTAATTTGTGTTAAAAACATATTAATATAATTCAAAATATCATACGTCTATGAATTAATGGAAGTGATACACATTAATCATCTCGTTAGACACATTTATAAACGAAAAACAGAGGGAAAGGTGATATGCCGCAATATGTTTACATCCGGTTTGGATCCAAAATAAGAATTATTAGATATATCAATAATAATAATAATAATAATAATAATAATAATAATAATAATAATAATAATAATAATAATTATAATTATAATAATAAAACATCTACGTAACTAGGCAGATCAACAACCACACTTAAGTAAGAATGCAGAAAATGGGGGATTCAATAGATCTTTTATTTCTCAAGGAGGGGTTTTCGCACATGAAAACATCGCAGTGCATTTTGTAAGGGCAATAATTCAATAAGATTAGGTCATGTAAGGTCATGGATGCCCAATGCTAATAAATGGAATACTAAAATATTCAGTTTTTTCAAGTTTTCAGTGATTACTTTAAGAATATCAGTTTGTGGTGTAAAGTAATAAACTCGACGATCTCTCTCTCTCTCTCTCTCTCTCTCTCTCTCTCTCTCTCTATATATATATATATATATATATATATATATATATATATATATATATCTTAAGTGGAACAAAACGTATATCCAGTATCCAAAATCCAATCAATATACTAAAAAATATGGATACATTGACGTTTATTTTTAACCAAATTTTCTGTGTATGTATATGAGGATTTGCGGAGATGGTGGAATATTCATTTATCAGATAAACCACAACTGTAAACCAAAGATTATTGGACACCTGTTTCTTCCTAACATGGGACTCATTAGCAGTGTACACATACGACCCAAAATCAGGGAATCAGACTGATAACACAAAGATGTTGTACGCAAACACTTAACCTCTAAAACACTAAGCCAGGATCCAATGGTGTACATTATCTAACTTCGATCAGTTCACGATATTGTGTGACGATTTTCCATTGCCTGAAGTGAATGATTGTCTTACATCCAACATTGTTGAACTCCACCTGTCACGGTTTCACACCAGAGCTTCATGAATTACTTTCGGAGATAATAACTATTTTTATCGCCCACAATAGTTTCGTAATGCTGGTCGGTGGCCTATGCTCCATTGGGAGTAACAGGAGTAAGTAACTAAGTAATGGTAGTTTTGTGGATGAGTACTGTTGAAGAGTCCGATACTAGGAAGAGACAGACGTTTAATACATCCTGGTTTTCAATGGTAGTTTTTTGGTATCTAGTACCATCTGAAGCTTAAATATGTTATTTTAGCTACCTGATGGATCACTTTATTTGTCTTCCTTGAGTCCCATTTTGACCTTGTCAATTATTCACTTATTAACTTTGACTTTTTATATGAGGTCATGTGGGTTAATCGCTTACACTAGTCACTACATGTCTATGGCTTATTTTTGTCTGGCTATAAACATTCAGTCACACTTTATCAAATCAGGTTGGTATGTTTGCATCCGCTACTTCTCTTTACTTTTCAGCTTGTTATTTTCAATGTTTACCTGAATAAATGAGGGCCTGAAATAAATACATCCAATTAAACCCTTATTCGTTTTCTTATTACTACCATCACACAAACGGGATTAGCCTAGGTGTAACATACGAAATTAAAATAGAAGACTTATGGTTATAATATATGAGTACATTCTTTCAGAGTGAAGTCAGATTAACTGGTTACTAAAGTTGAATGAATATCATTTTGTGGTTTGAACTATAAATTTCCTCTATTTAATTACTAATCATTATTGTTTATTGATTTTCTTTCATTCAATATCTCATAAAGCACAACGAATATGGAATCAGGAATTACGTAATCAATTAACTACTTGTAATCCTAATTACTCTAAATCAAAATATAATTTTATTCCAATCTTAACATCTTTGGATCATAATCATCAACTACATTTCTCAACAAAATTAAATAGTTTAATGTATCAATTCGCGTATATCAGTTTAACAGACCCTTGTTTATTATTTGTAAAAGAAATGAATATCGATGGATTTCTCTATGAACAAAATATTTATGGTTTTAGTCCAATAAGTTTACTTTGTCAATCAATGATGTGTCATGGATTGTCAAGAATAAGTGGAATGTTAGTTGAGGTAATTAAAGTTCTTTTGTTTTTGTTTGTTTAAACTCTTTCATCTATAGTATCATTAGAGAGTGTTTGCCTAATCCTAGAGGATAAAGAATGAATTAAATTTTATTATCAACTGAATGGCACCTAGCTTTGGAAATTAATATGCTAATCATTCCATGTCCGTTTTATTTTACATATCCCTGTAAGAAACTATTTGATCTTTTCCATAGGATAATAAGAAAACGAAATTCCCCAGTCACTTTGGCTTCCAGTATGAATTTGATTGACTGATGATTACTATCGAATTTATTTAAGATGAGATTATAGCCTTAATTTTTTTGATGAATAATAAAATTATCAGCCATATGTCTCATGTATAAATGAAACCTTTACTCCCACCCTTTCTCTTTCTCCTGGTGATCGACTGGATCATGAAGACATCAACATGTGAAGGTGAGCACGAGATATAGTGGACAACTAGGATGCAGCTGGACGATCTAGACTTCGCAGATGATCTGGCTCTTCTATTGCACACGCAACAACAAATTCAGGAGAAGACAACCAGTGTAGCTGCAGCCTCAGCACCAGTAGGTATCGACATTACTTACTTACTTACGCCTGTTACTCATCGCGAAGGAGCATAGGCCGCTCACCAGCATTCTCCATCCAAACCTGTCCTGGGCAATTCTTGCCAGCTCTTTCCAGTTCACAAAGGGAAAACCAACATTCTCCGATACAACACAGCATGCAACAATCCAATCACAATTGACAGAGAAGATTTGGAAGATGTAAAACATTCAGATATTTGAGCAGCATCATTGATGAACACGATGGTGGATCTGATGCAGATGTGAAGGCGCTGATTGGCAAAGCAAGAGTAGTATATCTACAATTGAAGAACATCTGGAACTCAAAACAATTGTCAGCTAACACCAAGGTCAGGATTTTCAATACAAATGTCAAAATAGTTCTACCATATGGAGTGGAAAGCTGGAGAACTACGATGGCAATCATCCAGAAGATACAAGTGTTTATTAACAGTTGTTTACGCAAAATACTTCTAATCCGTTGGTCAGACACTATCAGCAACAACCTACTGTGGGAGAGAGCAAATCACAATCCAGCGGAGGCAGAAATCAGGAAGGAGCACTGGAAGTGGATAGAACACGCATTGAGGAAAGCACCCAACTGTGTCACAAAGCAAGTGCTCACATGGAATCCTCAAGGCCAAAGGAGAAGACGAAGATCAAAGAACACATCGAGAAATGGAGACAAATATGAGGAGAATGAACAACAATTGGATAGAACTAGAAAGGAAGGCCCAGGACAGAGTGGGTTGGAGAATGCTGGTCGGCGGCCTATGCTCCATTGTGAGTAGCAGGCGTAAGTAAGTAAGTAAGTAATAAATGAAACCTCACAGCTACTGGTTGATGTACCGCATTCTACAGACTGGTCATGAGGCAATCAGAGAAGATGAGACCTGGTGTATAACTCATTTCAACTTTATTAATTCATTAATGGAAATTGTTATTAGATCTTTGTCATAATTGTTTGAATTTTCCCATCGATATTGTGACTTCCAACTGACCAGACTCTTTTGACTTATGTGTATCTTGTGAGAATTGTTTCAAAATTACCAATACATCACAAGTATTTATTCAAACATGAATGATGGCTAGCAGTGAAATCCAGAGCACAGAATTCGTTCTATTTAAGACGTAACCCAATGATGCAGGTACATTTTACAGACGAATTCCAAATGAGACGAGACTTATGTCTTGGATTCCAATTCTAACCATCATCACATTGTATTTTCTTAAGATATTGTAGTGAACCGTGATCTGACTCCAAATAGGTCGTATGAATGATCGTTGTAGAAATATATATGCGCCTTGTCCTCGTTATAATCATTGACTTAAATCCTGTTAGTTAATAACGGAATTAAATAAGTCAAATAACGAGAATGGACTTTTGAATGCATATATTTTGTATAACTGTTGATTAGACAAACGAGCGGAGGAACGACGCGAAGAGAAGAAAGCGAAGCAAAAAGTGACGCGCGGTGGAGATGGCTGGTAAACCAACTCCCCCTTTAACCAAGCGTTAATCAATATTTATAGGCATGCAAAAATAAGTTACACACATGTGATGAACAGTGGGATAAGAAGTGTACACACGCCTACGCGCTAATACAAAGATAGTCAAGATTGATTAGCGAATAATTAACAAGGTCAAAATATGGCTCAAGTAGAATGAATGGAGTGAGATGTCCGAAAGTTAGAATAAGGTATTAGGGCTTAACATGATGACAGGCACTACAATATAAACTCTTGCGTATTGGAAATTGCTTCATTAACAGAAATGCCATATATTATTTAATGAATCCAAATCCATATAGTAAGAACAAGATGTGAAGATGAAAACGAATGTTCAAAATTTAAACCATTTAATACCGAGTTGTTATAATAGATTTAAGTTACACGATTCAGGGTCCAATTCCTATTCATTAGACAACTTTAACTGAGGAACAATATCCTATCTAAGTACTGCATATGAAAGTTTTCCGTCTCAAAAGTTGCTTAACTTAAAATATCTTTTTTGATTGACTGAATACTTCCAATCATTTATATGTAGCTTGTCCAAAAAAAACAACCATGGGTTTTCTAAATTCAGTTATCAGAGTAAACAACAACGTGAACAGTTAATCAGGAGGAACTTTTCAATTAATTAGTTGAACAGCTACCGAATACCAGGAACCATCAGATATGTTTCATCTCAGCATACTATCCATAAGCGGCGAGCATCCGCGACCCCATCAGAGAAGGAAATCGGGCGTTTCAGGTTTCTCGGTGAAAGTTTAGCCTTCGGGCCACTGAGTGAATATTCTAGAGTAATATTTTTCTTAATTTCAATAATCAAGTAAAATGTATTCTAAAAAAGACAATATTTATGATGAGGTTACAACACAATTGTTTTTTTTCTTCAAGAGATTCAGTTGGATAATATGGTACATGCATTGTGCTTTAATGAAAGAACGTTGTACTTATGATAATGCAAAAGTAGATTGGTTAATCATGCATAAGATTGCACATTCTATGGGATACCATTTAAAAAACTATTATCCATGCAAACCAACTGATGAAATCCGATTGGATAGTTCAATTGTGTCAGATAATATAAATAGACATATTTATTCAAGATGGACACCTTTATGTAGGTCATCTCTTTTTAAAAAACGTTTATTGACTTATTGAAATAAGGTTAATAATATATGTGTTAATATGATATTTATGTTTGGAAGTTCCACTTACATGGCTAACAGCTTGTTCTGTCGTCTATGAATGTGATTCGGAATCACAGAACAACTTATTAGTCATATGTGTAAAATTTTAAGACTCTACCTTGTATTGATGATAACGTTGTCTAGGAAGAAAAAGAAAGTTTCATAATTAAATCACTAAACTCAGAGAAAATGATTCCATCAAGATAAGCCTCCTCTCTCAGCTAAAAACTCTCTCCATCTCAAGATAATATTCATGTTTAAAAGATTAAGATTGGTTGTAACTTATTGACAATATTTAGTGTGAAACTTCCAGCTGAATATCCATTCGTAGTAATGAACATGTTTAGGGAATAGCTTAATTTTAGTATATGGTAGGGATTCAACTCGGTTTTTTAAAGTTTCAAGAATTTTATTGATATATTTGTAATGTGAATAATGGTTTGAGGGATTCAACATTTCGTGTACTATATTGAGACTTCATTAACATAACTCACTAAAGCAAACACTTCCTTTAAAAGAAATCAAACTTTTTGGTCAAGACAGAAGACATTATAAAATAGTTTGAGACCAAAATGATCGTTCACCGGGTATATTGTGACCTCTTTCACTTTTAAATTGCTAATTAACTATTCTGTTGAACTGAATTTAGGAAAATTGACAATAAACAAAATCCTAGAAAACCATGAAATGATAAGTCATCTGAACAGTTTGACTTCTAAAGACTTTAGGGAATTTTCTGAGCAATAGAAGAAATGACACTTGCACTGCCATATATAACACATGAAATATGTCGTAAAGTATAAAACTGATGCATCCTAAATACTATACAATAGCCACAATTGATTGATCACTGGATGGTGATCAATGTCATGTGTGTCAAGTCCTTCTTAGTGCGGATCGAATGCTATCAACCAAGTTGCATTGTAGCCACTAGTCTAGGTGACTTGACGTTGAGTGCACCATGTTGAGATTAGATGATGGTCAACAGGGTTTCCTGTTGACTAACTCCAACCACCATCGAACTATACAATAGCGTACATACAACTTTATTTTGTGTATTTACGGAACAGATTACGTAAAGATTGTTTTATCTGTTAATGTAAATAAAATATGTTCTTTTTATTTCAGTGTTAAGTGAATCGGTTCATCTCAATTCAAAAAATCAACTCAGTAACACTTTGCAATCAGTGTCGTTTTTATGTCAAGAAATCAAACGATATTTTAGTCCATTATTACCTAAAGATTTGTGTTCAGAATGGTTATTTAATAATTTATCAAAATCCATTGATTATTATTTAATGAGACCATCTTCATTAGGTCTTTTAGTTCCAATTTCATACCTTCTATTTGGACCAGCTGGAAGTCTTTTCCTTGATTCGAAAATCACCAGACAATCTATTTTACATTTAAGAAAACATTCTTTGACAAAACTGACAGATACATCCTCATCTGTTATATCTCAACGTGTTTGTAATGAGAGTGGATTTTCGATCAATTCAACTTCTTCTCCTTCTGTATCTTGTTCAACACTAACAACATCTTTCAGTTATTCTTCATGTTATTCTAACTCGATCACATCTTCGTCTATACCAACCACATCTATAACCAATAATTCTCTTTCGACACAATCATTCAACACTTTTTCAACATCTGCTCAATATAATTCGAACAATTATACTTCATCAAATTATTCCACTACTTCAGTATTTACTTCTTCATCTGATTCCTTAGTATATGGATCTTCTTTAACTTCTATGCCTATTCTATCTTCTTCCGTGCTCTCTTTACCGAACTCACGTATTGATACAGTCATGACTACGACTAAGACTACTACTACTACTACTACTACTACTACTACTACTACTACTACTACTACTACTACGTCTTTAGTGAATTCATTGTTTACTCCACCTACCATCTCAACATCAACATTTCCAACCAATTTATTAACAAATGAACTTTCCAATATGTCACTCCAGGAGGTTGAACAAGAAAAAAAAGAAGAAGAGAAACAAATTATTTCAACTGAATCAATATCTAATAATGATAATAATATAAATTATGAATTTAGTACACAAATCGAACAGTTATGTTCTAAGTTGAATGATGAAACAGAAACTAGTTTATCAAATTATAAAAGACCGATCTATTCACCATTCTATGAAAAATATGATGGAAAGTGTAATACAAGTCATCGAAGTTGGGCAAAGTATGGCTTATTAAACCCTCATCTTATACCATGTATCAGTATACCAGGATGTTTAGATCAGACCAATGATTTAGAAGCTATATATGTTAATTTAAAAAATGATTTATCTATGTGTGATATAGAAATAAACGGTTATGATTCACTATTACAATATATGATTAGAAATGCAATAGATTTAATTTATAGGTATGTTTAAATATTGTTATTATCAGAAGGAAGTTTTGTGTGGAGATCATAATAATTTAATATTTGAGTTCATGAGCCAATTAAAGCTAGACCACCATGGAAAATCTGGAAGCACTGGAAGGCCGTTTCGTCCTAGTGTGGGACTCCTCAGCAGTCAGTCAGTAACAACATAGAACTTCGTACGTACTTACATCAGTTCGAGTTGCCATACGACAGTGCTCATCCACGATCCGACGCGCAGCTCAGTGGTCAGGGCTGCCTACTCTTTCTATTCTTGTTCAACTTTGTCGTCGACGTGATTTTAGAAATAACACTTTTCTAGGGTTGAAATTCTACCGGGAGATTCACTTGTTGACTTAGAGTATGCTGATGACATAGTTCTATTTCATGAAGACGCTGACAAAATGCAGAGTCTTCAAACCATTATAAACAACAATGTAAGCATGTTCGGGATGGGATTCTTGCCATCAAAATGCAAAATGTTACTTCAGGATTGGGTTGCATCGACACCCGAACTAGTGATAGGAACTGAAGTAGTTGAGCGTGTCAACCGCTTCACTTATCTGTGAAGTCTCATCAGCCCTTGTGGTCTGGTGTGTGACGAAATCTCAGTACGGATGCAGAAGGCTCGATTAGCTTTTGCCAACTGGCGTCATTTGTGGCGTAGGCGAGACATCCGTCTACCAAACACAGAATGTGTTTACTGCACAGTATTTCGTTACATCCTACTTTATCGCAGTGAAACCTGGCCGATAAGAGTAGAGGATATTCGTAAGTTACTAGTATGCGATCATAGGTGTTTTCGAAACATTGCTCGTATATCCTGAGACCACTGAGTAAGTAATGCAGTTGTTAGAAAAAACGGATACTAGGTAAGGATGGCAAATCATTTGATGAAGTAGTGAAACTTAATCAGTTGAGATGGCTGAGACACGTGTTACGTATGCCCGACCATCGACTGCCCTGATGTGAGATGTTTTATGGTGTAGGAGTAGGTTGGGAGAGAGCTAGGGGCGACCAGAACAAAACATGACAGAACTCCATGAAGTCACTGACAAGTGAACTGAATCATGTTGGTAGGTGTAGACTACCTGGTTAGGATGCGCGAGATGATATCACTTGATGGTTAGAGACCTTGAATAACATGGCTGAAAATCGTTTGAAATGGTGCAGGTGCATCCACACTTTGTGTTCTCTCAAATTCTAATCTTCTGAATTCTTCATGTCCCTTTCTTTCTTTCTCTTTCGAAATTTATTTCACTGTATTATACTCCTTGAATAACATCTTCAAACAATATTCTTTCCGATTTCTGCTTATATTCTTACTACCTCTACCACTACGTGATTTGAATCGACAATTGTATCTGTGTGCAAATGTGGTATGGCAAGTCGAACTGATGTATGTACGTACGAAGTTCTGTGTTGTTACTGACTAACTGACTGATGGACAATCTGGAAGCACCGAACGCCCGTTTTGTTTTAGTATGGGACTCCTCAGCACTGCTCATCCACGATCCCGCTCGAGGGATTCAAACTCAAGACCTTCGACTTTACGCGCGAGCGCTCACCCTCTAGACCACTGAGCTGCGAGTGGGATCGTGGATGCGTACTGCTAAGGAGTCCCATGTCAGGACGAAACGGCCGTCCAGTGCTTCCAGACTTTCTATGCTGGTCTAGCTTTAATTGGCTCATGAACTCAACTATTAAATATTATCAGTTATTTTGATATTATTTGTAGCATAATTTGAGTAATTAGATAGTTTAAGTTTAAAATACAAGTGACAATTGATAATTTTAGTGATAATAAAGTAAATGCTATGTGACAGAATTAATGGACATATCATCGTTGATGATGTATAACGTTGCATTGTATATCATTTGAAATTTATGTCATTACATACTGAGATATCACTTTTTTTCATGTCTCCTATGAATAAAAATCTACAGTTATGTTTTGTGTACAAAGTTTATGTTAAGGGTACATTTCAAAATTTAGTTTCCTTTATAAAGTTTAATCAAGGAAGAATAAAACCTGGAAACGTTTCGGTGATATATTGAGCTAATAAAAAACTGGTCAAATGATAGACTTATATGATTGACCAAGAATTGGCTTTCACTTCTGATAGATATAACATAAAGCTTAATTTTCTAAAGAACAGATAATTTATACACGAATTAGTACACGTGTCTGTATATTTGGTTTAGTCAATAAATTTCAATTAACTTTTTCAGTCTTTTCATTCAATATGGTGGTCGGGCTCATGTACAGTAAGATTAGTATCAACCTTCGGACACCATACGTCACAGAAGTAAAATACTCAACTACCGTCTATATATATATATATATATATATATATATATATATATATATATATATATATATATATTGGAGTTAGAAATTAACACCGTTGGATGCCGGCCAACTCCGTGGTCTAATGGTTAAGCGCTCGTACGCGACACTAATAAGTCCTGGGTTTGAATCTCGCAAGGGGCGGGATCGTGGATGCGCACCGCTGAGCAGTCTCATACCGGGACGTAAACGGCCGTCCAGTATTCCTAGGTTTTTCATAGTGGTCTAGCTTCAGTTGACTCATGATCTCAACTATTGAAATATCTAATATTTCATGCTTCCCAATAATAGCCACTACCTTATGTTAGTCCATAGAGAAAAATATATCTTAAAAATGAAATGATGGAAAAGATTTGTAGCTTAGGGGAATGTATTCTTATGAAGTTTTGTTTTCTAACCTTGATGATAGATATTTATACTGATGATATCATTTAGAAGAATGATGAAAGTTCCACAACTAAATCATCGAACTCAGAGAATAAAACTTATTGTATATTTTAAGAAAACATTTAACACCTACACAAATACATATGTGTTGTAAGATATCAGCTCACTGAAGATAATGGTGTACGGTGGCGCAGTTTCGTGGATTAGTTGAAGTTAGACATTAACACCGTTGGATACCGGCCGGCTCCGTGGTCTAATGGTTAAGCGCTCGTACGCGAGCCTGATAGGTCCCGGGTTTGAATCTCGCGGGGGGCGCTGTCGTGGGTGCGCACCGCTGTGCAGTCCCATACTGGGACGTAAACGGCCGTCTGGTGCTTCCAGGTTTTCCATAGTGACTTAGCTTCAATTGACTCATGATTTCAACTATTGAAATACATATGTTTCTTTTGTGTTTCTATATTCTTACTTTTTTTTTCTTCATTTTATGAAGTACATTAACTCATAATCCTTCTTATGTACTACTGAATAACTCTACTAATTATAAAACATATGGAGTAAATTTTCTTATCCAAAAACAAATTATCAAATGTATTATTCAATTAAAAAATTATAATAAAATTTATTATACAAAATCTTTAATAGAATTTTTAATAAAATTTAATCAAAATGATAATGAAAAATTCTGGGATAATTATAAACAATATGAAATGATTATTATTGATTTGTCTAATCAAAATGTAAACCAATCCTTCTATGATGATAATAATATTGATGGGATCAATGATGGTGATGTTGATAATGATGTAAATGTGCTACTTTTATTGATACAAAGATTACAGGAACTACGTTTTGATTTACCATGGAATGAAATGAGTTATGATAAAGTGAAAGGAATTTTTGTTATTGCTTCAACGGATGGTAAGTTTTATATTCGAATAATAAAAATAATAATAATAATAATAATAATAAACACTTTATTCAAAAGCAATATGTTTGATTAAAGTAAATAATTCTCAATCCAATTATCATTCGTTTATCTGATAATCATTAAAGGAGGAAAATCAATCAATCATTATAATGTTTTCTCTCGAGTTTGACTGTAATTACCTTTGTGATAGATCCCAAATAATCTATATGAACTCTTAATTATATTTGGGGGTTAATTTATATAATTACGTAATTACGATACATCAGAAACATAAAATTTTATTGTTACATATATATATATATATATATATATATATATATATATATATATATATATATATATATATATATATATATATATACCTGAGTACTAACTTCATCAGTGATCAGTCACATTGTAGTGGGCATTTTAATGTTTGTCCAGTCCTTAATGATACATGGCCACTGGTCTAAATAACTTGAATTCCTATGTACTTTGTTGAGATGTTAATTAGTTTACAGGTGATCGACAGGAATCCATTGACCTACATGCCATGCTATTTGACATTCATCAACAAGGTCTACTGGGTCAATCCAAACACAGAATGCATCATTTTACGATTAACTATCTTTTCTCATTACATATAAAAATATTACCAGTATTTCCTTGTTTTTTTTACCCACTAGTCTGAGTTTAATGAATAGGTAGGGACTTGTCTCAATCTTGTTTACAGCCTTGACGTGATGGATTACTCAGTACATCATTGTGACTTGTAGCCCGTGAGTTTGATTAAGGACTCAACGACCATGATTAGAAAAAATATCCCACCACCAACTGACGACCTGATATGTTAGCTAGCTGAGTGGGAGAGAGAGAAGATGATATAACTGGCACCATATATCCCGTTTTACTCATGATTCGCCTTATGCAGAATAGGTACATGAATAAATAGGTGACAGACATGACCACGGTGCACAAGAAATATTCAATTATATTCAAGCTACGACATTAATTTTGAAATGAAAGAGAATATGATAACAATTTACAAATTAAACGAAGGCTCATAATTCATAGAGGAAATCGGGCACAAAAAATAAACATTAGTACTTTACGAATTTTTAGTTAACCGAAACTATTGTGACTTTAAGTCCGGCTAGTTATCACGTAATTTATTCGCCAATCGAAACAGGACTTATTCACTCTTGTACTGTACTAAACCAATGACGTTCGACCCATCTGATCAGCCTAGCGTCCTCATTGGTTCGTTTGCTCGCATATCCCGTCCAACTGGGTCCAAATCACCAATAACAGCTCCCACTATGCGAATAGTTTATTTCAGACATACTTGGTATATATATCAACTAAACAGACTGCATCACTCCATAAAATAGGAAATAACATTTATACAAAATAAAGCCAAAATGTGGCTGTAAACGTGGGGGACAGTATAATTTAAGAACAATAAATCGTATAATAATAAATTATGGGTCAGAATGAAGCATATAATAAGATGATTATATATATATATATATATATATATATATATATATATATATATATATATATATTAGCAATATTATATATATAAGATTAGTCCATTGATAGATCTCAAAGGTTACCCGTAATTTAATCTTCACTAGGATATAACAGAAACGATGTCCAGAAAAGTTACCTTCTAGTCTTTGTCATTGTTTCCTTGTCATGCACATCCAATCAGACAGATAAACAATTAAACAAAATATTGTTTGACTTTCTCATTTGAGAAGAGTCTATGACTGATGAATTCAAATAACTTATTCGCATTACATGTTCAGCTATTCATATTTACTTTATACTATCATTTGTAAAACAATGGTCGAGATAATTTTCAAAATAACTTACCCATCTATTTCCAAACCAATATAAATTAAAATTAATGGGTCCTGGTTTTTAACTTCAGCCAAACCAACTCTTCAGTATTTCTTGGTTTTTGTGAAGATGGTTCATAGGTGAACTCGAGGAAGCTCTAAGAAGTTTAGAAAGAGCCGAAGATATTTCATCCAATCATTTTTCGGAAGTATATTCCAGAATTCCTATATGTATCCTCCCTATTGTACAAATGCTAATAACATCCTGTGTGCGGATTGGATAACAATAATGATGATTTCATTTTTTACTGAAAACTATAAATACCTGACAGTATTGTATCATAATTGACACTGTTTTGGAATAACATTCCTTTCACTTCTCTTCTTTCTTCTCATTTACGACTTGGAAGTATTCTAGCATTCAAGTGCTCAAGATATACGCAGCATAGTAAGAATCTAAGCTCTAAATGTAACTGATATCTGAAAGTGATAAAAATAATTCAGTCCAGTAGAAAAATAACTTTTCATTTGAATACACATTTGTTTTACACAGTATGTTACTATTACCTAATAGTTATCAAAAGTTTTAATTATCGATTCTTTACAATGTAACCGAATATTAATAAAAACCCTTATTTATTGATTATTTTTTTTGTTTGGTTACGAAGTTATCTTAACTGATATCAAGAAATGATAAAACTAATCTTTACTTTTCTTATAATTCAGTCCAATAGAAAAAAAAACTTCTTTCATTTGAACACACTCATTTGTTTTAAGTAGTTTGTTATTATTACTTACTTACGCCTGTTACTCCTCGCGAAGGAGTATAGGCCGCTCACCAGCATTCTTCATCCAACCGCGTCCTGAACAGTCCTTTCCAACTCTTTCCAGTTGTCATTCATCTTTTTCATATCTACTTCTAGTTATCAAAATTTTTAATTACAATGTAACAGATTATCAATATAATCCCGTTATTTATTGATTTTGTTTGTTTGTTTGTTACTTTTCCAGATATGATATTTAATCAACTAATACAATATATATCATGGGATTGTGTTATCAATTTTAATGAAATAACAAATTATTTACAACATAGAAATATAGAATTTAAAAGTATTACTAATCATATAGATCTTGATCCAAAATGTATATTGAAAAGTTTCTTATCCGATCATCATTTATTATTAAACAGTAATAATAATAATAATAATAATAATAATCAATTAATTTTATATGAACTATTCATTGAAGCTTATTTATTAGCATACAATTATTTTAATGAAACTATCAATTGTATTCATAGACAAACATTATACAATTATCAATATTCATTTAATTATATAATACAAACAATAAATATATGGTATTATCTTCAATCATATCAAAATGAACAAAATAAAAATCAATTATTATGTCATCAATTAAATGAAACCAATTTATTATATGATTCCATAAACAATAGTTATTATTCATTAGAGAATCAAATAATGAAAGCTAATTCTATATTAGAATTAATGAGAAAAAATTTATATAATTATCAAGTAGTATATTTACCTGAAGCTAAATTAAATTATACAAATATAAATGAATATTTACAATATTTAGAAAATGAAATTATACATAAAGAGAATGAATTAATAAATATGAAGAAACCAATGGAACATGTGAAAAAATTAGCTGAAAATGAATTTAATAAAGTAAGTTATTTTGTTATAATGTGAGCATTTAAAGCTATACATATAATCAATTGTTATGAACATTAACTCTGAGATGCAAGTACATCCAGTTGATGAGTGTCAATTAGGACGAAATGTGTCTCATGGATTCCTCTATACATCTTTGCTTATAAAACTTGTGACTTCTAATAATATCAAGGTAGTTTGCATAGGATGCATATATACCAACTAGAGACTGATCAATTGCAATTGTAAATAACAATGGGAAGATACAAGTAAACAACACCAAGTGAATATAACTTCACCCAATTGCACAAGCAGGTGGCTATCAGAATTTAGTAGCTAAGTGGATAACACGATGGCGTTTGAAGCGAACGGTACTGGATTCGAGTTCCAGATAGGATGAAACACACGATCTAGATTCCACTGCTAGCCACTATCCATCTTTGCTTATAAAGCTACTCGTATAATGTTAGTAGTATGATAAAGTAAATGTTAAAGCATCAATGTAATTAGTTATTTGTCTATATTAGGGTGATTAGGAGAATGGATTCACCGTCTGAGAATTAGTGAAATTTACTCCCAGTTTTTATCATTTTTCTTGTATCTATTAACATATTTCATTAATGTTTGTCCCAAATCACACTACTTACACAATATCTCAAATAAGTTATGTAATACGTAAAGCAATATCCGGACGATATTTTCCAGAATTAACCTGAGAAACTCCATGTTTTCAACTTGTTTTTCTCATAAAAATCAACTAACACTATGCATATGTCAAGTCATTTTTAATCCGATTGTATTGAGGGTGACATAATGTAATCTCTGTTTACGAAGTCACTAACTGGTGAACTGAGGCATATCTGATTGAAGTTTTCAAAATAATCATTTTCTACAATTGAAGACATCATGCCTACCATATCTTCTGAAGTGCCCCCAAATGCCCTGGTAGGGCAGAGAGTGGGGAGAGTCCGCTCTACCTCTCTCTCAAAATACTCTCAAATGGCCACGTGCACACAACTACTGCCAGGGAAGACCTACTCACTAACTTCTCGTGGCAGGGTGTTGTTTACAAAATTGAGAGGACGAAAAGTGAAACTTCGTCGCTTTAACTGGGTTATTGGACACGGATAGTCCACCTAGGGGAGTTGGAAAACCCTGATTCCAAACCAATTGTGTACATGGGCTCCAGTATCCTGATGGAACAAATGGCATAAAAGCCGATTGTTAGTCACCGGTTACCATGGAACTTCATCTCCTTACGATGCTCCGCTGTCCTTGTGGATCAGATCTTTAGGTCAAAGGCTCAGGGTGTGGCCTCCTAAGAGAACCACCTATTTCGGTTTGAGCACCCGGGCAGTATCACAGCCCACACACAAATAAAATGAGATTTGTGTGGCGCATATATATCTGGTGCCCCTTTATACTAGTATTCATGTGTTCAAATAAATAAATAAATAAATAAATAAATAAATAAATAAAAAATAAATCTTCTGAAGTCACAATATGTTTATATCTTAAATAACATACAACAGAAAGATTTCAAATCTAGTTTTTAGGAACCATTTCAAAGCTTTGGATTTTTCACTAATACAGTACTCTTCATAGTATATTTTCGAATGTGATTTTGTACATTTTATACATTAAATGTAATGTCCCTTGTATATTTATTCACATGAAATGCAATGCAAATAATCAAACTAATTCGTAAATATTCTGTAGGTTTTCACATGTACTTTTACAGAACTGTATTTACTACTTCTAAAGTATTTCCTTTATAGATTAAGAAGGATAATTAGTATAATCTAATTTGATGTTGATTGTAGTTGAAAACGTTCTGGATCGCTACATTAAGTTATTGAGTTCGACTGATTTCATAAAACAAGATATTAATTCACGTTTTAAAATGAATTTCTTTGAAACAACATATCAGAACAGTCAGATGAGACTATCGTAACTGAGGTCAGAATTGTATAAATAATAATAGAATTAGTGATAGTAGACGACATTACCGATAGATAATCTGATTCTAGAAGAAAGATTTTATTCATGAGTAAAATATATGAGACAATTTTGATGATCAAGGTTTAGAGCAAGACAAATTGTGAATGTAACTGCTCCATTTCTGTTAATTCTTATCCACGTCTCCCTGAATAAGACATTAATCCCCTTATAAGCCAGATGGCGATGTCGTTAACTCAAAACAAAAGCCTATGAAAAAGCGAAATTAGAATGAGGATACTGGACAATCCTGGTGAACATCAATTAACGTTATCATTTCTGATGATAGTTCATCATAAGATCTCACTCAACCAGTAGTGTCCGTGTAGGAGGCCATCATAAGGTTTGTATACGATTTTGGTAACAGTTACTTGTCAAGCAACTGAGTTAAATACTGACTTAAGGTCATTAAATACCGTTACACTAAGCGGTTAGTAGGTATGTGTAAGTCCCATAATATAACAAAGGATAAATATTCAGTCAATAACTCTGCGTCAAGGTCTGAAACCAGTCTGGTTGCTGAAAGTTCACTGTTTATGAGACCTAGTTAAGCATACTCTAGTTTACTCCTTGAATCATTTCTGACCAAAAAAAGTAGACACAAACTTTTATGTATTTTTAAAATCTTGTTTTAATTGTAGTTAAAGAATGCTTATCGTTTAGCTGTTCAAGGGTTACATAATTTGTCCATTGAAGATTTAGATGAAATACGATCATATCGTGAACCACCAGATGATGTGAAAAATTGTGTCTATTTAATTTGTATGCTTATGGATGAAGAGGAAAAGTGAGTTGTCTATACATTTGCAAAATTTATTTTGATTTCTTAAAATCATATCTATAAATTAAGAAGTATATTGAACTACTGAAATATGAACGGTTGACTTCAATTCTGTGGATTAACATTAATGTTTCCTAACTGGAGTACTGAACATTAATATGATGTAAATAAAGTACAAACAAAGATAGTATTTGTACAATGCAGTAAATTTATGCTCAACTCATGACCCTTAGTGACTTCGAATTGACCCTCGGAAGGTAGAACTAATCTTTAGTCAGTCGGAATACAGGATCATTTGTTACATTCAAGATCAAAGACGATTAAGATCTGGATTAAGAAATAAGATTGAGATTTAGGTTTAAGATTTGTTGTGAACAGAATAATAAAGAAGAATTGATAAACTATAAAAGCTACTGTTTAGAATATTAACACGCTAAATTCTAAATCTGTTGGAAATACTAAAATTAATTTAACGTAATTTCCTAATCCTCTTAACAACAAGCTTTAGTATAAATTCTACTATCATTAGAGATGCTACTGTAATATCTCATTCTATCTCCAAGTTTTTGTAACTTTACCATGAAAATTGTAAATTATTCCAATACATTATCTGGTCTAGTTTGGGATATACTGTCCTTTTTTATTTAATGCAAATTGAGGTCTACTTTAGCAGGTATTTGTGTGCATTATTCGTTTAGTTACATGAGTCCGGAATTCGGATATAAACTTTTTTATTACTTTGATCTTCTATTTTCTTGTCAATCACTCAATATCCACGTATCAGATCGTTAGTTAGTGAATAGGTTAGTTCTCTACCCTCAGGGTCAACTAGTTACATGTCGAACTCATATGTTCAATCACAAGGTCATACTAAGTAGCCAAACTTATCAAGGAGATTGAGGAGTTTTGAGACCAATGTCCCCGGTTATCTAACTGCATAATGAGGGTATAAACCAAGGTTATACTAGAGCCTGAGTGGGAACTACTTTGTAGGTAAATGATTGAATATATTCATGCTTCTAATTCTTTGGTTTTAAATATTAACAACCTTTAAATTATCTTCAAGTTTTCATAGTCCATGGTCCCTATTCTTCAGACTTCCCATGTTTATCAACTTCAAGGATCTTTGTGGCTAACTATTGTTTAGTTTACTTATTTATTAATTAACTCTTATGATACATACTATCCGTCATCGAGTTTTGAATTCAGCTCTAAAATCCAGTAGCCATTGTTTTATATCTATTTGATTCATCAGTGAAGTATACTTTTACCATAATATGCATGTATTTATCTTATGGGTTCTCTACGGCTGCTTACAACGGTTGTACTTATTTTACATCATAACATCAAGAGGAATTTATCAAATATTATTAGAATGAACGATGGTTATGGAAGAGTTCTTAAAGATATTCATATCTTCGATTATTTATATTATTATGACAGTTAGTATACACAACCCTTTTAAGTGATTTAATATTAAAAATGTTAAGCGGTCATTCAAGTTTGATACTGGTAAATAAATTTCTTGTATAGATACCCAATTAGCTAATTGTAAGCGAAAAACAAGAGTGAATAGGAAGCTTTCATTAACCAAGTGAATCAAAATATACGCAAAAACTCATTCATAAATTCAGGTACGCTTCCCACAAATAATCTAGCCAGATCTTCATCTGATAGTGTATATTTGTATTTTTCGGATAATTATGTCAAATCTTAAGCAATAGCATTCACTCGTCAATATTTCTTACTTATGATAGTTGACTTTGAACTGATACATGTTCAATCACCTTCTCTTCCAAAAATGTAAGTTTGGATTTATTTGCAAGGATTGAGTAGGGGTGGAGTACATCCAAGGTACTTTTGATGACATCTTGTCTAACAGACGTTAAACGAAGAACATTATCCAAATGAGATAAAATGTTACCTACTTCAAATAAATCTAAGTAAAATCTAGAAATATTGGACAGATGTTCCTTCTCAGTGTGGAACTCCTCACTAGTAAACATCCATGACCCTACTACCAAGGACCTAACCCAGAACCTACATTCTTATGTGTGACCTTCTAACTTCCAAACCACTTTGCTAGAATCCAAAGATGTATATGTCTAACATTAATCAATTCTCACACTATTGGGAAGACCCATACTAGGACGAAGCCGTTATCCAATGCTACCACATTTTCAACAGTTGTCTAAGTGAGGTCGATTCGCTATCTCAGTAACACTCAGTATCATTCACAAACTTCAATGCTGATCATCTTAAATCGTATTTTCAAAAAAATAACTACCTAGCGAACCATAAAACAGAACAACCTGTATATAGTTCAGTACCTTCTAAGTTTACACGCATTGAATGAACGTTTATTAGTACCGAAATATAGAGCGGATACTTTAATCAATTCAGGAAAAATCAGCTTGATTTACCTACATTCAAGTGTTGGTCATCACATTGAAAATAAAAAGATTTAAGACTGTGGAAAAAGTGAAATATCACAATTAACACTTTACTCTCTCTCTCTCTCCCTTACTTACTTACGCCTGCTACTCACAATGGAGCATAGGCCGCCGGCCAGCATTCTCCAACCCACTCTGTCCTGGGCCTTCCTTTCTAGTTCTATCCGATTGTTGTTCATTCTCCTCATATTTGTCTCCATTTCTCGGTAATGATGTGTTCTTTGATCTTCGTCTTCTCCTTTGGCCTTGAGGATTCCATGTGAGCGCTTGCTTTGTGACACAGTTAGGTGCTTTCCTCAATGTGTGTCCTATCCACTTTCAGTGCTCCTTCCTGATTTCTGCCTCCGCTGGATTGTGATTTGCTCTCTCCCACAGTAGGTTGTTGCTGATAGTGTCTGACCAACGGATTAGAAGTATTTTGCGTAAACAACTGTTAATAAATACTTGTATCTTCTGGATGATTGCCATCGTAGTTCTCCAGCTCTCCAAACCGTATGGTAGAACTATTTTGACATTTGTATTGAAAATCCTGACCTTGGTGTTAGCTGACAATTGTTTTGAGTAGATATACTACTCTTGCTTTGCCAATCAGCGCCTTCACATCTGCATCAGATCCACCATCGTGTTCATCAATGATGCTGCTCAAATATCTGAATGATTTTACATCTTCCAAATCTTCTCTGTCAATTGTGATTGGATTGTTGCATGCTGTGTTGTATCGGAGAATGTTGGTTTTCCCTTTGTGAACTGGAAAGAGCTGGCAAGGATTGCCCAGGACAGGTTTGGATGGAGAATGCTGGTGAGCGGCCTATGCTCCTTCGCGAGGAGTAACAGGCGTAAGTAAGTAAGTAATGTTGATACCTACTGGTGCTGAGGCTGCAGCTACACTGGTTGTCTTCTCCTGCATTTGTTGTTGCGTGTGCAATAGAAGAGCCAGATCATCTGAGAAGTCTAGGTCGTCCAGCTGCATCCTAGTTGTCCACTATATCTCGTGCTCACCTTCACATGTTGATGTCTTCATGATCCAGTCGATCACCAGGAGAAAGATAAAGGGTACGAGTAAGCAACCTTGCCTAACATCAGTATTTACCTCGAACGAGTGTGTCAGTTATCCTTCATGAACGATTTTGCAGTTTAATTGATCATAGGAATTCCGTATAATACTGACTATCTTCTCCGGTACGCCGTAGTGTTCTCTCTCTCTCTCCCTCTCTCTCTCTATATATATATATATATATATATATATATATATATTCTCGACTATTTTATTTTCTCGAAATAAGATATTTTATGATGCATAAAGTTCTTGTTTTTTTTTTGTTTTTTATTTCCCTTATATACTTTTCTTTATTCAATAATTGAAGTTGGGAAAATGCAAAACATATGATGGTTCCAGTTAAATTTATTAGTAAAATTTTAAAACTTTCCATTCAATCATTGAATAAACATAAACATAATGAATTAAGAAAACGTTTAAATAATTCAAAAATAACATATGAAAATTTATTACAGGTAAGTAAAAAGGTTTTAGAAAAATATGGTAATAAACAAATTGTTTTCAATCATTGATCATGATTAGAAACTAACACTTGAACGGGTAATTTTAAACAGATATATCTGTTGGTTTAGTAAATCTAAAGAGTACATGATTTTCATTCCATACAGACTGGAACTCAGAAATTTCAGATTTCATTAAAAGCATAATATAATTCAGTTAATGGTTTAATTTTACATTCTGTTTATATTAATAACAGTATCAATCCTTAATTCCTGGATTTTACCATTCTAAACATATCAGTTTATTTGTTTGTTCTGGGTACCGATTTCGGCTATGAGAGATGTTGATTTAAACCTCATGTGGAACATCAATTCTCTTAAGATGACGGATTTACCTCGTTCAACCGTTTCAAGTGACATGAACTGTATCTCGAGAATTACCTATTAATCGAATCCAACTACTTGACAGTGTTTAATTTATTAATTTGTTAAAAGATTTTATTTCTAAAGAAACATTTTATTTATAAAAAGACGAATCCTGACACCCAAAAACTTGCCTTAATAAAGACTGAAATAGTGAAACGTTTTCATACATTAGTTATTAATTACTATATCCCTAATCACAAATTTTTCTGTCATCCATCCATGTAGTTAGAACATTGAATACGTTAAGATACCAAAAATTCCTGTGAACTGGAATAACATGAATAGTCAGTACAAACATGAAAAGAACTGGGAATCTAGATGTTGGAAGCTGTAGTTATTTAGTTACCCAGTATCCTCATTCACTAAAAGATAAAATGTTTATTTATCCCATTGGCATATATAACCTAATCTCATACTATTCCATATCATTATATCTTGCAACTTTTCGAAAAATTGGACTCTATTGCACAGTTTTTAGAAGGGCATTCCAAGGCCAAGAGTTGACTTTTCTAGTCAGTCAGTCAGTCAATAACAACGTGGAACTTCGTACGTACGTACATCAGTTCGAGTTGCCACACTACATTAGCACAGAGATTCAGTTATCGATTCAAATTCCGTAGTGGAAAAGGTAATGATAGGGGACATTAAGGTTTGATGATGTTATTAAAGGAGTATAGTCCAGTGGAATATATTTGGAAAGAAAATAAAGGACATGAAGAATACAGAAGATTAAATTTTGAGAGAACACAAAGTGTGGATACACCTGCTCCATTGCAAACGATTTTGTGCCATGTCATTCAAGGTCTCTAACCATCAAGTGATATCATCTCGCGCATCCTAACCAGGTAGTCTACACCTACCAACATGATTCAGTCCACTTGTCAGTGACTTCATGGAGTTCTGTCATGTTTTGTTCTGGCCACCCCTAGCTCTCTCCCAACATACTCCTACACCAGAAAACATCGCACATCAGGGCAGTCGATGGTTGGGCATACGTAACACGTGTCTCAGCCATCTCAACTGATTAACTTTCACTACTTCATCAAATGATTTGCCATCCTTACCTAGTATCCGTTTTTTCTAACAACTGCATTACTTACTCAGTGGTCTCAGGATATACGAGCAATGTTTCGAAGACACCTATGATCGCATACTAGTAACTTACGAATATCCTCTACTCTTACCGGCCATGTTTCACTGCGATAAAGTAGGATGTAACTAAATACTGTGCAGTAAACACATTCTGTGTTTGGTAGACGGATATCTCGCCTACGTCATAAATGACGCCAGTTGGCAAAAGCTAATCGAGCCTTCTGCATCCGTTCTGAGATTTCGTCACACACCAGACCACAAGGGCTGATGAGACTTCCCAGATAAGTGAAGCGGTTGACACGCTCAACTACTTCAGTTCCTATCACTAGTTCGGGTGTCGATGCAACCCAATCCTGAAGTAACATTTTGCATTTCGAGGGAGAAAATCGCATGCCGAACATGCCTGCATTGTTGCTTAGAGTGGTCAGCAGACTCTGCATTTTGTCAGGATCTTCACTAAATAGAACTATGTCATCGGCATATTCTAAGTCAACAAATGGATCTCCCAGTAGAAGTTCAACTCCTGGAAATTCAGATGAGGAAAGTGTCATCTCTAAAAGGACGTCAACAACAACTTTTCTAAAATTATTATAAATATTTTACTGAGATCATGAACCGAACGAAGTCAGACATCTTATTACTGTGAATAGATTGAAATTCAGTAAACTAGCTCAGTGGTTTAAAAGTTAGACGGTCATGAGTAAGACTGAAATTTCTGAGTTTAGTCTCCAGTGTTGAGGTCATGGATGTTCACTAGTGAGAAGTTTTACATTGAGATGGAACATCTGTCTAATGTTTCTAGACTTTCAATGGATGTCTGACCTAAGTCGGTTCGTGATCTCAATAAGATTCAGTAATGTTCACAATTTTCATACATTTATTATGAACATGATTGTCGATAAGCTTTTGAAATTATTCAACCAATTAACAAGTGATATTTTGTCAAATACAGATATTTGCATAACGGACATCTTTTTTGTAGTGTACCTTCGAAGAGGATAGAGAGTAGGCATACTAAAATCTATGGACATATAGAGAGACTCAAACGCTATGATAAGCAAATATGTTATGTCTTAAAGTAGTACTAATAAGAAATCTTTAATCTTATCAAAACTCTTTACGTCCTTATTGAGATTTTTTATCGTACTAAAATTCTTTTATTAAACAAGGAAATCATCAATAAGGGTTTATAATTTTCCGTTATTAACATTCATGACTGAAAGTAATTGCTCTCTATTACTATATTCGTATTCTGAGCTCAGTCCCTCGATATAGAGTTATCAAAAGTTTTAATCTATTTAGTGTTTGGCTATCAGCGGGATCCAGTTTCGTCTTTAGTATCTCTGTGGACAAGGTGTTGGGTGTTTTAGAAAAGAGATACTGGATTCGAGATGCAGTTTGAACACCAATACTCAAATGGAGATACATTCAGCTGACGACTGTCGAATATGAAAAACACCTCTATTGGATCAAACTGCTAACCACATTCCAAATCTACGATATCCGTTATCACTACATACTTCAATGAGTAAATAAGTTTCATTTTGTTGTGTCTTCCTATTAACAATTTAAAATGATGACTGGCTCATTCAATTTATCAAAATTTATTTTATTCGAATTAATAGGTAAGTGTTGCAGCTGCCCGATTATGTCAGTGGTTAAGAGCATTATGCGAATGCTGTGATGCTGGAGAACGTTTACAGGATCACATCAATGATTATTCTTCAGTTCAAGCACAAGTTAGTCAAAATGAATCAATATTAGGCAATTTACATTTATCATTACAACTAACAAAAATAAACATAGAAATGGCTAATAATCATTTAGTTGAATGTGAACATCAAATTAAACGTCTTTCAGAGAATATCGATGTAAGCTTAATCGTTTTTTGTATTGATTTTAATGCTTATTAAAAAAGTGATATCAAGTATGTCCCAATTATTGATAGTTTTAATAGAAAGATATTACCAGTATGGAGACTGTCGGTCTCGTGCGCGAACACTTAACCGTTAGACCACTGAATCGTCACCCAACGGTGTTGATGTCTAACTTCAACCAATCCACGATCGCGGATGCGCACTGCTAATGAGTCCCATACTAGGATGGAACGGCCATTCAGTGCTTCCAGGTTTCCAATGGTGGTCTAACATTCATCGATTCATGGTCTCAATCAAAAACTTCCCAATGTCCATAACGCCACAGTGATAAAGTGTATCCAAAAATTAGTACGTGAATGAATGTATTTTGTTCTAATAAGCGATTTAATTTTGGACTTGATTTTGAAACTTGTTTAGGGAAATGTTTTTGGACAGCCAATAAATCTTCATTTACACCAGTCTTTCATGTCCATACTTTGGATCGTGAGGATTTTAATGGTTCCCGATCGTCAAGTATAATCAGTAAGACTGCAGATCTAATAGAGTTGATACATAATTAACAGCGACGACAACTCCAAATATAGAAATGGCAACACAGATTCAAGAATTACCATTATTATGATGCCTATAGTATTTCTCTGCACTACACCTGCTAATTGCTAGCGCCTCAGCAATGCATACGTTTTTGACTCGGCCTCTCTTTGATCCAATTCTTTTAACAGTACTGCTGGGGTGTCGACGACCCACAATTTCTCGTTTAAACTCGACGTGCAAAAAGGATATATCCAACCTCTTATCCTTCCTTAGCACTAATTCTCTTCTCTAGTATGTCTTGTTTTCGTTCATATTATTATTTTGTACACTTTTTAAACCGTAATCAGTTGATATTATCCTCTAGCAATTATTCATGATGACTATTCACTTGTTATTATGTCCTTTATGTTTTTCATTTTCTTTTCATTTCTCTCACTTTCCCGACTAGTAAATCATTTCCATCCTCTTATTCTTCTCTAACCCCTTGATATTACTCAACCTTCTCTTGGTATTTAAAATCTCAGATAATGTAGTCTCTATCTATTTTTCATAAAGACTCATCTGTCTACCCAACCAACAATAAATACGAGCGATTTTGTCGAAAGAAAAATTTTCTTCGCTGAATTCTTTTGTTTTTAATCGGGCGTATATAAAACACGCGAACGAACTGTAAACCATCGGTTAATGAAGCGACTTTTACGCTATCTCAAAGAAGTAATAATTTCTCAGAAAGAGGCAATTAATATTTATGATTGGGTTATTTATTAAATAGTAATTCTTAATACCAAATAGTTGTTTACATTCACTTTATAAACGGTTTCCCTAATAAAACGTTAGATTTCAATAGGATTATTTTACTAATCCATTGAAAGCGTTAATTGTTTTTACCTGTACATTCTTTGTAGTTCAGCCGTTAATAATTCGGATAAATACTTGTGCGTTTAAGTAGTCATGTAAATGGGTTATTGGAATTTGGGAAGGGCGCGTTAGTTTTTTTTTCACGTTATTTCAATAACAAATATTTTCTAAGTGTTCAGTCTAGCAAAATGTTTACATGAGTTAGTAAATGTCAATGACATTGCAAACGTTACTTATTTATAAGGTATGGAATGATATTTGAAAATCATCGACAATCTTTACGAAACATAATAGAGAAACAATAAAAAAACTGTATGTACATTTTCGTCATGTGTGAATATTGTTCTTTATAATATGAAACCTGAAATATCTATACATTATGAATATAAGCCATTTTTGACAAGCATTTGAAATACTGGTTGTATGAAGTGTCAATGAACAAACCTACGTCGTCTGACGAGAAAAATTTCTATTTGAATTCGAGTCCTGGAGTGAACATCAACTCTGAGATGCAGGTACATCCGGCTGACGAGTCCCAAATAGGATGAAACGCGCGTCCTGGATTCCACTGCTAGCCACTATTCATCTTTGCTTATAATGCTTGTAAATTAAGGCAATATCGAGGCAATACGCACAGTATGCACAGATGCCAATATGAGAGACTAATCAATTGCAGTCCTAAACATCAATGGGAAGATTCAAGTAAAACAATATCAAGTCAATCATATATATATATGAACATTTTGTTTTTGTAAAAGTACTAATTCCGTGAGGAAATGTGAACGCAGTTAACCGTGATGTAATAAAAAAGGTTATAATACTAGATTACGTAATGCGAATAATAACAATAGATGATTAAAATTTATACGAATATTCGTCAAGATTAGAACGAATAGTTTGACAGATATTGGGCGCCGAGTATAGAGAAGTCATTATATATGTAAATCTTTGATTTTGATTATTACCCTGAAGAAGTTCAGACAAGTTGGCTGGACGAAACGTTGGAATTATTTTAAATTTCAATCGCTGAGATTGTTTCAAATATAATTTACATATATAATGAGATGATTAAAATGTTTTTGTTATAGTAATTAAAGGTCATAGAGGTGTAAAAATAAATAAGGTGATATGATGAGTATTTACGATCAAAAACAATGAGAATATAAGAAGTAGTGACCAGTGGAGTTTAACCAGGTCTGTTGTGGGATAGTAACTCACTGAAAACAATGGTGGGTGTGTCGCTCAATTTCGTGGATTAGTTGAAGTTAGACATTAACACCGCGGGATGCCGGCTCAGTGGTCTAGTGGTTAAGTGCTCGCGCGCGAAACCAGTAGGTCCTGGGTTCGAATCTCGCAGGGGGCGAGGTTGTGGATGCGCACTGCTGAGGAGTCCCATAATAGGACGAAACGGCCGTCCAGTGCTTCCAGGTTTTCCATGGTGGTCTAGCTTCAACTGACTCATGATCTTAATCATTGAAATTACTACAATCTCCACAAAACCCTTTCTGACAATATAAGAGATAAGTAAAGGGGGATGCAGTAATAATAATAATAATAATAATAATAATAATAATAATAATAATTAATAATAATAGTAATAGGATAATCAAAATAATTAAGGCCAAGGTAACTATAACGATAAGACGTACTTCTTTTGTACGCATAGTTCTGGTTTAAGCTCCTGAATGGTAAGAGCTTCGGCTATTTTTAAGTTGGATACAAAGAAATCTAGGTAGATTTGAACGAATCATGTAAACAACCTTAAAATCAATTTGTGGATCTGTAGAATGGTTACAGTTTATTAGGTGTTTAAGTATAGAACTGCTAACTGCTTTCCTTTCACTTTTATAGAGCCAAGCTGGGATATGTTCCCGTATCCGGGTTGAAAGTAAGCGCTGGCTACGGCAGCATTAAATGTTCTTTCAATCGTTGTTGTTAGACGATTTTTGATTACGTCTAATGTTCGATCACCTTTAAATTCCAGACTTATATAAAGGTTTTTCTTCGGAACGGAACAACTAGATTTCTTGTCGTAACTACTTCTATTCACATTCTTTTCTCTGAACCGTTCTGAGTAACCATTTTCCGTCAAGGTTTTCTTGAGGAATGCGAGTTATTCGTTAATGCATTCCGTACTGCATATCTGGTGTATCCGATTACATAAAGAATGGATGAGGTTTCTTTATCTACTTAACGAGACCCAGCTATAGAAGTTGGTTAGCTGGCCATTCCATGTTTGTTTTCTAAAGACCGATCTTTTTAAAGAACCATTACTCCTTCTCATCAGACGTACATCGAGAAAAAGAATTGATTGGTCTCGTTCCCTTTCTAACATGAAGTCACGGTTAACTGTGTTCACATTTCCTCACGGAATTAGTACTTTTACAAAAACAAAATTTTCATATATATATATATATATACGATTGTACAGCATGATAATAAATTCGTTGAAAAGAGATCCTTTCATGAACTTCGTGTTTTAATTTTAATGTTTAAATGAGAATTATCTGTCAATCGAAAATTAATTTTAAAAAAAATTTTTAAAAATAGCCGGTCGCTTAATGATATTCGACATAATGGGTTACTTGAATAACAATTTACATTGACTAAACTCCAGTCCCTCTGAACTTAATATAATTGGACAGCTTATTAACATGTGGTGTAACCTAACACATTTAAGTACAAATTTAATCAGCACTAGTTACTAGTTTGATAATCGATTTATTCTAAGGATAAAAATCCATTTCCTAATCTTTTCTTATTATAGATATTAGATTATAAAATTCATGAAGCTAAAGCATTGGCATCAACTTTACAGAGTAATTTATCTGAACTATACAATGATACTAGCAATCATGATGCAACTAAAAATTTGCCATTTTGGTTCAATATACTCGGAGCATTGGGGACGGTGTATTGTCAAACATTACCAATTAAGCATAGGTAATTAGTCTTCTACTTTCTATCCTTTTGTGTGCATGTTTGTTTCGAAATGAAGGTTTTATTTGTATTTTTTAGTGAATATGTAGTAAAGTAAGTAATATAATGGTCATTAGGCTATTAAAACTTTGACTATATCAATTTTTAAATTATGTTATATCAGAAGTAATCAAATGATTGTTGTTACGATTCACAAGCTGGATTCTGGTACTTATGCTTTCTACATTTTTGTCCAACTAATGGTGTGAGTGAAGAAAACTGAGAAATGACTAGAACCTCGAAATTGTCCTTCTGATGTTAGACAAGGATGTATAAGCTAAGAACTTGACTAGGAATGTAATCTGCTTCCCTCAATAGCTTATCTTGATCATAGTATCGCATCTACTATTTGACCATAAGATGGCATGTAAGCACAAGGATGTGATATACCGAGACTTGCCAAACAATTACAACTACTCATATAGCTAATGAGAACCCTTGTATAACACTTTTATAGTAATTTTCATAGTGTAATGAAAGGATATAGATGATTTGAAAAAAAAACTGATATAGTTGCTTGATAAGATTTGGAATGATCGAGTGAGGAGATTTTTGTTAGATAAGAAAGTAAACATGCACTTCTAACCAATAAACTGAATAAACAACTTTTCAGCTTTATTCTAACGTAAAAATTATGTGTATATTTTATTTTGTACTAGTACAACAACAGAAACAGTTTGTCTGATTTCATTGATGACTGATATCACCTTAAAAACCATTTTAAAATAGGAAAAACGGCATGGTTGTCCCCTGTAACGCATGAATTTCTTACAGTTGTTCGTCCAGGATGGTAAGAGGTATTGAACCCACGACTTTCAGGTCTTACAGTCAGCAGATTAATATTTATTCTAAAAATCTTCAAATTCTATGGTCACATTATCCAACATCAGTCAATTCATAATATACAGCGATTAACTACATTGTACTAATTTAGCATTGTTTAGAACAATGTTACAATCTCATTTACGAATAAGATTATTTTACAAGTCATAACTTCCTATGGGAATTTTGAGAAATCTCTATTAAAAATAGTCAATAGTTATCACAGAATTATTATCCATTTATATAGACGGTTTTATAGGTGTTTAGAATTATTTGGAGGTAAATTTCACAGTGAATCAGCAAAAACAGGAGAGTAACACTAACCATCATTGTTCTGACAAATGAAAATATGAGTATGGAGGTTTATGAAGGTTATTGACTGTCACTAATATTACAAACCGACCTAAGCTACGCATCCATTGATAGTCAGGAAGTATTAATCAGTTGCTTCATTCAAATGTGAGACACCATAGTAGTACGCATTCACGACCTCACGGTTGGAGAACAAACTCAGGACTTACCGGTAAAGAACATGAACGCGAACCCTTGAACCGGAGTCCAATCTCCCACGTTTTACTTCGCCATAGTACGCCGCAACCTTCTATTATCTACAGTAGTCAATTGTTGCACACCTGAAACGTTCAAACTCCTCTGGTCACAACTTCTTACGAGAATTCCACAATTATCTTTTAAAACTAGTCACTTGTGGGCCCATTATAATTATCAATGTGGTGGTTTGAGGAGATTACCGAATATTAGTAATATTACAAGCCGACCTAGGTTACTCATCCATTAAGAATCAATGAGAACTGAATATCTGAGTAGTCCTAGCACAATTGTTCAAACCAATATCTTGGTTCTTGTATTATTTCTTTTATACGTTGTTATTTTACAGATCTTCATTGTGGAATAATTTCAAAACTCTTGTTTGGAATAAAATGAAGGTGAAGTTGATTACTTTAAAGAAACATTTATTTTGTTATTTATCATCACGTTTCGTAAATTTTATCATTCTTCTAAAAATGACTGTTCGAAATTAGTTCAGCGAAATTGAGTCATATATATGTATTCGACCATAGACTGGAGGAAACTAGAATGAAAATTGCCTTGTATAAACATCTGGAATCAATCGCATTCAAACCAAACAATCATATCGGGTTCAGTTCAAGTTGAATCGGATTGGATTATCCCATTGTTGATATTCTTGACTGAATTTTGACAAGATGGCTGGTATATATTCATCCCATGCGAATCACCTCAAGACATCCAATTATGACACACGTTAGCAAACAAGAAAAAGAACGTCACCAGTAGTGAGATCCAAGTAGCGAGTTCCATCCTATTTAGGATTCATCAGCTAAATTCCATCACACCCTGGAGTTGGAGTTCACTCCAGGATTCAAAGCCAGTGCCGTGCGCTCCAAACGCCATAATGTTATTCATCTAGCTACTGATTTCGGCCGGGTGCCTGCTTGTGCAGCAGATATGACTTTTAATTTTAATTTAAAACAAGTCAATGTCGATCAAAATTCATGACTTTTTTCGACTGTAATTAATCGTAGAATTAAAAACGCACATTTCGTCCTTTTTGGCCACTTCGGTTGAATTTATAAACAATACAGTCTTGTTGTTCAAATTGAAACTCACACCCAGTACTAATCGTTTCAAAAAGCAATGTGTTATGTGCAACAAATAGTCCCTTTGATAAATTTGGATAATGTAATAATGAGAAGAAAATTATCAGAGCTATATGATATTTATTAGAACAATACATTTTAAACAAATCGATCACATGTATATATGTTAAGAACATTTATATATGAATAATAAAAGGTAAACTAAAATGGAAGGTTAGGAAAAATAAGGTTAATAAAGAAAATAATGCGAAAAACAATGTGGAACTCACCACGTTGAACAATAAATCACTGTAACCAATGTAGGTTCAGGGTGTTATCAAATAAGCTACTGAGTTCCGATATCTACATCATCAACGGTACTATGGAAGTACATGCCAGTGACTTATCCCAAATACAACAAAAATCTTATTCTAGATTCCTTTGCTAGTCACAACCTTTAATTTTCAAAACTCTTAACTATAAATAATATTAAGACATAATATTAGGGTACCAGTTTGCCTAAATAGAAAAAAACTATATGTATTCCTGAATATCACAGGTGGAGAATCTAAACTATTATATATGTATCAGAGGAGGTTTTGTGGAGATTGTAGTAATTTCAATAGTTGAGATCATGGGTCAATTGAAGCTAGACCACCATGGAAAACGTGGAAGCACTGGACGACCGTTTCGTCCTATTGTGAGACTCCTCAGCGGTGCGCATCCACGACCCCGCCGCGTGGGATTCAAACGCTTAGCCACCAGACCACTGGGGAGTCTCACAATAGAAAGAGGCGGCCGCCCAGTACTTCCGGGTTTTCCATGGTGGTCTAGCTTCAATGGACTCATGGCCTCAACTATTGAAACTATCACATATGTATTCATTATTGTTTAAAGTTTTACCATGTATTTCAATCCATACTATTCTACTTACAGTATGCTTCTAAAGAAAGTCTAGAAAAAAATACTTTTATACTTGCTTTCCAGGAAGTCTATCACCAAACTACGAATGATCAAAAGGAAAATTTAGTAATATGTGAAAAATTTCTTCAAAATTTACCATTATTTAAAATTATTCAAGCAAAACCATATGAATTAATGAAATGGTTTACATTGAATAAAAACTTTCCACCAGAATTAATACTTTCATATAATGATCAACATATTAGTTATACACTTGAAGCTATTCTATCTATACTTACAATTCTATGGTCGGTTAGATATGCTCATACTAAACAGTGTGATAATAATAATAATAATGTGGATGAATCAATGTTATATTTGTTTATTTATGATCCAGATCTAACTGGTATCAATGTAATAAAATTATTATTACTAACAAATAATGATACTGATGAAGGTGATAACATTTCTTCAAGGTAAGTTTATTGTTCACTTGAAGCGAATGTTTACAATTGATTGATCATTGGGTGGTGATCAATGTCATGTGTGTCGGGTCCTTCTTAGTGCAGATAGATTCCTATCTACCAAGTTGCAATGTGGCCACCAGTCTAGGTTACTGGACATTGTGTGCACTATGTTGAGATAAGATGGTGGTTAAAGGTAGTCAACAAGAAACCCTGAACCTAGGTTTCGATTTGCACTAAGAAGGACTTGACATACATGACATTGGTCACCACCCAGTGATCGACCAATTGTAAGTACAGCTCAGTCCTACAGGAGGTCAATCGCAGCCTCGATAGCTCAGTGGTAACTTCTTTGACTGTGAAGCTGAGTGAAACGGGATCGAACCTGTCAGAGGTTGTCAGTTCCCTCAAGACTACAGGTGCACCTTGCTGGTGCGTGCCAAGTAACACGAAAAGAATCGGGTTGGAAGATGGTGATAACAAATGCAAACAGACTTAATATACTTAGTTAAACTTGCTTTGTTTGCCTTATGATAAACAATGAGAATAAATGAAGGCATAAAATCTCCAGTCATATACCTCGGATACTTTAGATAATTTAATATGCGGAACTCATTATTTCATTAAATATTTATCATATATTATCACTTTTTAGTATGTGTATATTTCATTAGTAAGCACACGATCATGCCAATACATAAGGCAAAACTCACCGATACAAAGTTTCGCAAAAATAAACAGACTTATAAAATTAAACCTGAAAATCAAAGATACTGGTTTAGTTTTAAAGGGAGTTGCCCGAATATCACCTACTTAGGTAAAGCATTTGAATAGTATATTTATCGGTGAATAAATAGTATAATTCAAAGGTTAACATATCAAGTTCGAATCTCATGGGTCGGGATTGCGGATACACACTGCTGAGGAGTCCCATACTAAGACGGAATGGTCTTCCAGTGCTCCTAGGTTTTCCATAGTGTTCTAGTTTCAATGGACTCATTAATTCAACTATTAAATTACTATAATATTCACAAAATCCCTCTCTGATTATATCAAGTTATACCCAACAAATAAATTTATTTGTATTAAAAGGTTCAAGAATGGAGGAGTATTAAACAATTCTAGTAATATTTTGACATCAGCTCACTGAAGACAATGGTGACGTTGGGGCAACTTCGTGGATTGGTTGAAGTTAGACATTAACACCGTTGGACACCGGCCGGCTCAGTAGTCTGATGGTTGAGGACTCGCGCGCGAAAATGATAGGTCCTGGGTTCGAATTCCACGGGTGGCAGGAGTCCCATATTAGGACCAAACGGTCGTTCAATGCTTCCAGGTTTTTCATGGTGTTCTAGCTTCAATTGACCCATGATTTCAACTATTGAAATTACTTCTGTATTTATTTATACAACTAACTGTATCTGAATTCAATTGTTCATGGTTTTTGGTGGGTCATTTAAATGTAGAAATATTCAGAAATATAACATTGTACTTTTCTGAATCTAATTTTTAGCAAAAAAGATCAAATAATTTGTGATCTTTATATAGATATGAAAGAATTTATATGCAATTTTAATTACGCCATTCATGCAAGTAAGTTATTAATAGGGTTATTTATTATTGATGTTTTGATAAAAATAATGAGAAAACGGAATTGTTATTAGATTGTTCGGAATGTATCGTGTAAATACATTACATTTTTTCAGATCAACTCTATCTTATCATTACTCTACTGAAATGTATAAAAGGGACCAGAAACTGCGCGATAACTTATTTTTGTTGTACGTTGAAACTCTTCACCAATATGAACAAACAACTTTGCTAGTAATATGTATTTCATTTATAATTCGAATTGAGATTGAAAGGATCGATCCTTAATCTGATCAAGATCAATCTGTGATATGAGACCATAAATTCAACAATCTCCTTAACATAGTGTTGTAGAATGAAGGATAGTAGATTAATAGATCAGTATTTAAAATATTGGTCAGAATTTAGATTAAAATATGTAAATACATATTAATAACTATCATCGCCTGTGGAATAAGTCGTACAAAGTTTACAATCACAATCGGTTAATGTGAAGATGATATCAACCGGAAAGCCTATTATACTTTTTTATGTACTTCAGAATGGTAGCCATTCCCCAATTTGAATTCTTTCCATAATTTTCAGTTTAGTAATTTTTAAAAAAAATATTTACATACATTGTTTGTACTTGACTTAGTAGTAAGCAGCTAAGAAGACCCAACAGAAATGCTATTCTCCTCAACTCTTTATTCTTCCTTCTTTTAGAATAATAAAGGGGATTATATAAATCAGTGGGCAATTTTCTAATTTAGAAAAAATATCAGCTGATAAATAAGACCTAGGGGTGAACCCATCACGACAGCGTTTATTTGTCTATATATTTCACTATTAAATTTGAAATGTACATTCATAGTAGATTTTAGTAATAATTCTTTGATGATTACCATTGAGATCATAGTTTCTATTTCTTGTTCTTTAAGTTGTTCACAAATATATTCGTATTATTCCATATATTCCGTAGTTTATGGTTTGTATATTCAGAAGGGGTTTTGTTGAAGTTACTACAATCTCCACAAAACCTCTTCTGATCCTAATCAGCATATGCTCACTAGTGACTGGCTTCATGATGTATATCCTGGAGTTCTAGTGAGAAGCAATGATCAGTGGAGTTTAGTCGGGTCAGTTGTGAGATAGTAACTCACTGATGACAATAGTGAATATGTCTCACAATTTCATGGATTAGTTGAAGTTAGACAATAACACTGTTGGATGCTGGCTCACTGATCTATTGGTTAAGCACTAGCGCAAGAGACTAATAGGTCCTGAGTTCGAATCTCGTGAGGCGGGATCATGGATGCGCGCTTCTGAGGACTCCCACAATAGGACGTCCAGTGCCTCCGGATTTTCCATAGTGGTCTAGCTCCAACTAACTCATGATTGTATGTTCATTTTTAAGCAAGTTCATTGCCGATGAATCCTCTTAATTACTTATTATTAATTATTTATTTTTCTTAGATAAGATAATCTTTATTAATGTGGATCAATTTCATAGTTTCAATGCAAAAGAAAATATTAACTATTTATTAAGATTTTATTTTAATCAAGTTTTCAATAAAAATATATCCAGTACAAAAAATAGTCAAATTGTTTTATGGACATCATTTAGTCAGTATACTGAAATTGGTAAGTAATTAAAGTAAATGACATTAAACATTGTTTTATTCATGTCATTGATGATCTAGTTGGATAAGATCGACTTGTTTTTCTTTTTGTGGTAGAGTTCCGTTCTCTGAGTTTTCATTGTTATAATCGTTATCAGTATAAACTTTAGGTGGAAGTGAGCTGTTCAAATTTCTTCACATATGATTGACAGTTTGTTCTGTTAACTTTGACTTGATTGGTTATTTATCAGCATAGGGTTGTGGAGATTATTAGGTTTTTGATTGAGATCATGAACTGATTGATATTAGACCACCATTGGAAATCTGGAAGCACTTGACGGCCGTTAGACACTAACACTATTGGATGCCAGCTCAGTGGTCTAGTAGGTTAAGCGTTATCGCATGAGATTGAAGTCCCTGGGTTCGAATCTCGCGAGCGGGATCATGGATGCGCACCGCTGAGGAGTCCCACAACAGGACGAAACGGTCGTCCAGTGTTTCCAGGTTTCCAATGGTGGTCTAACATCAATCAGTTCATGATCTCAATCAAAAACTTGATTGATTATTGTTGACTTTTAACATATTGTCGTCTGTATATTTAATTTGATTATCTTTCCCCTTGACCTGATTTTCGATCTTGTGAAATATCATGATGTATCTTCTGTTTTATCAGTGAACATGGATATTTGTAAGCACACATTCGACTGGGAATATTTTGAAATTTTGTATAGTGGAAAGCTTAGAATTCAGGTCAATCTGTGATCGACAAACACACTGAGATCAATTCAATTAATCAACCGATCAGAAAAATCAAAGACAAATATATGATTAAGAATCAGGAAGAAAAGAGAAAAATTCAAAATAGATAGTATAGACAACGATAAGTTAAAAGTCAATAATAACAAATCAAGTAAAAGTCAACAGAACAAGTTGTCAGTCATACGTGAAGAAATTCGAACAGCTCACTTCTAACTAAGGTTTGTATTAATGATGTTGTTCAGTACAGCAATGAAAGTTTCACGATTAAACGATTTAGCTTAAAAAACGAAACTCTATCGAAATCGTAAACCTGAATTACTAATCTTCTCCATCATTTCAAGATCAACGATTACTTTTACTTAAATTGTTATCGATTTATTTGAAGATTGAGATAAATAACATCGATCACGTACTTTCTTCAATATTCAATATGTAAATTGGAATGAGTACATTTGAATTGAATTAATTCACGATTATAGATAAGTAATATCTACACCTGCATTAATGAAATATAAACTCTCTACCATATTATTTTAAAATGTCAAGTTACTTCATTCACTTTTATTACCCAGTTTATGGATGGTACTCTCGAATCTAATTGTTAGCAATGAAGGTTAAAATACATTTTTTAGTTACCAACAAATAACCAGAGTAGTTATGCATAAGTAACGAATCAGTGTATGTTCACTGGATTAAACGATGATGGTGTTAAAAACATTTCGATATATATGATGTGGTGTGACAAGTAAGAAAAATATCTGTTCTGTAGAGCATAATTCTAATGGTTTGATGAACAAATCTTCGATTATCTAAATAAAGCGGAAAAATGATGATTAATAGGAGATGTACAATAATACGAAGTTAGACATTAACACCGTTGGATGCCGGCTCAGTGGTCTAGTTGGTTAAGCGCCTGGCGCGAGACTGATAGGTCCTGGGTTCGAATCTCGCGAGGAGCGGGATCGTGGATGCGCACTGCTGAGGAGTCCCGTACTAGGACGAAACAGCCGTCCAGTGCTTCCAGGTTTTCCATGGTGGTCTAGCTTCAATGGATTCATGATTTCAACCAGTGAAATAATACGAAGTAGCTGAATGAAAACTGTTCATGAAAGTGAACTATTGTTGACTCAAGCCACCGGATGATTGAAAATTTTAAGAAAGATCGTTAGTAAGATGTTCACGTTTTCGTGTAATAAAACAAAACATTTATAGAAAAATAACAAACTCAGATGTAATAAACCTTTGGATACAATTAGTCTTATACGTCAGTCGTTCTCCAGTAAATTAGGTCCTAACTGTCATACTTTCCTATCATATCAGTCTGATAGTCAAACCTCACTTATATTGGCAGGTAAATTGTCTACAAAATTTATATCCTACTGTCTCATAGGTTTTAAATTAATTTGATTGAGGTTATCGAAAACATTTTTATTATTCACTAAGTGTGAGATATCTGATATTTTTGGCCATTTTTCTACCTGTTTAATGTGTGAGCTCCTCATAATGAAGTGTAATATTTCACTAAAGATTTCATTTCAGTTATTTGAAATTATCCACAACTATCTGTTATGAACATGTCGGGACAGTAAAGCCCAAAATGGTTCACGTAAAACAGTAATATACTACATGTTATGACTTGAAACCAAATCTCTAATGGGAAATTATAATCTAATATACAATACTCTTCAATTAAATAGTATAGGTGAGCTAGAGTTTAAACAGTTCACTTTGTATATCAAATAAAACTGTAGGTATTCAACTTTGAATTATAATGTTTCTATGATGCCTAATGATACTATTTACCTGGTTTAACTAAAGTAGATCGGTAGAGTTAAAATTGTTCCTGTTTTAACTACTAAACCATTGTTTCTCCTTAAACGCTATAAGCTAATAATTATTGAATTCAGTTATAAACCGAAATAATATCTCTTATAGACATAAGTACAATTGTCAGTTGACTCTTATTGTAGTGAACAAGAACACAAGTGAGGACAATCGAATATATTTAAATACAAAATTACAGAACATCTTGGTAAAATCTGAGAATCATACAGTAAATACTTCATCTGCCAAATGTCAATCAGTTGTCTCAAACTTGTTTCTTTTGTAAATATCAGTCAATCATCTCAGACTTCATTGTTATTTCATTTCCAGACAAATCATTCTTTGTTCTCGTTCTCTTTTCTTTGATCTTTTTAACCTTGTGCCACCAGGCATTTGATTTTCGATTGATGATATATACTACTTATAACTATCGAC